TTTTGTACTATATTACAATAAGCAATTAAAATTTGAATATTGAGAGCAATTGGTAGTCATAGCAAGAACTTTCATCCTGCATTATATCCAAGGACTTTATAAAATGTTTCCATTCATAACTGAGAACAATACAATAACACTGTCATTATCATCAGGCATTATAATATAAAAACAATGTATTAATGCTGAAGTCAATAATATTCATGTTTTTTTTTTTTTTTTTTTTTTTTTGCAGGATGCATTCAGAATTAATTTGAACATCTGGTTATATATAGTGATTTTTTTTTTCAAGTTCTTTACATCAAAATGTAGAGCTTACCATTAAAAATGGACTTGATTTTTGGATTCAGTGTCTCCAAAATTAGCCAAGAAAAATTATAAGATGCCTTGCATCAAAATATGTGCAAACCTGAGTAATTGTCCAAATATTCTGAGAAATTTAGTTGTTTTCATTTAATAATTGTCAACATTTTGTGGAAATTGATGACACTTTTAATTTGAAAATGACTATTTAATGACTTATACATCATATCTACTAATTTTAAAGATAAAATTATTATTATTATAATACTTTTTATTATTATTTGATGTTTCACTCTTGCTAACGCTGCAATGGACAGAAAGCTGTGGAGAGCTATAATCATTTGCATTGAGAAGTGACATGGCATATAATAAAAGAAGGTTGCTTTCTGTTGGTTTAATCAAATTTTGGTGGTTGTACTCTTGAGCCTTCTCCTTGTGTTGGTAACTTTCCAGAAATTTTTTTAACTGAACCCTTTATTCAGCTCACAAGATAGATTGTTCTCATTCCACTCACCCTGCCAAAGGACATCTTGTATCATTTACATCTGTCTACTGACATCAGGGTTTCATGCCCCCTCCCATGAATCTATGATACACCCCCCACTCTACTACATCTATGTTTTCATAAGATAGTATTTATATAAAATATAAATTTGATTGTAACCTAATTATGTACAATAATGGATCATATACATTATAGGTGAACAATTCAACTTGAAAAATTGAAAATAAATACAACATATCTAAATACAAATTAGTGACATGTCATAATAGATAAATCCATCTGTTTTGCAGCAATTTTTAACATCAACTTGAGATTTCCCTTGTTAAAAAGTTGAATGATTTTAACACATTCAACTTTATAGATAAAAAAATAGTGAATTTTATGTAGTATTTTTTTTTTAGACTTAGCATGAGCAAAACAAATTCATGGATTTGAACAAAAAAAAGACCCCAGAATGACATCAAACTCTTTATCTTTTAATAATAGTCACTTGTGCTTAGTTTAATTTGTAATGTATATAAATGTAGGTAGAAAAAAGCAAATGTTGATAAGATAGCAAGAGTGAGAAAGCACTGCTCAGGCCCCTATTCAGACTTGCCAGGATTATATACTAGTTTTAAATTCAGAGTTATCCTTCTCTTAGACTGGTGGCCAAACAGGGCTAAAATGTTCAGTCAAACCCATAGCTAGGAGAGAAGAGATGGAGTCATACATTTTCCAAAGGTATTTGTGTGAAAGTGAATGTGATGAACTCAGCTAGAATTCAAGCTGAGCTTACCAATTTCTTTTCTGAGCTACTAACTGTTAAACTACCTGAACATTCCATAAGAATAATCTATCCCCATGGATTGAATAAAGGGTTATCAACTATTGCAAAAGGCTACAGGATACAACAGCCAAAAGGCTGCAACAATAACAACCAAAATAAAGACACTCATCTCGGTGAATAATCTTTGAGTTAGAAAAAAAAGGAAATAGGAAGAAAAAGATGAAACATTCACAAAAATTGTTTCAAAAAAATAGTGGAAATTAAGGATAATAATATAACAAGAATGTTGAGCCTCAGTTTGAAAGTTGAAAACCGTCAATCACATGGTTTAATGATTTGAAAATTGGAATGATCATGTGAAACTCTTTGGTTTTTATTAAGAAATAAAGCCCAGGCAATTATAAATGACATTCAACTCATATTTCTATCCAGATTTCTATTTTTAATGACTTTGTTATAATTGTATTTGAATAAAGCAATATATTTTATGAATCACTGTTTTCTTGTTTTTGTTTTTCCATATTTCTTCCATAGTGCTATAATGTCCAAGATACTATTTTCCTTATTTTTCTTTGCGGGGGCAGGCATAGTTCTACAAAATCCAAGATACTATTTTACTTATCTTTCTTTGCGGGGGGAGGGCATAGTTCTACAAAATCCAAGATATTATTTTCCTTATTTTTCTTTGCCGGGGAGGGCCTGGTTCTACAAAATCCAAGATATTATTTTACTTATATTTCTTTGTGGTGGGGGAGAGGGCATAACTCTACAAAATCCAAGATACTTTTTTTTTTTTTCCTTGAGGGGGGGGGGGCGCATAGCTTTACAACATCAAAGATACTTTTTTCTTTATTTTTGTTTCTAAGGTGTGGGTGGGGGCATAACACTGCAGCTTCCAAGGCACTTTTTGTTTTCTTTCTTTTTTTTTTTTTGTAGGGAAGTGGGTGGGGCTCATAGCTCTACAACATCCAAAGTACTTTTCCTTGGAACTGAGAACTAAACAAAAGACCAAATTTGTTTTCTTTGCATCAATCTATAACAATGTTATAGAACTGGGCTGCATCTCATTTCTCACCCAACTCCAGATATGTCTTGCAACCTAAAAGTAGGAAACTGTAATTATTCAACAATGTACTTCTCAGGGAAGTATTTGTGGTCATTCTTGATTGTAATGCAAGTTGTCGTATTCACATGGATCCAGAACGAAGAGAGATACAAAGCTGAATGCATGGTTATACTGAAAATAAGGCATGCAAAAGTTATGAACCACTTGCCATGCCTCAAGATTTACATCATTCCAGATTAAGAGATGCATAGAAATGATTAAGCATAGATTGCTTAAAGTCTGATGGTTGTTTTTTTAGTGTAGGTGATTTAAGTTTCAAAAAGGGGAAGAGTAATTTTGGAGGATAAGATGAAAATTATCAAAATATCACAAGGAATAAGCCAACATGAAATCGTCAAGGAACTTGGAATATCAAGGCATACTGTTCAAGTGAAGAATTCCAATGTTAGAAGCATTTTGAATATGAAAAAGATTGGTCAAGCTTCGAAAAGAGAATATCAAAGAAAACTAGTGAAATCCCTGTGAATGTGACATCTTGTCTTTTTAATTTGAATTGTAGCCTTCCAAAAATATCTGGATGTAGCCAACAAAATCTTGTCTATCATATTGACAACATCCAGTTCTTGGTAATGACTGAGACAGTCAAAATTGTACAAACAAGAACATTAATTTTAATTTTTGCAATTTTGATTTGGATGGATAAGAACTTATCTGAAAATTACAAAAAATTAAACAGACAGACCTTGCTGGTTAAATTTAACGAAAATCATTTAAAAGTTTATCTCTGTATAATTGATTGATTTGTTTTTTTACAGTTTATCAACCTTTTCCAGATTATTTAAAGAGAAAAATTTTTAGATTGTAACAATTTTTTTGAGATAACAATGATTTTGCTGATACAAGTTTACATAGGTAGGGGTGGAGAGAAGAGGTGAATTCATACCTTTCCCAAGAGTATTTGCACATAAGTGAATATCACAAGCTCAACTGGAATTGGGACTCAGCTCACTGAATCCCAATTTTGAGCCATTATCCATTACACCCCCTGCAAGTTTACAATATCTGTTATTCCCAAATGGTCACCCATCTAAGTACTGACTAGGTTAAACATTGCTTAATTTTAGTGGTCAGAAGAGAACCAGTGGTTCAACATGATATGTCCATAAGCTTGTGTCTCTGAACACATTTAAAGACTAATAACAGATGAATATGTCACTGGTAATATGAATTTGATTAGAATTCGTATAAATAAATTTTCCAACATTCCTTTTACTCTGTCAAAATTTCTTGGATGAAGGATTTATCATTATTTACACTATTTATATTCAGGCTATTGTCCTCATATTTGTTGGCCTAGTGGATTAAAGTGTTGGTTCATTATCCCTGGGTCTTGAAATGTACTTGGACTCAGTGGAATCAGGTGAGCAATAACTGAGTACTTTAAAAAAAAAAAAAAAAAAAAAAAAAATGATATCCTTAGACATGGGCAGTGGAACAATAACAGTCTACCCCTGTAGATTAAATAAAATATTCAGTTCAGATCAATATATAAGGTCAGAAGGGCACAACAGCAAAAACTTTGTGATAACAAGAACAAAGATGAGGACAATAGTCTGAATATAAATACGTGTAAATAAGGATAACTCCTCTTTTTATCTGAATTTCTGAGTTATCATTATTCATACTATTTATATTTGAACTATTGTCCTTGTCTTTTTTGTTGCTATCAAAGAGGAGGACAATAGTGTTGTAGAGTAATTTTCACAGTGGAAGCTTGTATTTCACTAAGTCAGTCCTGAATTAGGTTCGACGTACAAAACATTAGGAACTTGAAATAATAGTTAATGATGCAGCAATCTAGTTGTGGGGCTCATACTTTAATGTCCGACATCGACTGACTCACTCAACTCACTCAGCTTCACTGGCGACTGCTACTACTACTACTTATTATCTGTGGGAGAGTCTATTTACAATAGAAATAGGTACGTTCCTGTATAATAAATAGTCTGCATGTAAATAGTGTAAATAATTCTTTTTTCATCTTTAGCAGCTCTGTTGAGCTCATCATAAAGATTCTTTTCTTTTCTCTCATTCACATGTCAAAAAATATCTTCAGTTCTTGTTACTGAAAAAATCGTCAGCAATTTAACTAGTCTTAATTTTGGTTTGGGCAGCTCACCTAAGTGTCATGAAAATCATGGTTTGGACAAAATAAAAATGGAGGCCAACATATCTCTTTGGACAGAAGAATTAAAAAAAATAAAATTTTTTTTTAAAAATAAGACAATAAGACATCAATCGACATCTGAGAATTCTTCATCCACAATTTCTATAAATTCTTTAAAACCCCTTGATAATCATAAGATAACCGTTCCTTGTGACCTAGACCTCAGTGGCATGCTGAAATCCTTTAAACTGCAGTTCCTTTGTCGGTAGAGGGTGCACATAGTGTAAATACTAAGAGACAAAGACACCAATGATGTCACACTGCATATTCCGACGACACTGTACACAATGGTCATATCAGCCCCTGAAATTACAAAGAAAGATATAGTCTTATTTTTTTTTGTTTTTTTGGTAATTAACTTTTTGTTTGACAAATTTATGATTTTTTGTTTCTTTCTATTTTTGATTAAAATGGATATCACATGTAACTCAGAGAGAAAATAATGATGTGTCAAGATGTTGACATTCCACACTACTTCAAATAAAAGGTTAGGAAGGAAACCTCCTTCAATACTGGAAAGAACAATAATAGCTATTGTACTTGAAAAACCTATCTTCTTGTAATCTTTAAGAGAAAGATTTTATAAATTTCTACACAAAGCAGTACTGGTTGCTTGATTGTGTCACCTGGTTTCCTCAAAGGCTTGCCTGACTTTTCAGCGTTCCTAAACTTAAAAATTTTGAAAAACCAATAACATTTTTGCTTTTGTATATAAATACTTGTTACAAAATAAAATCCATGCATTTGCTGTGATAAAGTTTCCTCAGAGGATGAAACGTGTTGGCTAAGATAAGTTTTCCTTTTGTCTTTCTTCATATTGTACTTTTACAGATATTCTCTGTCTGAAATCGATATCGATATGATTTTTTTGTTTCCTTCTACTTTTGATTAAAACTGATATCACATGTAACTCAGAGAGAAAATAATAACATATCAAGATGTTGACATTCCACACTACTTCAAATAAAAGGTTAGGAAGGAAAGCCCTTCAATAGTGGAAAGAATGATAACAGTTACTGCACCTGAAAAAACTTATCTTCCCAAAATCAAAAGGAGTAGTGGCTGGCCAGTCAATGAATGCCGAATGTTTTCTTATAAGAAAATGACTACTGCATATATATATATATATATATATATATATATATTATATATATATATATATATTTATGGATTAAATGGATTAAAGCTCAATATCAGAGATAAAGTGTATGTGAATATAAAAGTGGACATTGAAGTCAATGCCCAAAGGTGACAATCTGTTTCATGCTAAATGCAATTTGTGCAAAATGGCCTGACGATTGTGCTTAGCATGAAGTAGACATTGACTTTAATGTCCACGTTATATATATATATTAAAGATCAAATATAGATAGGAATCTGACTGAATGATAAAGAACAAATAGGAAAACATATAACAATCTAACATGTTTCACTTTATTAAAATCTTAAAGTTCATCAGAGATTGAGAGGAAATAGACGAAAAGACAGAAACTCTGTTATTTTCAGTTTTGTTTGGGTTAGTTCTCATTGGTCAGTCATGTGTCATGTGCATTAAAACCATAGATAATTCTATATGTATATAAGTTTGTGAAAATTCTTGTATGTCTAAGTGGGCATCAGATGGTAATGTGTATTTGTAATTGTGTATGTGTGCCTGTCTAGTGTCTAATTTATGGCTGATCTCTTTAAGCATGTATTCTTTGTATTAGATAGATATAAGTTAGATTCTTTAAGAATGGATTCAAAGAAGGATGGCAATGTAATGTTTTAGGTATGTATTTATTTTTTAATTAGGGTGGGATTTTTGCATTGTAAACAATTTATTTGATAAATTCCAACATTTGAATTGGTGTTGGGTTTATTTTTCTTTCTAATTATATCTCCAATTGTCTTGGAGGTGAATACCTTTTTTGAAACTTGTGGACTGCTGCTACAGAATCACAGAGAATTGTACCAGATAAAAGAAAACACATTACTTGAGGACTTTCAACAACAACTAAAATGGATATTACATGTAACTCAGACAGAAAATAATGACATAATCAAGATGTTGGCATTCTACACCACTTCATCTAAAAGGAAAGGAAAAACATTAACAGCTACTGAACTTGAGAAACCTATTTTCCTGAAAAATTGTTTTAAGAGAAAGATTTTGTAAGTTTCAACTGACTGTAGTACTAGCTGCTCAGTCAATGAATGCCAAATATTTCCTTACCTGTTGATTGTCAGATCAGTTTTAGAATGTAAGTCTTTCTCCTAGACTGGTTGCCAACTAAGGATAGAGAACCAGTTTGCCTTGCTATTTAACCCATAGCTGAATGGAAAAGAGATGGAGTCATACTTTTTTCCAAATGTATTTGTGTGAAGGCAAATGTAACAAACCTGGCCAAAATTTGAACACAGCTCGCATATAACCCGTTTTGAGCTGCTAACTATTAAACTGTCTTCATTTTCATTATTTACATTTAATGGACTATTATCCTCATCTTCATTGCCATTTTCACAACATTTTGGCCGTTGCACGTTCCGGCCTTCTTCAGGTGATTGGAATTTTGAACTGGACCCTTTATTTCATCCACTGAGGTAGCTTGTTCAGTGGATGAAGACGTTGGTTAGATCCAGTGACTAGACCCAAAGAATTGTGAGTTCAATATCATGCCACAGCTGTGGTGAACCAAAAAACTTGGAAAGTTGAGTTAAAGGGAAATAGCTGAGACATCCGGAAGAGGCATGACACGTGGGACCAGAACAATCTACCTCGGTGGATAAAATAAAGGGTTCGATTCGAAATTCCATTAACCTGAAGAAGGCCAGAGCGTACAACGGCCGAAATGCTGTGAAAATGGCAATGAAGATGAGGATAACAATCTGATAAATGTAAATATTGCAAGTAATCATAACACCTCATCTCATACACATAAACAGATGCCTGCATTTATTTGCACATATATCTTGAAAATTGTACCAACATTAGTTGTTTAAATGCTAATTTTATTGAGAAAACATTGGCTTGCATAATAAAATCTGACGCTTGTGAATCTAAGATTTCATAGCCGGTCAAAGAAATTGTTAATTCATCTACAATTGATGATTAGTTTCAAAGAGTTAGTCAGAAATGTTGAGAAGAGAAAATATATCATTTGTACTTAAGCATCCTTTCGCCTTTAATGATGAAACAATCAGTAGTATCAGACGATCTCTGTTGACACTCATTGAGACGCGTTGAAATACTAGAAAGTGATGAGATGTCAAACAAACCAATTGGGTCAAGGCCTACTTGACTTTACATGTTGACCACAAAAAGATTGTATTGTACTTTTAAGGTTCTCACTAAAACTAACCATACGTCTGTTTTACATTGACGTATGCCACCTATATGTGTCAGAGGTCACTGCTTTAATGAAAACAAAAGACGCTCTCTCCAGTGGGTCATCTCAGCATTATTTTTTTTCTTTTGAAAGTATTTCACACGGCTCTCTTGATAATACATGAGAATATAGTGCGGTCAGGAAGGTCTCAAGTCCCTGTTCTATTTTGTTGTTACTGAGAACTAAACAGAAGATTACATTTAACCTCTATTTATGACAATGCTATTGAATTGAGCTGTATCATTTGTCTAAAATCATTCCACTTCCAGCGACAACTTTCGGACGTGCCTTGCAACCCTACTCATGAAGTAGGAAATTAGGTCGTTCCAACTGGGCGCAAAGCTGGCTTGAGCTCCACCATTTTCAACATTCTTATCCTTATTCACCATAACTTACTCCTGAACCAAAAAAGAAAATATGTATACCCAAGAGACATTGAGAACTTTGTTTCACTACAGTCACCATAAAAAGAGAAAAAGGCCCGCAGTAGAAACCCAAGCTTTTGTTGCTTCTTTTTTGTTTATCATCTGAGCACGCACACACCTAAAATACACGCAAACAAGGGACTTTTCAAATTCCACAATATGAATATAGATATGAATAAAGGTATATATATATATATATATATATATATATATGTGTGTGTGTGTGTGTGTGTGTGTGTGTGTGTGTGTGTGTGTGTGTGGAAAATTAGGAAATCAGCTGATTCGGCTACTTTGGTTTCAACCTTTCGGTATCTTCAGGCGATTTCGATCAATTGATCTCCTAACGCTTTATTTTTTTTAAAATAAAAATTTATGAACACTATATTTTAAAAAATAAATAAAACAAATAAATGTACGACGTGAGGGGTGGTAGAAGGTGAGGAGGAGGGGAAATCAAGTGCATTGGAAATGTATCGGTAGGGGAATTAAATGAAATATACATTACGTTCTTTTTATCCCAATTCAAATGAACTCAAAAGAAACTTGAATACAACGGGACATAATTTCCGATTTCCGGTCTCTCTCTCTCTCTCTCTCTCTCTCTCTCTATATATATATATATATATATATATATATATATATATATATATATGAAAACTTTATGACAAAGGGGAAAAAAGTACCCAATACTGTTCTTGATATATAAGAATATATACCGTTATCTTATATATATATATATATATATATATATATATATATATATATAAAAACTTGATAAGACTGGGACGAAACCGGTTGTTTTAGCTAGTAAATTTACACTGATATGCCTTTTAAATTACATTTATTCCTTGCTATTATTTGTTTTGTACAACAAAATTTTGTTTTATATATATATATATATGAGAGAGAGAGAGGGGGGGGGAGAGAAAACACTGACATAGATAATGAAAACACTTGCATAGATCGATAGCTAGATATCAATCTGCATCATTAATTAGTTTCTAAGTATTTAACTTACCAAAAGAAGATTCAGACACTGTCTGTTTTTCGGGCTGCTTTTTGGTCATAGTATCTCCGCAGTTGATCTTTACCTGGGTAGAAACACTGATGGCATTGGGGACTTGATTCTTAACTAAATTGACCCCCACATTTTGATGTACAACAGAATTAGATGATGCCTGTGCGTCGTTCTTGGAAAGCATCATGTCCGAAACTGGTTGGTGCCTGGCCTGCGGAGTCGGTATCTCCGGTGATCTTGACCAAGCCGTATTCGGTCTTCTCTTAATATATTTGTTCGAGTCTCTGTTGTCCGTTATGCTTTCATTGCTTACCCGAAACTTCCAGCAACAGATTGCATTGAAGCAGGATTTTACATCTACGATTACATGATCTATCACTTCAAGAATGCTGAGAGCTATTTTTCGACAACTTAAGGAGGTGTTGCGCGCATCCACGACCTTTAAATCGGGCAAGAAACTTACATTGAACGAAAGATTCTGAAGGTGCGTGCCCTTTAGGGACAGCTCTGTGTAGCCTTCGTGTCGAGATTGAAATTTCACGCTGGTAATGGCGGTGTCATCACAATCTACCAGCTGTAACTGAGATCGCCAAAAGCATACATCTTCGATGTACTGCACCAAGCCGATACCAAACAGATCTTGGAAAGCCACGAAGAATAAAAAGGATCGAAGAATTTGATTTTGATCCATTGTTGTCCTGGAGATAAAAAAAAAGTTAAATATTAGGGTTTTCTTTTTATTATTTTTTTAAAATAATCTCACCCTAAGCAAGGTGATAAAGCCACTGAGACGCAAGAGTTTATTGAGAGTAAAAGAAAAGGAGAAAGCGTTAGTGAGAAGAAAGGACAATAAAAGAACAGGAATTTTAAAGGACAGAAGATAACGATTGACGTTGCATTTAAATTTGTTGAAGATCAAAATTAAATCAAAAGCAAGAAGCCGGAATAGAGTTCCACAGGCGATAAGTGCGAGAAAAGAAAATGCTAGCACAGAACTCACAGCTTCATCTAGCCATTTCAGGTGAAAATGATGAGACCTTGACTCTAATCTATTACTATGTTTGAATTCATAAAGTCGAGATGCCAAAGAGGAAAGCTCGTCAGAACAATTTCTATGAAAATGTTTATAGAAAAGGCACAGGGAAGCTACATTTTACGATAATAGGAAATAAAAAATTTTACGACAGTAGGAAAGCTTATTGAATAAAACTAACTGTCCTACAGAAAAAGATAATTTTATTTTTTTTAACTTTGCTTCTACACTAAATATATATATATATATATATATATATATATATATATATATATTATAAATTAATTGATTTAAAATATGTTTTTTTTCGCTACACAGTTCTAACCATGTTTCAAAAATGAAAGCTGAAAGCTTCGAATTTCATTTTGTAATTAAATTAAAGACATTAGTTCCATTTCATCCTCAAGCGAATAATGCTCAAGATAGATTATGGCGAGAAAAAAATTTTCTAGCCCAACCACTTCAGGACTATAAAATGAACATAAATGAACCTTCTTCCTCTGCTTTTACTCTGGAATGTAGTAGCAGGTATAAACCTTGATCAAATTTTGAACTACCTGTTAAGTATCCTATATCTGAAATTCCCAAATCTGAAAACCTGTAAAATCTGAAAGTTTTTCAGATGCTGACATGCCACAAATAGAAAATTTCAGAAAGAAACATGGCTACCCGTAACATGATTATTGCGTTATAAATAAATTCTGACTTTTTTCAGTTTTCATTACATTTAACTGAACTCACAAACCACGTTTTGTTTTTATACAAATACTGTACCTGTATGTATTGTAACATTTTAATCAAAACACGACATCGTTGGTTGAGACTGATAGCTTACCAAATTTTCCTTCTCACACTCAGAGTTGCCAACGATGATGTACCCTCTCCAACAAGTTTTTCACATCTGATGTCGAAGTAATATTTAGTGTTGCATTTATATATTTTTTGTAAGTAGTGATCATCTTTTTTGTACAGGTACAGAAAGTACAAAACATTTTTTTAGGTGAAATCTTAATTTCACCACTTATAAAATCCGTGTGGGCGTTACATGACTAGCGTCATTACTTGTAACTGCATGTAATCAAAATTTATTAAATCTTATATAAAATTACATTCAGGGTATATGTTACTTATATAAAACTACTTTCGGATATAAGCTGATATTATGAAATGTAAAGGGATATCATGTTTATGCTTGAGTTCCATTCCCAAGCTGCCCTATTTTATAGATAATATATATATATATATATATATATATATATATATATATATATATATAAAAATTAAATAGCCTGTCTTCTAAAGTTTTGCTCCAAAATGCTACGCCGTTCCTTCTTCTATCCTCGCGAATGTGCTCAACATGTTTCATAAAAAACACGACGACCCCAGTTCTTATCCTAACTTCTACTTGAAATACGACAAATATAACTTTTTCACCATAACAGTAATGTTGCTTCGCTGTTTTTTGCAAAGTAGAGTAGTGGATAGCGACTCGGATTGAGGAATCAGAGAGCCGAGTTCGAATTCTAGTCGGATCCATTACATTCACTTACGTGCTAATACCCTTAGGAAATGTATGAATCCTCTTCTTGCCCCCGTAAATAGCAGGACAGACTGGGTCCTATAACCTTGGATGGCAACTGGTCTACCGAAGAAAGAAATGGCAACCTACTGCGGGAAAAAATCTGCTTCGTCAGTCAAGTATCGAAAGATACATGATCGCCTAATCGTGTATCACGCACGGCACATAACAGTAATGTTTCTTCGCTGTTTTTGCAAAGTATACGAGCCACAGATAAAACGAAAGCGATCAGACATCAAACATCTTCTCGTAGAAACCATATGTTATAGTGGAACACACCTATTCTATAGTTAATAGACTCTCTCACCTATAATAAGTAGGAGTAGTAAGAGTAACGAGGGAATCGCTCAGTGGGTCAGTCAGGCTGACCGGCTGAACTCTCTGCCTTCGGGCGGGGAGGAACCCGAAGGAGGCTACGCCGAAGGGCGGAGTCTCTTTCAGGGAGGTAAACCGACCCTGAACCCGTTTATACGGGTTCAATGGACATATAATGGCTTCTGTTACCAATTATAGACATTTAAGAATATGGCATCTCTACAAATATTCTTAAATGTCTATAATTAGTAACAGAAGCCATTGGGTTATACCAACGGCTTCCCATACTTCATATTTCTCCAATTCACACTCGTGTGGTCATGTGTGACGTCATGAGATGCGGTGCGATTTTCGTTTCTAGCGTCTTATATGCACGTATTTATCGTTGCTTAGAAATCATCTATGTAAATAATGACAGACTATCATCACTGTCTTGTCCGTATATTGCTTAATATGTTGTAATTGACATCTTTGATAATGGCTTATGTAAGCCGAAAGCTTAAATTGTATTAAAAAATATGGACCAATATTGTGAATTTCTTTCTTCGTTCAACGATAATGTTATTAAACTTAGACGTTATGAAAAAATTTACATATAATAGACAACACTTGTCTATATTATTTAATGAAACGTATATATATATATATATATATATATATATATATATATATATATATATATATATATATATATATATATATAAATTTAAATGCCCATTAAGGAATTGTATTCTGACCAATCAAAATTTGTAAATAATTATATAGGCCATACCACAACATGTTTGACACGAAGACTCACGCTACACCTTTCTGGCCATAGCTGAATTAGATCTCATTTAAATATACCTGGAGACCTACCGGACATTATTAGTAACATACTTGTTGACAACAGAAGTATAATAGCATCATCTACATGCAAAATGAGGATAAAAGTAATGGAAGCCTTATTAATAAAAACCAAAAAAAAAAAAAAATCAACACTCAATAATATCAACTATGAACATGGACACAATATCTTCACCGTGTTTTGAAAATGAAAAGATTATATAAATATATGCAACAAACTATTTCTTATTTAACAGTTAAAATATTTCAACCTTGAAAACAGCTAAATGTATAGCCGAAAGCGCTTGGAAAAAAAGAACATTCGAACAGTTTTTATATAATTCATCATCTGAAAAGAAAAAAATTATTAGATCACATGAGAATTTGTATAAAAAAACTAAATCAAAGCACCTTGTCTGTCCTATTCAATGAAATGTGCATGAAAGAAGGACTGCTGTCTAAATACACAAATTTATATGTGTGTGTGTGTGTGTGTGCATGTTTATGTGTGTGTTTGTGTGTGTGTATGCGTGTGAAAACTGTGACTTAAAATTTCTCTCTTCATGCTTCAATTTAGTCAGAAGGCTAATGTATAGTAAATATTATCCATCTAATTACCAATATCATTTTGTTGCTTTTTTTATTTTTCAATTTATATAGACCGGCCCATTAAATCTACACGTGTGTGTGTGTGTGTGTATATATATATATATATATATATATATATATATATATATATATATATATATATATATATATATATATATATATATATATATATATATATAACAAGCGATAAATGTAGGTATCTATAGTGCGAAACAGTACAAATGTATAGTAACAAACAGTACTCAATATTAATATATATATATATTTAATATATATATATATATATATATACATAATATATTACATTAATAACACAACTCCGAGTTTCAAGCCGAAGCAATTTTCAAGGGCTGAAATTATTATATTTATTTTTATATTTTTGATTGACACCACTTTTTTTTTTTTAAAGATTTTCTGGTTCACGCGAGATCTATTATTGTTGGTGTGGAATATTATTGGAGCCACCACAACAATAATATATCTCTTGTGAATCAAGAAATTAAAAAAAAAAGCGGTGTCAAAACAAAATATAAATAAAAATATAATTCCAGCACTTGAAAATTGCTTCGCTATGAAACTCGGAGTTGTGCAATTAAGTTGTAAGATATTATATATATATATATATATATATATATATATATATGGAGCGCACAGTGAGGATCAATTTCACAATTCAGTTGTAACTGATCTAGCAAGACAAACTTGCTAACTATCACACCACGTTGGAGTGTCCTCTTTACTGTTATAATTTAATGTTCTTGGTGGAGTTGACAATTATTTATATGACTTTAAATAAATTATCTCCCTCAAACAAAAAACTTGAAATTAAATTAGAAAATGAAGAATATGCGTGAATAAAAAGAACGGGAAGACAAAAGTGTGATTTCAAATAAAGTAGCAATAATTATTTTAGCAAATAATACAAAATCTTTTAATAAGTTCGTCTTTGAAGACTTTGTGAAATGAATAAAATGAATAATTTAAGCGGAAAAGAAGTTGCAATCATTCGCTGTAGAAATGAAGTCACAAGAGCGCTAGATCGACCATTTGTTTACATGTGGTCGATCCATTGTCATTAACCGATTAAGTGGGGGCGCGGATTTGCGCCTGGTGGATAGGAGGTTATCTTTTTTTTTTTTTTAGAATTTTACAGTATTTGTAAATAAAAATATTGTGTGACTAATATAAAATAGATATATATTAATAAATTATATATATTATATAATTATTTATATAATTATTAATTATTATTATAATTATTATATAATATATATATTAATATATATATATATATAAAATTTGTGTGACTAAATTAATAATATAAATAATATAATTAATATAACAATAAATGAATATATGTATATTAGTATTATAGTACATACGTATATACACGTACACTTACACACAAATATTTTTTTTTATTTTATGCATAGTGTAGTGTAAAAATATGTACTGTATGTATTGACTCGCACATACTCATTCTCACACAGACTCACTAGAAAAAAAATCACTGTTAACTCATTCTCGAATTGCCCCCTTAAAAATCAAATTGCCCCAATTTTGGGATCCAGGAGTTTTTTAGCGTGTTTTTTTTTTTTTTTTTTTTTTCTATGTCAATGAATAAAACAGCATGTGATCCCTTCTTATTATGAAAACGGTTTCTGAACTAGCATCATTAGTTCCCCACATCCTGACGTCACTGAACACCGATTTTTCGTGATTTTTTATTTTTTTTTTTTATCTAATTATGAAGTTAAAAGAGTAGGGCAGATTCGGTACAGGAATAAAAAAAAAAAAAAAAAAAAAAAAAAAAACACGCCGCCACTCCAAAACGCATAAACAACCAAAGATTTTACTTACTTTTTGCGTGTGGCGGAGTTGTTAATTATTTATATCTGACTGCAAATAAATTATTTTCCACTAACAAAAAAAAAAAAAAAAAAAATAACCTTCAATGATGAGTTAAAAAAAAGCAAAAAAGTTGAAAATGGAATGAAATTAAAAAACATCAAAACAATATGCATAAAAAAAGAATGAAGAAGACATAAGTTGTCGTTTCAAATAAAGTAGTATTAATTATTTTACCAAATAATACAAAATAATTTAATAAGTTCGTCTTTGAAGACTGTGTGAAATAAATAAATTGGATAATTTAAGCAGCAAAGAAGTCAGTCGCTAGAGAATTTAAGTCAAAAGAGCACTGTGTGTTGGGAGAGATTGAAAAGTAGAACAATTGGTTGACTTCTGTCTGGGCGGCTTGTTTATTCGAAGAGAGAGGGGGAGAAAAAGTATGACGGTGGTGGCGTGAGGAACAAACTTGACACTAATTTAAGCAGATGAACGTCATATAGCTATTTAACTAAGCGCAGCTTATATGTGGCGCAAGGCCGAAAGTATGGATTGAAGTCCCTATTCAGGCGTAATTGATCTAGCGAAGTAAGCTTTCTAACCATTTACACACAGTACACCATGTTGAAAAACCCCGTATACGTGCCAAACAAGTTGCTTTTTTTGAGAGTAGAAATAAAGCGTTTTGATTGGACAATAAATCTAAAAAAAGGCGTTTCCTTTGAAACTATACAGCAACTTACACGGATGTGGTCGGCTGAATCTGAAATCCGACTTAGAAGCTTTTGTTTCGAAAGAAACCTTTTCATATTGGCTCTAAAAATCATTGTTTATTAGATTTTAATTTAGATTGACCATATTTAACGGATTCGTTTGAAGTTACATTCATTTCATTGTCATAGCAATGTTCGTAAATAAAACACAAGTAAATCAATAAATCTTCTTTCAGCTATTATTACGCTCTGTACTTATTTTTTTCTTTTTAAAAAAAGAGCATTTACATCTCAATTTTTGTTCTTTTTCGCATTTCATTCTTCCTTGTTAATACCCTTAATTTATTGTAAAATATTAATTACATATTGTATTATGCAGCGAAAATATCAGCTTGATATTCAGCTATATGTCAGGATGCAGACTTATTGATCTAGCCCAGTATGTTATTACATTTTCAGCGGTGTGTGCAATACAGGATATTTTATAATTTATATACGCAGGTCAAAACTCATAATTATTCAGTGGAAATATTTACAAAATGAAGCTGCTAAAAACAAAACGCTGAAAGTAATCTTTGGAAATGTGAATAGAATTGTAAAAAGACGCAAATCATTAGAAGTGTAAAATCATGCAAATTGATAGAATTGTAAAATAACGTGAATCCTTAGAATTGTATAAAAAAAAAAGAAAAAAGGCGAATCATTAGAATTGTAAAATAACGCGAATTGATAGAATTGTAAAATAAGGCGAATCATTAAAATTGTAAAATCATGTGAATCAATAGAATTGTATAATAAAGTGATTCCTTAAAATTGTAAAATAACCTGTATCCTTAGAATTGTAAAAATAACATGAATCCTTAGACTTGTAAAATCATGCGAATCAACAGAATTGTAAAATAACACGATTCCTTAAAATTGTAAAATACCGCAAATCAAAAGAATGTAAAATAATGCGATACATTACAATTGTAAAATAACGAAATAAATAGAATTGTAAAATAATGTGAATCGTTTGACTTTTAAAATCATGCAAATTAATAGAATTGTGAAATAACATGATTCCTTAGAATTGTGAAATAACGCGAATCAATAGAATTATAAAATAACGCGATTCCTTAGAATTGTAACATAACGCGAATCCTTAACGTGAATGCTCAGAATTGTAAAACAACGTGAATTCTTAAACTTGTAAAATTATACGAATCAATAGAATTGTGAAATACCGTGATTCATTAGAATTGTAATGTAAAATAATGAAAGTAAATAGGATTGTAAAATAATTTGAACCGTTTGACTTTTAAAATCATGAAAATAAATTATTAGAATTGTGAAATAACGCAAATCCTTCGAATTGTAAAATAAGACGAATCCTTAGAATTGTGAAATAACGTGAATCGGATTATTAGAATTTTAAAAATCCTTTAAAAATGTAGTCTTTACAACTTAAATTGAATGAACAATAAAAAATGCTTTACTTTAAAAAAAAAAAATGAAGTTTATCGAAAATAAAGAATGTGACACCATTAGTTTGGTTAATTTTACGACATGTCAAGCCTTAAAGTCGAATTTCGTTTTTGGGCACCTGTGAAGATCGAACTCACTAAATCAGTAGTAATGGTCACCAGACAAGCTTTACTAACCATTACCCTACACCGAGATGCCTATACGTGTGTTTTAAAGTGCCAAGTAAAAATGAGAGAGAGAGAGAGAGAGAGAGAGAGAGAAAGAGAGAGAGAAAGAGAGAGAGAACGTGGACAATACTTACAGAAGAGTTGTATTCTCCTTTGCACGTTGAAAGTGAAACTTAACCGATGATCTGCAAATTGATTTCCAACCAAAAGTAAAAATGTCTTACTTTTCTCAGCTGTTTATGACATAAAACACTTGTCAACGCGGCAGTATCCCCCCTCAAAGACCATGCGAGAATAGTAATTTCAAGAACTATAACTTAGCAGAAAAAAAAAGGAATGAAAATAAAACTTTTTAGAAAGTTGACGTTTTATAAACGTGATAACAGAAAGGTATGCTGTTAAATAAAAAAAACGTAGGCCTCTTCTTGAGATCGTGCGTCTTTCAAACTTAAAATGCAGACGAGCGCTTGCATAAAATAAGCTATGGCTCAGCACGGTCGTTGAAAAACGGAGAAATATTCTGTGTTCGGTTGAGTAAGTATGAGTTGCGAGAAAGTTTGAAAAACGGAAAGCGCGAGTCAACTTTTGGGGTGTGAGCAATCGTTTGTCGAGTACCAGTTTCCGAGAAGACATTACGGCACAGTAATATGAATCAGCGACAAGGCGTAAATTCTTCTCCTCAAGGGAATTTGTTATGATGACTCAATGGATTGATGACCTTGAAGTCGGTAAAAAAAAACGAGACTTTGATATGAAAACTCGTATACTGATAGAAATGGTTTTAAATTCAGATTTTACGCATGTGTGTGTGCGTGTTAACTAGATTTTCTCAGAATTAGATTTGCAGAGAAATTAGAAAAAATAATGTGAAGAGACGAAAAATTAAATCCAATCTTAAAAACGCATATATACTTGTAAGGAAACCGCATTCCTATTTAGTTGAAGGCCCGTTTAAACTAAATTTAAATTAAATTTATTTATTTCAATATTGAATTTCAGGTTTTAAAAATTGAACTATTGTTTAATGTACTCAGTGACGGTTGTGAATTTGCCTTCTGTCTAAAAGTTTGTATCAGTTTTTATGAGCCTAACAAATTGTGATTTTAGAACTTTGTTATAATGAGCGTTTCGTTGCGAAAGGAAAGGAATAACGAGGATTAGATTTTCAAACAGCCTGTATTTGTTTAATATACATGATACATTTATAGTTGTTAGAAAATTGGAGAAAATTTTCGGTTGCTGATCGTCGGCAAAACGATTAGGTGTAAGAAGAGTAATGCCAGGAGTTAACCGATTTCTTGGGTTAGTTTGGCCGAGGTCACGGGATAGAACCGGAGTAGATTTAACCGTTGGTTGGGTTTGATGAGTATAACAACTTGTTATCTTCCCTAATTCTTGGGTGCACAAAGGAAAATTGTGTTCAATCTTGTATTCTGTTTTACTTTTCTTATGTCATTGTAATAAATGTTTGTTTCTTTCAAATTCCACACGGGGCCTTGTTTGTTTTCCTTTGCGCCTTTCACTACACTCGGGATAAGAGACGTGGAACTCTCTCTTTCCTCCTCCTCTCCCTAAAATATCCTTTTAGACGATAAATGTAAACAACATATTTAAACATCTCTGAAAAATCCAATATTTGTCTTGCATATATGTTTTAATATCGATTAGTAAATTTAAGGACAAACCGGATTTTGTAATCGTAATGCTTACTTTTTGCTTAAAATATAATACAAGTAACGTTTATTCCTGCTTGTGATGCCATAGGTCAACAACAATATTTTGCCCTGTAATCCCCGACTTAAAAAGTGGAATTTAGAAAAAGAAATAAAAAAAAAAAAAAAATGGAGCATCAGCAGTGCAATAATTTGTATTTATATATGAAAATAAATTATCTTGAAATTTAAATAGTTTAAGAATATAATTCTTAATTCTATACGTTTTTATAATGAAACTTAGAATGATTCATTTTTTTATACTACAAATGTATAAAAAAAATAATGAAAAATTAGTGAATTGATACTTTTGGGTTTAATACATTGCTATTATTTTTTCATTATTTTCCTATTTTATTTAATATGATAAAAATACTTAATTATAACGAATGAGGTCTTTGTTTACACTATCCTGAATTTAGCCGTTATTGAATTATCATATATTAGCCAAATTGCCCGTGCCTTACTGCGTGTCACTCTTTTTTTTTTTTGTAAGAAAATGATAATTGATTTTAAATTATTGTTATAATTTGTGGAGAAAAATGATGCATTTCAATATTACTCAATGATCTTGCCAATGTGACCTCCATCTTCTGGCTTTCTCCTATATTTTGGATAGGAGCCATTTTCTTGTTCAAATTTAAATTTAATTTAAATCAAAGGGAAAAAATTCAGTGGGGGTGCATGGTTGTACTCCCTCCCCGGCGTCCTCCTTTGATCAAAATGATCTTGCTTATGTGACCCCCATCTTCTGGCTTTCTCCTTCTTTATTTTGAAAAGGAGTCATTTCCTTGTTCAAATTTAAATTTAACTTAAATCAAAGGGAAAACATTTTTCAGTGTGTATTGGGGGATGCCCCGGGGGACCCCCTTTGATCAAAATGAAATATACTTATCCAAGTACCCAAGGTTATGTTGTTTCAAAATATATATAGTTATGTGGGTCTATCTTCAAATCCCTAGGAGGAGTTCGATAACAGACAGACAGAGACTACAACTCTCTCTCTCTCTCTCTCTCTCTCTCTCTCTATATATATATATATATATATATACGAGATAATACCCTTGGGAAAGGTATGAATCCTCTTCCTCTCCCTCCAGCTATGGGTAAAATAGCAGGACAGACTGGTTCTATAGCCTTGGATGGCAACTGGTCTAGGAGAAGGACAACTCTGAATTCAAAACCTGCGGAGGGTCGTTTGGGAACCTTGTGGCACTTAGTGCACCAGGTCTGTGTATTCGTCCCTTCAAAAAGTGTGGATGGTCCTGCACGAAGCCTTCACCACTATAATCAAATCTCATGTGCCGTTGTCAGGCTGCCGGTTTCCTGGAAACTGATCTGCTTGATCCTCATACGTCGAATCTCGACGGGGAGAGTCGATAATATATATATATATATATATATATATATATATATATATATATGTATATATATATATATTACTCGTCCGATAGACAAGAGTATTCAATCACAGGCGGTAATTTTTCTCATACAAAAAAATAATCTAACAGGTGCTAAAATGAAAAAAATTAAAATTCTTTTAAAAAGCTTCACACTCAAAAAGACATACTTTACATTTTTCGATTATTCAGACATGTATTTTATAAGTAAAGAAGAAAAACTCTTGTTACGAACAGCAACGAGATGAATTACAATATATTGTATTGAAAAATTACAAGTTAACTTTATTTAAGTTTTATTGAATTATTTTTTTGTAAGGTTCTTACACATCTTAAAGGATTTTTTTTTCATGTATCTGTAAAAGAATTTCTTAAAGAATTCCAAATTAAAAAGTACACACGGGATATCAAAAAGGGAAACTGACCACTTCCAAAAACATTTCCAGAAAGTTTTTGAATAAAGTAACTCATTCGGTATATAATTCATTCTTTAATGAATAATTAATGAAAATTTCGTTTGAATCGGATAATAATAATAATATCCTGATTTTTTTAAAACAGTGGGATAGTAATTTTTGTTTTCATTTCGGAAAAAATGTACCTTTTTGAGTTTGCTGGTTTTTCTTTTTTTATGTGCCAGGTCCTTTCAGGACGTAGGCGATCATGGCTCTCCACCCTCTATCCCTTGGAGCTCTCAACGAGTTTCTTCCCTATGCTACCTACACCACGTTCTGTCAATCACTTGCTTAAGCCCGCTAGGTATGTCATGCGTTGTTTTCCCTTTCTCTCTTTCCCTCTATTCGACCCGCGAGTATCAGATTCTCCAGGTCCTCCGTCCTCATTATGTATCCCAGTAACTTCAGTTGCCTCTTCCTGATGTTAAGTATAAGCCTCCTCCTTGTTTGCATCCTCTCTAAGACCTCATCGTTGTTCACACGCTCGGTCCATCATATCCTTGGCATCCTTCTGTAGAACCACATCTCCGTCGCCTCGAGTCTCTTCTTCATCTTTGAGGAAATCGTCCAACATTCGCTGCCGTAAAGAAGGACAGATGTCACGCAGCAGCTCAGTATTATTTTCTTTGTTACCAAAGAAATCCTCCAATCTCGCAATCTAATGAATTAGGCCGGAATTTTAATTCGGTTCGCTGTTTTCACGTTCCGCCCTTATAAACAAAAAACAAAAAGGGATACTGAGGAAAGCCATGATCGCCAACGCCCTGTCTCTCAAAAACACCATTGTTAATTATTGTTGATATCAGTATTTTTGTATTTTTTTTTTTAATTGCAAGCTTCCGAATTCGTCAGTGTAAAAGTGTACACTTTTTGCACATTGTGTATATAAAAAAACTTTATCAATAATTTAATTTTAATAACCTTTCATTCTGTGTTTGTGGTGCATATTGTTAATGTTACACTACTACAGCATTAGTACCGTGAGGTTTTCAAACTTCCAATCCTTCCAAAATTTAAATGCAACGTCAATCTTCTGTATTGAATGTGGTAAAAAAATAATAAGCACATCTCATCTCTCCTCTCGCTTGTAACCATCCACTTTAATAAAATAAGCGTTTTTTTTTTTTAGTTAAATAAAGCTTCATAAGCTTCTAGTTAGATTTGTTGCTATACACAGAAATCTGGGCTTTTATTGTCTTTTCTCCTCGCTAAAGTCTTCTTACTTATTCTCTTTCACTCCTAGTGAGAAACCCCTGTTGTGTCTTAGTGGCATTATCCCCTTGCTTGGGGTGAAATGATTACATTTTAATTTTAGAATTTTCTCTGATTTTTTACTTTTAAGAAGAAAAAAATGGATAATTCTTAATTTTTTTGTTTTTCAATACAATTGAATTCGATTCCATTCTGATTATTTTTCTTTCTTTATTGAAAATAAAAATGAAAAAAGTTTAATTTTGAAAAAATCGAATTAAAAGCCATTATTAAATAATGAGTTTGTAAATTTAAAAAATTAAAACATGAAAATAGATTTAATTTTAATTTTCACTTTTCAGTAAACAAAACAAACTACTTCTTAAAGTAAACTTACTTGTAATTTACAAATTCAAAAATATGAATAAAAAAAAAAAAGACACGACCCTTACAGTTATTTGCCAGAGGTTTTCAGAAAGCGATTTGATTAATCACGAAAAACTGACTTGCTAAAAAAAAACATTTTTTGTGGGATCTTTAAACACGCCGATGTGCAAACGGAGATTTAAAATACAGAAAAAACAGAAACTAAACTTTTTTACTCTAGTTAAACGTGAATTTTTAATTCCGCGGTAGTAGGTTAATAAAAAAGCTGAAATGTAGGAAACCGAAACGAAAAATACATATTGATAGGTATATCTATGAACGGATTCATGAATTAATTCATTCAGAGATCATTTCTAAAAAAATAAATAAATAATTTAAGCAAAAAATAAAACTTCTTAACTTTTTAAAATTGTTTATAGATTTTTCTTATATAATTTCCCATTAGGTATATTTTGTAAAACTTAACTGAATAATTACTTTCGAGAATTATTCTTCCTTCGACTTTTACTTTTGTCCGTCCATCTGTCGTCATAGCAACCAGAAAATACCGTGATTGCGATGAGAATGGCAAAGATTTCGTTGAAAGAAACACTTAAAAGTTTTAAAAGAAGCTAACTTTTTGGTAAATCTGACCAGAATATTGATGATGACTTCCTTTGAATAATTTTTTAACAGGATTTTTTTTCATTTCAACTGAAAATTACTTGAAACTGACTTTTCTCTTTAAAAAGGTAAAATTCTTTTTTCTCTTATTTACCTTGTTTAAGAAAAAACAGTTTTTTTAAAAGTAAAACTCGTTATTCCATGTATATTGTTAACAACCTGTTGTATTATTTCTGTTTAGTTTAACGTACCAACGGGAAGGTTGACAATTGTGTTGTTGAAGGAATGCATGTGTGTAAAAAAAAAAAAAAAGTAACTTTTTTTTAAAACTCAATGATTTGTCCGCCGGCACGCACCAGTAAAACACTTTTTTTTCCTAATAATTAAATAGCCAATTAACTACAATATTTTCAGATTTTGTTTATGTATGTAATTAATACACTGACTTAGGCTAATTATGAACGAATATCAACAAAATACTGTGTATTAATTACCAGTACTGTCGCTGGACTGTTTTATGTCAGTCGGGGTGGAGGTTTTTAAAATCAGGTTTGATCTGCGAATAAAAGTTTATTTTTTATACTAAGTATATTTACCTGACCTTCCCACCAAGTTTGGATGTGACACAAGGTCTTTTAACGTAGGGAGCGCCATACGCATACTTTTATGGGCCAAGGACAAAAATTGCTGTTTTGCCCAGCCCCCGCGACCACTGTCGCGCTGGCATCGGTATTACACAGACTCATCAAATATAGTGCAACGAGGAAGGTGCTGCCGCAGAGTTGGAATCCTTGGGGATGAGCCACTTCTTCTTCCATCTCTTTAGGTACCTCCACGAAATCGCTAAAAAAAAGAGCATAGTCTGATGAAAAAGACGCCAAACTTTATGAAAACAAAATTTTATCGTCTAAATGCTTATGTTTTTATGAAGAGTAAAGACCAAATTTTTTTTTGATTATTTTAAAAATTTTTTCCTTCTTTTTAGAACATTCTAAATTTTGATTAAAAAAACTTGTTTCTCTTTGTACCAACTGGGGCTAGTAAAACATAGATAATTTTTGTATTACACACATTAATTTGGAAAATCTTGCAAAAATAAAAATAATTGTTAGATGTAAATGAAACTTTCAGAAACTATTCGCAGATGATCGAAATTATTATAAATATGTTTTTTTTTTATTAAAAACTGAAGAAAAAGTTGAATGCGCTTTCTCTTTTTGTCATTTTTGAAATTGTAATCTTTCTTTCATTTCTGATAGTAATACTTTTTTTGAAACATACCAGAAATTGTTATCCTGCCTTAATAGGCACACAAAAGGAAATTTGTGTGCAAATTTTGTATTTGTACCTATTTTGTTGTGTTCTGGGTAAGACAATAAACTACATCTGACAGCAAGGCCTTTGATCAGGAGGTTTTGAGGAGTGTGGAACCACCTCTTAATTACTGGTGTTCCCAGATCCATACTGACCTGGGGTGGTAGCATCTGTTAGGGTCCCAGCGATGGGCAAATAGTTTACCCCAAACTGGGGTCAAAACATTATAAAAGTGTAAAAATATGTTTTAATAACAGCAATACATTTTTGTAAAAATTATTACCAGCAATGAATTTTTGAAGAAAAAAATTATTATCAGCAATGCATTTTTGAAGAAAAAAAATATCACCAGCAATACATTTTTGGAAAAAAGAAATATTAGCAGTAACCCATTTTGAAAAAAAATATTACCAGCAATAAAAATCTTGTCAGCATTAAATAACCCATAGAGGTTGATATGCTGTAAAACAAACCAAATCAATTTTTTTTTGTCTATAGTGTAATAAATGTTTTTCTTTAAAAGTGCTTGAGTTTTGTTCTATTTTAACTTTAGAGATAAGGGAAGCATGCATTCTCTTTTCACATTCTAGTCTTACTAAATAGGTTTTTGTGTTTGGCATAAGAATTTAAGATTTAGTAGGGAGTTAAATTTTTATATATATGCAAGCCATTTGGATGTTTAAAGTTTTATTCTGCTGCAAATGTCATCAGAATGTGTGCATGTTGTAGAGCTGTTGGGCTTTACTATTCTATAAGAATATGTATTTTTCTTACAGACTGACAATGAATGAATATGGTGTTCCTTGTCTGGACTTATCACGAACAACTGATTCTCCACAACTTTTCCAGCCATTGTCACTTTGGAGACTTGTAGAGCAACATGTTCCTGGACCAGAGCGATGGGAAGTGAAAAGCATGCTCGGTGCAAACCTGGTTGATGAAAGCCAGCAACTTCATGATGAGGTAACACAAAAGACATTATATCAAATTCTATTATAATTTTTACACCTGGCTCATTGACCAGTAGGTTATAGAAACTTTTCATCAAGTTTTCAGATTAATATCTTCATCTTTATTGTTTTTATCACAAAATATACTGGATGACACTTAATGTTTAGGCTTAGTCTGTTTTATGGCATATCAATTTTTTCCAGGTTATTTAACACTTAATACAAGAAAGCAAGAGATAGACCTCTACTTCTGTTCAAAAAACCAGAGAGGAATGTGGACCAGACAATAGGCAAACCTATCTATTGAGGCAAAACAAATGGTATATCACCTGAAGATTCGAAATTCTACTTTAACTGTATACTTTTAATATCTCCACCTAAACTCTAATTTATACTATTTAACATCTGTCTATATTTCTGAGATAATGTATTGTAACTATTTACACTATTTACATTGTTTGGACTGTTCTCCTCATCTTGTCATATTCACAACGTTTCAGCTGTTGTATGCTCTGGCCTTCTTCAGGATCTGCCTATATTTCTGAAATGAGGTACTATAACTTTTTACACTATTTACATTGTTTGGACTGTTCTTCTCATTTTTATTGCCATATTTATGATGTTTCGGCCATTGTATGCTCCTGACTTCTTCATGCAATATTTCTTAGAATTTCAAACTGAACCCTTTATCTAAATCCATGGGGGTTGATTGTTCTAATTCAACATGCCATGCTTTTGGATATCTCGTTTTTAGTTAATTCTCTTTGGTAAGATAACTCTCCAAGTTTTTGTTTTCTCTGCTTTGGCCAGGGATTGAACTCACAACTCTTTGGGTTAAGTGGTTTTGGTGAAACCAGTTTTCAGACAAATGACATTCACTTATAAACTGGACCCAAATTAATGATAGTTGCTTATTGTTGAATTCACCTTTTGTCCTGGGTCTGATGATAAACTACATCCAACAGCAAGGCCTCTGATTGAGAGACCGGAGGTTATGAGGAGCATAGAACCACCTCTTAACTGCTGTTGTTCCCAGGTTCACCCTGACCCAGTGTGGTAGCACCTGTTAGGGTACCAGCTATGCACTGAACCGCCAAACAAAAATCACCAGTACATTTTTATTGTAAAATGGTCAACAATACATTTTTATAGCAAAATGACAATCAATACAACACTAAGAAAATATAAAATATATTTTTATAGCAAAATTAACAGCAATACACTTTTTTATAAAAAAATTACCAACCATACATTTTATGATCTACAAACTTTATATCTAAAATATACATTTACCCTGAAAGTATAAAATTATGTACAAAATATTTAGATTTTGGCATTAAAAAACCTGTAAAGGCTGATATACCGTTAAACAAAATCAACCAACCAAACCAATGAATTCACCTTACGAAAGCCTTTGTAGGAATGCTCCATTTTTGATTAGTGAGAGAAATCACTTTTACAACTATGGCCCATTTCTATGTCGAGCATATGATGGAACTATGAGTATGATCCACAATAAACTTGAAATAATCTTCTGACTCATTAAATATTCAGATTTGGTTTCCTACCAACATTACATAAATGTGCAACTTCACCTCAAATATTTATTTCAGTTCAAATGTTTTTCAGTTTTTCAATAAGGGTTTGTTGTTTGTTGTTGTGGACAAGCAGAATTCTCAAAAACTTTTGCATATTTATTTGAGTATACTTTATTATAAAAGCTTAGTGTTGTTAAATTAAGCATATTTAAAACATACGTACTAAGTTATTGTCAACACAAATGTTAGCAGTAATATTAACATGGATTTCTATGCCTGCTAGCATAGTACTACTAGAAAATTACACACACTCATAAAATAATGTAAATACATGACGCTCTCCTTATGTAGGCACATCCTGTTTCTTCTATCATACTAACACAATTGATTCGGTTTTATTGTAAAGAAAGAAAAACAAAAATATTTTTGTGTGAATTTGTTTTGCAAAGATTCTTTGTCATACATTTCTTTCAATTTGACAGAAAATAAATACTCAATAAAAAAATTCATTTAAATTTGTAGACATGTTTGAAGATTGGTTATTTTTTTCACTTTTACACACCTAAAGTGCTACAAATTTATACATATAAGTGTGCATGTATATATATATATCTGTGCAACTTAAATATTTATTTCAGTTCAAATGGTTTATATTTAAAAAGTCTGTTCAGAAATTAACAAAAATAGTTATAGTTCATTCAAAGTACTCCCAATGTACTTCCAATTTTTGAAACAGTCTGCAAATTCCAATTTTGGAATCAACACCAGCTGACTTGTTACTCTCCCTAATCTTACCTACAACCTTGAAATGAAACTTTAGCTTTTAACCAAAAGGTAGAGGTAGGTTTAAATCTGGACTTTAGATTTGCTGACATCTCTGGGTGATGCAATGTTTTTGAACTATGTGCTCTCAGAAAGGAAACTAATAATATAATCAAGATGTTAGCCTTCCACACTTTTCTAAGGAAAAGGTTAGGAGGGAAACTCCCATCAGTAATTCATTGAGAGTCTACATGGGAGATATCTCTTCATGTGCCATAATATCCAACCTGATTGGTTGCCAAGTTAGGAATATTAAAATGGTTGGATATGTTTTGGACAGACCTCAAACATAGGCAGTTGAGTTATTGGTCTTTTATTGAACCAATTTTGTCAGAATCATTAGATTCTTTTCAAGCACCAATTTTTGGCAGGAACTGGAATTTGCCTGCTTAAATTATTGTTATGTTTTGTTGGATTCCAATTTCAGGTTCTGTTACTGACAGACATTCTAAAAGAGTACGAAAATCAGGAAGAAGAAATTTTGCCACTTGCTACCAGAATTCCAGAACCCCCACAGGTGCGAGAAATACTGATCAAAGAAATTTCCTTCTTTGTGGATAGCATCCAAGAAAAAGTTGGATCCCAAGGAAAGTAAGTTTCAATAATTTTAATAATGAAAAACTGTACATCTTCTAATCCAGTGTATTTCTTTGTATGTCTGTATTCATGTGTGTGTGTATGTATGTATGTATGTATGCATCTGTGTGTGTATGTATGCAAGTGTGTGTGCACATGTTTGTATGTATGCATCTGTGTGTGTGTGTGTGTGTGTATTTTTAAAAACATAAAATAATCATTCAGAAATTTGAAATATTTAATTAAAAAATTAATGGACAGAACTTGTCAATATTATAATATTATTTAACAAAACACGTTTGAGAGAATTCTTGCTGCTGATATATATGTGTGTGTGTGTGTGTGTGTAAGTCCAGGTTGGGCCTGACAAGTCATATGAAAGGACACATTGGAAGTGATAATGATCAAAGTCTCCTTCCACCACCCAGAGATGATTTGATATGCCACATATGTGGCAAAAAATGCAGATCAATGGCTGGCTTTATGACCCACTGTTGTTCACATAACTGATGAATGCAGTGTTGTTGGTGGGGAGTTCAAGTGAAGGGCTGGATATCTCAGTGATGATCATACTCGCTTTGTGAGTCAACAGCCATATATATATATATATATATATATATATATATATATATATATATATATATATATATATATAGCTCAAATATTTCATTTCAAATGTTTTATATTTACAAAGTCTGTTCAGGAATTGACAAAATAGCAATAGCCCCTTCAAAGTACTCACCTTGTATTTGATCCCAATTTGATCCCAATTCATATATATATATATATATATATATATGAATTGGAAATTGGAATCAAATGCAGATCAAATATTGGTTATATTCTGACAGAATGATATAGAACAAATAGAAAAAGTTTATCAATCTAACATGTTTCACATGTATTAAAACTTCATCAGAGAATGAGATATGGAGAAAAAAAATTCTGGATTTTTTTTTTGTCTTGTTTGATTTTCATTGGTTAATCAGGCTTCACATGCATTTGACTTGCTAAATGACATTAGTAAAATTTATGATGTTCTGAGTTCAAGAAGAGACAACATAGACAAACTAGAATTATGATACACTTACATACATAAAGCAATATTTATGTTTTTCATTAGGCTTGGAATCTATTAATTTCTTAGAACCATAAAAGTACACATGAAATCATCTTTTTTCCTCCTAGCAATGAGTTAAATATTATTGATTGAAAGATTTATTTTTTATGGTTTATCAACCCTTTGTAGGTTATTTAAAGCATTGTAAAGTTATTTAAAGTTATTTTTAGATTGTAAGAATTTTTTTTTTGAGATAATAATGGTTTAATGATACAAGTTTTACTAATTAACCCATAGCCAGGGAGAGAAGAGGTGGATTCATACCTTTCCCATAGGTAATTGCACATGAGTAACTATAACAAACCCAACTGGAACTGAAACTTGTCTCTCCAATTAACAATTCCGAACCATTATCTATGACACCACCTGCACATCCAAGCTTAAGGCACCTGATATTTCCAAGCAGCCACCCATCAAGGTACTGACCAGACTCATTATTGCTTAACTTTTGTGATCAAACAGGAACCAGTTTTTCAATGTGATGTAGTTGTAAGCTATTAAATATCAGACTGGCTATGGGTGGCAAAGAGTCTAAGAGAAGAATTGATTGATTTGTTTTTTATGGCTTATCAACCTTTTGCAGGTTCGTTAAAGAGAGAAAATAGTCCTAGATTGAAAGCATCTTTTTGAGATAATAATGATTTACTGATACAAGTCCTATTAATTAACCCATGCCTGGGGGGAGAATAGGTGAATTTATACCTTTCCCAAGTGTAAATGAATATAACAAACCAGACTGGAAGTGGAACTTAGCTCTCTTATTTTCCAATTCCAAGCTGTTATTTCTTATACAACCCACACATCCCAAATTACAGCACCTGGTATTTCCAAGTGGTTACCCATCTAGGTACTGATCAGGTTTGTCATTGCTTCAGTGAGCCTATTAGTGGTGGTGTTTTAACATGGAATCGTTGTAAGACACAATTCTATATAGTCTACATTTTTGAGAAACACATGAAAATGAGAAAAAACTCTTAAAGGTTGTTCATAGCAGAATTGAATGAGGTTTGAATTTTGAGTCTATAGTATCATGTTAAATTAGTGTTTACCATTTCACTATATCATACTATTTATTCCATTTTGGTTGAGCTGACAAAATTGGTAATTTTGGAAACTGATATGCTGAAAAATTAGTGTTATACATCTAGTATTTCTGTTTGAATCATTTCACCCCAAGCAAGGCAATAAAGCCATTAAGATCCAAGAGGTTACTGAGAGTGAAGGAAAATGAGAAAACTTTATTGAAAAGAAAGGACAATAAAAAGAAAAGGATTCAAGAAGACAGAAGAATATGATTGATGTTGCATTTAAATTTTCAAAGATCGTAGTTGGTAGGAAAGCAAGAAGCTAAAAGATAGTTACATCGGTGAGAAGTGTGAGAGAAGTAACTATTAGAATTCAGTTACATTTAGCAATTTCAACAGGAAAATGATGAGACCTAACTGCCAATCTAGTACTCTTCTTATATTCATGAAGTTGAGGTACCAAAGGTGTTTATCACTTGTTTCCTGTTTAGGATGTGATTTACTGGTTACTTTCTTTCTTCAATGACTTTAATGATTTTAACTGTTTTAATTTTTTTGTGATCCGTGATCATTGGCTGTGACCTTTCATTCTGAAAGTTGGTGTTTTTCTGGTTGTTGCATGCTGACTGGTAGCAAGGAATGCAAACTCTTTGGTAGTGCATGGAGAAGTTGCTCTGCTCAATAGTTGCATAATATTAGGGCATTTGTAGTGCCAAGGTATTTCATGGATTGGGGTCCCCTGCATGTACTTCTGGTGGTCAACCGTGAGGCCACATTATGCTTCAGCCCTAGCCATCTCTGTCTTCTATTGCCTTAGATGATGGACAATGACAATTTTGCCTTTTTCATATTAGTATATACGAAGTTAGTCAAAAATATATTTAGCCATATGAAATATTTTGAGAGCTGATTGTGAGGGGATCTTTCTGCAAATGTGTGAACAAACACTCTCCTGTAGAGTTACTCAGTCATCAGTGAAATGCCATTGAGTGTGTTTTACAATGACTGAGGAAGTAAATTCTTCATACCTTGTACAGGGTTTTTTTTTTTGAAAACATCACATCACCCAGTACTGTCAGCTCTCTCACAGTTGAGATTTGGCTCTCCATGATAAAAGGGTTTTTCATAAAATTAAAAATTACCATTGAAATAATGTAGATAAGATTAAGGAGAGTGTAGTAAAGCAGCAGATGGTAGTCCAAAAAAAAAGACGAATTTGTAAACTGTTTTGAAAAGCAGCAGGGACACAAGGATATGTGTATGAATACAGTAGTCCACTGCTATTAGGCAAACCAGTTTACTGCGGTTTCATTGTACCGCCGGTCGGTTGTGGACCCCAAGATTTTGCTCTCATGCCCTCAATATCACTCACTTTTTTAGAAATTCCACCCTATTTTACCAATTTCTGGGCCATCTTCTTCACGATAGACAGAACAAACAGCGATCATCAGATGGGTCCTAATTTGTTTTAATAATTACACCCCTTTTTCATACGTTTTACCTTTTGGTGATAAAACAGCCCAAATTTTGCAAAATTTTAACACTTCGGCCGTTTGACACCTAATCCAATTTTATTTGTAATAATTACACATGATTACTTTATATTTCTATTTTGTGCATGATCAAAGAGTTCCTATAATATCAGACTAATTAACAAGAATTCAATCATTGCAATCAGATACCATGGATGGGGTATAAATAGGAGTACTTTTCTCTGGTTGATCATGTTCAATTTAACTGTCCAACAGTAGACATCAAGAATCTTTCATAAATAAACAAATATAAATAGTGCATAGTAATTAGGGGTCACAATCGGGAATTCCCAGGAATAAATTTCCTGGCAATTCCAGGGAAATTGCGACCCCTAGTAGTAATATAAAATGTCTAAACATAAAGCGTACACAGTAAAGGAAAAACTGCATTTGATAGATAGGACATGGAAGCCCTGTGCTAAGTATCTAATAAAAATTTCCTGAATAGTTATATTTACATGTAAATTTACATGCTTAATTTGAAAATAACAAAGAAATTTTGATAAAATCTACTTTTTTGGAGTTATCAATAATAAAAGTTTGGACTCATTTGTGTTACAGCAGCCATTACTGGTGTTGTTTGCATATATTTGCTGTAGAACAGACATTCACTTGTCTCAATTATTGCACATGCACTGATGCAAACAATGCCAATAATGGCTTCCATGCTATAGCCGACAATGACACGAATGAGTCCGAATTTTATTGTCAATAACACCAAAATGGTAGATTTTATAAAAATTTCCTTGTTATTTTTGAATTAGGCATGTAAATTTAGAATAAAAAAGTAACTGTTCAGAGAATTATTATTATTAGATACTTAGCGCAGGTCTTAAAAAGCAAGTTACCTGAAATTTCTTATGGAATCATTGGCATAAATTTGTATAATTTTTTGAGGTTCTTTATCTACGGTATATATCACAAAATAGGGTAAATAGGGCCCCAAAATCAGGTAGGTGTTCAACCTCCTATTATCACACTCTCCCCACTCCAGCTACTGTGATTCACTTGCAGTGTGGGTTGGCCATTTTGGACCCCAAGGTCCGCGCTATGGTGGTGGACTACTGTAATGGATTTTTTTTAAGGGAGACTAAGGTACCATTGTCCAAGTTATTTTTTTTTTGGTTAGTATTAAATGGATGGACACTTTCCTGACCATCCAAGCCAGCATAAAATATTGGAATTCTTTGAAATTAAGTGAATTATTCTTTTCATTTTAAATTTCAGTTCCTCCAAAAAAGTTCTAGCAAGATGTAACAAAAATGTGTTGGATTATGTCAGTCAGCAAAAAACAAAAAGTAAGTGAAGAAAAAAGTCTATTTTAAGCCCAAATGTTTTCTCCATTTGTAGCGTGACCTCTCATTTTTTTTTTATTAAAGTTTATCATGTACAAGGCGCATGAGACTCTCAAGGTAGAGAGTTGGTTACTGAAGGAGGTTGTATGAGCAGTAATAGGTGCACATTGCACTTTATGAGAATATGTGAGAAAGATAACAATTAACCCTAGACTTGATCAGGTTAAGATTGTAGTGATTTCAAAACTATCCTTTTGGGAGTCCTTTCCACAAAGTAGTGGTTTATGGGAAGAAGTTTTTCAAATGGAACTTCCTGCTTACTAATGGAATATGAAGGAAATAAGCCTGGTTCACCTCAGTCTACATGTCAATCGCTGGTCTTAGGCATTCTTAGACTCAAATCGCCTCTAGTTTTTAGTTTGTTTTTTTTTTAGGCAAGAGTGAAAATTCTGGATTGTATTGCTTATTTTTTCTTTGAATGTCTGAGTAAAAACGGAAGGTATCTGTGGAGCACTGGAATTTTAGTTCAGTTTTGTGAATTCAGAGCATTCACATCTCACCAGTAGTGGAAATTAGAATAACATGAATCAAAAGAATATAACAATAAGCTTGCACAAAAATTTTCTTTTGTGCACCTTTTTAATAAATGTAAATAAGAGATCAAAATATATAAAGGCTCTTAAAAATATTTGCAACACAATCTTCAAATAATGGAAAAACCTTGAGAAGGTAATACAAACCCTTTAAATAATGTTGAAAAATCTCTTTAAAAAAAGGTGCACCTACCTAATTGAATGACAAAAAAACAGAAAGGTGCTTTGGTAAATGTACTTGCATCACTGGGACTTTCAACAATTTTTTTCTTCTTTAGAACACAGTTCTACAGGTTTCACATCTTTTTTTTTTGTTTGCTTTTTCTGTGAGAAACAGTCCAGCTCATCCACAGGTGACTGCCAAAAATAGCTTTTCCTTCTGGAACATTTTGTTTCTGCATTCAGGACAAAGTTATCATGTTTTCCCATTTTCTGACTTCTTCAAAATTTTGCTCCCTCTGGTCGAAAATTATATTACCTTCTAAAATTAGTTACTGACCCATCTTCTTATACCTTCTAAAATTAGTTACTGACCCATCTTCTTATACAGTGAGCCCCTGCCTATTAGCATTTCAGCATTCACGGCTTTACACATTCATGGATTTTTCTTTAGAACATATGTACTTGTTATTTGTAGAAACCCCAAATATTCGCATGTTTTCCTAAGGAACATATGTACAAATTATTTGCTGAGAACTCCCTTGATTCACATATTTTTCGATAGAGCATATTTAAAATATTCTTATATTATTTTCCTGTTATTTAAGTGACTTAAAACATAACAGTCCATTTTTATGGTAAAAAGTGGCAGAATTGTACATCTTCATTGTAAAAACAAATGCAAAAATATTTGTAGTGCTTGGGCTTTGTTCTTTGTTAGGGGCTGCGGCTGGGGTCGTAAAAGTGGCTTATGCTAAGTCTGGAGGCATCATCACAGTTCTGTTTTTAGAATATGTTTTAAACTTTATATTTTATGCCTTGTTACACATTTTCAATGGTTGTATGCATAATTAAAAACAGTTATTGTACATATGAAAGAAAAGTGTATACCAATACTATTTTTCAAAAATGTTTTAAAAAGAGTCTGAATTGTTTCTAAAGTGTTTAGGATGAAAGTTTAAGGCACATGGGGTTTTAACAATCAAAATAGGTACTTATAAGCACTTTTAGGGGGGGGGGTTACAAGTATTCGCGGATTCTAACTATTCATGGCCAGTTCTGATCCCTAACCCCCGTGAATATGGGGGACTTACAGCATATCGATTGAAGAGGCTCCAGGCAGATCTTAACTTTAAATTTATGTGGGTGGAAGCCACCCTCTTGATTGGACAAAGAGTATATATTTTACAAATTTGAAAAATGGTATTTGAAACAGTCCAGCTTGACCAAATTATTTTCAGCAGTTCTTTTTAAAGCTAATTCTAAATTTAGTAACTTATACAGATGCATCAAATTTAATTTTTTATAAACCATCTGGTGTTCTTTTAAATACATTTCTCCCAAAAGTAAGTGTAAAAGACAAACCGAGATTATCATAATATTTAATACATTTATAATTATCTACAATTTTTATTAATCATTATTTTTAATTATTTTATATTACTAATAAAACCTTTTTGGCAAACATGGACCTTTGTGCACCCCAAAAAGTGTCAAAAGGATAGTTGTTCCATGATCCTGCATGTCCTAAAAGGATGTAACACACAGTAGAAAGACAATATGGGAATGGACTTTACTTTAATATTTCTTTTATAATGATTGTTCTGAACAAATAAATTTTCCTTTTGTGGAATTTGAAAAGGGTTTAAATCCATCTCCAAAAATACATGATTATTTTCTCGACAGCTTAACATTTTTGACAATATGGGAAGTGGTTAGATTGAATTTTTTACCCATTGTCTTTTTATTCTTTAAAATAATTTAACTGTTGTTTTTCTTAATATTTATTAATCTTTATAGTTGTGTCCAGAGATGTTTGTGGGAACAGTCGAGCTTCATCTTCATTATCTCTCTCTAGTGATGGTCATTCTTATTCTTTATCTTCTCCATCAACAGGCAGGTAGGTATGAATCTAAACCAATTAATTTACATATCTTTTGTCTGAATTTGATAGCAAAATATTTAAAACAAAAGTAAAAAAAGAGCAATTATGATTACCAACAATTTTTACATTATGAAGGAATGTTTTCTATATATTAACACAGGTATATATTAAACACAATTTTGACATCACCTGAGGAGACACATTTGTGGTGTTGAAACATGACTGTAATCGTGTAGCAATTTTTAACATATTTTTGTTTTAATATCCTAAAATAAATTATATATATATATATATATGTATGTATATGTGTGAAAATATATAGAAAATAGGAAGGAACTGGTTAGGTAAATAATACAAAGTCCCTTAGTATTTTAGTTATTATTTTTAAAAAATAGTGCTCAATACAAAAGTAGAGCATAAATATAATTATTTATTTAAAAAATATGATTCCAAATCACGACATAAGAAGTCCCATGTTTCAAAACAAGAGCCGAAAACTTCAATATAATTATTTAAATTAAATTGATTTAAAATAAGCTCTGTTCCATCTTCAAGCGAAATTTTTTTTGGAATCCAAAAAAATTTTGCTTTAAATAATTATATTGAAGTTTTCGGCTCTTGTTTTGAAACATGGAACTTCTTATGTCGCGATTTGGAATCATATTTTTAAATAAATAATTATATATATATATATATATATATATATATATATATATTATATATATATATATATATGACAGAATTAAAATATTCAGTTTTATGGATTCACTGAGGATTATTTCAATACTGAAATAGGATTACAATTGCATATGTATGTATTCTCGAATGCATGGATATGTGACAGAATTTGAATTATTCAGGGTTTTTGTATATATTCACCTGTATGTATGTATGTATGTCTATTTCAATGTCATCCCAAAACAGAAAGAAGATTACTAAACATAATCAAACACAAATAAACATGAATAGATTCAATTCAATTTTTAAAAAATAAATCTGTCTGATGATCACAAAAGCAGGGTCACAAACTCACATCTATAAAATGAATATATTTATATGTGTATATATGTATGTGTATGTGTGTATGTATGTGCATGTACACGTATGTCTGGGTACATGCCTAAGTGTATGTATGTATATGTTTTTTTGTGTGTATTAGTATGTGTTTTTGAACATAAAATATTTGGTCCTTGTCGTTATATTCATCTTCATATATTTATATTTGATTTAATTTTCCCAAGAGGTTTTTATTTTCCTTCCCCATCCTCCCCCACCACTTTCCCTTTTTTTTTTTTTTTTTTTTTTCCTATCTAAACATATATGTCAAACACAAATAAATCTTTATGTATAGACATCCGTTCAATTTTCTCTTTTTAAATCCACCCCACCCCCACATCTCCAAAAAATAAACCTCTAAATTCTGTTTTGATTTCCGGAGTTGTTTTTTTTTTTTTTTTTTCTGTTTTCATTTTTGAATTTGTAGGTCTGATGATTTGATCATTTTATGATTCCAAAATAAATTATGACCATGGAATATTAGTGTTTAAGCAAACTCTGTCCTAGACATTGAGTTCTATAAATCCTTCCTCTTGGAAAATTTTTTCTGAAAATATACATGTATGGGGAATTTTTAGATATATTTTTCATATATATATATTTTCCATATATATATATATATATATATATATATATATATATGCACATATTAGTAGGATACAGAATGTGAAGAAAAGTGGAGAAATAAGACAAAGTGTAGAAGCTTTATACTGATAACACTTTTCAGCATTGTGGGCTTAGGTTTATATCTTCAGGTCAGAATGAGAGACAAAACTCTGTCTTTTTTTATTAGACTTACTAATGTCTGTTTGTTCGGTTGGCGGTTTCCGGTTGGAATGAAAGAACAAAACTGCAGAAGATGCTAACTTAGTAAATACTCATTGACTACTAACTTTACCCAAGTGTAATATAAAAGCAAAAGAAATGAAACAAGTCAAAAATGAATTGGCAAGATTTGTAAGAAAAACTTTATTGCTATTAAAGGGAGACTACTCTAATTTTTTCAATGCATAGTGAAGGCAAGAGGTACATCGAAAAACTGAGTAACTTACCTTGGCAAAAAAGACTGGGACGGATAATAAAGGAATAACCATTGTAGGGAGCTACAAAAATGATAGAAAGTTGTGGAAAGCCGTGATTGTCAAAGCCCAACGTCAGATAAAAAAAGAAATGGTGTATCAATAAATTTATTTTCTGATTCTTAATTATGGTTGCTTGGAAACTGAGCCATCAGATTATAATTTAAGGTTGTAGCTCATGCCAAAAGAATGTGTCAGAAAGTCAAAACAATATTCTAGTTAAATTGATTAATTGTATTTTACGGCTTATCAACCTTTTGAAGGTTATTTAATGCCAGAAACTATTTTTAGTTTGTAAAAATTTTTTTAAGATAAAAATGATTTTTCAATTCTAACAATTGCCATCACCTAAGTTTCAAAGAATACTAATTTACAAAATTTATTTCCACAAAGATTTTTCCCTATCCTGGACCATGCTATTCAATTAGAGCGTGTATATGTTACTTATTCAAAGTAAAGCTACACTTAGTAAATATCTACAAAACTTCATGATCGTTATTTAAATTGTCAGACTGTTATCCTCATCATCAAAATTGGGGGCTGAGATTTTATTGTCAAAATCCAGTAAAACATTTGAAGACTGAAAAATGTGAAACTGACATAGCCTTTTTATTAAAAAATTATTAGATTGATTGATATGTAGTTTTTCTTATGGCTTATCAACCTTGTAAAGGTTATTTAATACCAGAAAATATTTTTAGGATCTAATAATTTTTTTAAGATAATAACACTAAGCAGTTTTCAGAAATTTAATTGTTTTGTATAAAAAATAATAAGCTGATGATAATTCAATTGTTTTGGTGAAACAGAAAAAATAAAACTAACTTTACTATCATTTTTTTTTTTATCATCTCACACTCAAACATGACAATAAAGCCATTAAGATGCAAGGGGTTACTGAATATGAGAGAATATAAGAAAAGAATTATTAAAGAGAGAAGACAATAAAAGAACAGGAATTAAGAAGATATAAGATAATAATTAACATTGTATTTAAATTTTTGAAGATCAAAGTTATTGGAAAGCAAGAAGCTGGAAGAGATTTGCACAAGTAAGGAGTGTGATAGAAGAAACTGTGTAGCATAGAACTTACATTTCGCCATTTCATCTGTAAAATGATGAGACCTTGCAGCCAATCTAGTACCGTATTTAAATTCATCTGCTTATTAATAGGTGGTAGTAAAGCTATTGAAGAAAAATAAAATTGATGTCGGCTACAACTAAAAAAAGGGGGAGACACAGAATATTAAATACACATAAATTCATAATCTCAATCTCCTCTTTTTTAATTGTAGTACATGGCTATTATGTTTTTTCTTTGATTGGGCTTTGAAGAGAGAGAGGAACGAGAATCACTCAATTTTTTTTCTAATTTGTTTTTTTCTTCCTTTCTTAATAAATATTTTATTTTTCAAATTGACATTTTTGGTGATTGCATCTTTTATCCCTATCAATTTCCTTCCTTTTTTAAATAAGATGGCAACTTTTGGTTTGATTTTTGTAGATTATCAATGAATTCCATTTCGAGTGATGAAATTCAAGAGATGAGCCATAGTTTGAATATTTTACAAATTGACGATGTTGTACAGCATTTAAGGTAAGTAATATATATATATATATATATATATATATATATATATATATATATACACACATACCCTGTCTGAAGTTCTTAAGTTCATATAACCTTCAATAATTCAAATTTGGTTTTAAAAAATTGTCAAATTTTAAATAATCAATTTAGATGTCTAAACAAAACCTGAGTTAAAATTTTAGATAGTATCAATATATTTTAATGAAGTTATTGAAGTTATTTGATGCATTCTAAAAAACTGCCATCTGAAGTTATTAGGCAAAATCAAATAATCACATTTTACTTCAATAAAAAGGTAATAAAATTATCAAAAGTTGATCAACACTCATAATAGAATAAATAACAAACACATATAATAAGTCTTTGAATTTTAATATAATGACCCTTCTTCTCAATAACAGCAAGTAATTTATTTATCCATTGATTTTGTTAATTTTTTTCTTTTTAACTTCAGCAGGTTCAATTTCCGACATGGTAGTTTTAATTGCTTCCAATATGTCTATTATATTGTTTGCCACCTTCATGTAATTTCATCTTCATAATTGACCATAGATTTTTCATCAGATTCAGATGAGGACTTGATGGTGGCCATTCCATTATCTTCTCTCCTGTAATTTTTTTATGCTCAAAGAATTCACGGGTAAGCTTAGATACATGAGAAAGAGCATTGTCCTGCATAAATATGCACTTCACTTTGAAACTGTGAGACTGGGATTTTGACCATGCAAAGAAATTTTTGATCATAAAATTGCAATAGCATTGTTCAGTTTAACTCTTTCATGAACTTTGAATGATCCAATAATGGCTTGGTTGACAATTCAAAAACTAACCATTAAAAACGTCAGAAATTTTAATTAAATATTTGATGAGTTTAAATTTTTGACAAATATTGGTTCAGAACTTTTGAGTTATTGAAGTTTATTTGATTTGCAAAACTTCAGACATATATATATATATATATATATATATATATATATATATATAATATATATATATAAAAAATATAAAATAAAAAATATGAAGGAACTGGTTAGGTAAATAATCCAAAGTTCCTTAGTATTTTAGTTATTATTTTTAAAAATAGTGCTCGATACAAAAGTAGAGCATAAATATAATTATTTATTTAAAAATATGATTCCAAATCGTGACATAAGAAGTCTCATGTTTCAAAACAAGAGCCGAAAACTTCAATATAATTATTTGAATTAAATTGAATTAAAGTAAGCTCTGTTCCATCTTCAAGTGAAATTTTTTTGGGAATAAAGTATTTCTGAAATTTAAATTAAAACACGTAAATTTCAGAAATACTTTATTCTTGTTTTGAAACACGAGTCTTCTTATGTCGTGAGTTGGAATCATATTTTTAAATAAATAATTATATATATATATATATATATATATATATATATATATATAAAAGTAATGACTTTTTTTTTTTACTAATCCTAGAGATTTTATCACTTTGAACATTTATTTTTGTTTGTCAACCTGAATCTCATTAAAGAAAAGATATGCTCTTTGGCAGGATTCAGAACTGCATCTCTCTTAATAGGAAAAACCATCATTTGATCCAGGCTGCTTTACATCAAATCAGCCATGAGGGATCTTGCCAATTAAGTAAAGCTATATAGGACCTTTGAAGAAATTTGCACTTAAAGGCACTATTCAACTTTGCTTGATTGCCAAGACTTTGTGATGGTTTCTCCTGATATATATAGTTCAAAAATTTGAAGCCATCCCCAGAATTAGCATGGGATAAACTGGACAGAAGAATGAAAAACAAATGAAAAAGAGCTCTTAGAGTCATTGAAAAAAGAATGGAATCAATTATCAAACTTATACTTTGAGAAAATTTTGCAGCAAATGCGAAAAAATTGTGCTACAGTAATCAAGGCTAAAGGAGGATATGATGACGAGAACAAAATTTCATCATAAAATGTTTGTTTTTTGTCATAATAAAATTTCTAATAAAAAATCATGTCTCACTTTTTTAAAGCATGTATAATAATTTTTTTTTATTTAATATGTATATTTTGAGAGGAGCAGCAAACTCAAAGGCTGCTTCTAGCTATACCACAGTAAACCAGTCATCCTAGACAAATGTTCTATTGATAATAGGACAATATTAATCTTGAGCTTTATTCTCCTTTATTTCTAAGTTGTGATCTAAATACATCGGTGATTACCACTTATAGTACAGAAAAATGTGTTTATTTGAATAATTTAATTATAAAAGTTATCATCAGTCGCTTATTTATAATGATCACTAAAGACCAACCTGGAAATGAATAACAAAAGTCATTTTGTAATGTTTAATTTTTAAAGCTAAATATACAATTTACTTATCTCCATTAAGTAAGAACAACTAAATTAGACAAGATATAAGACACCTGGCGGTAAACATCAATGATAAACCTGCATATAATATATATATATATATATATTAAGAAATGGACAAGGTCCGACAATTTATTTATTAAAGACATATATTTATGTTTAACGTTGTTATTTTATAGATACAAGTATTTAAGCAAATGCTCTGTTTATGATAAACAGTATTAAATAACATTTACGCCTGAATGTCCGAGAAATTTTCATAAAAATTTTCGTTCTTTGACAAGATTCAACCTGCATCCTATCGGAACCGTCATATACGCTGACGTGCCTTTACCGCTTTGATACAAAAAGAACCAATCATGGAAAGTTTTACTGCTTATAAACTCCAACTTTCCATGAATCTCGTACATTCATAACTGCTCTAAATATCGAATGTAAACAAATGACGTCATATATTAAGAAATGGACAAGGTCCGACAATTTATTTATTAAAGACATATATTTATATTTAACGTTGTTATTTTATAGATACAAGTATTTAAACAAATGCTCTGTTTATTTGTAGTATTAAATCATTTAAATGTCCATTTTGTAGAAATTTTCGTTCTTTAACCAATTCGAACGTCAAACAAAGAACCAATCATTGAAAAGGTCGAAGTTTATGATTTGGTTTGTTTGTAGCTCAAGCAGGATATAATTGACTTGTTATAGGATGAAGGTTCGGAATCTGTCAAAGAACGGTAAAATTTTCTATGAAAATTTCTCGGACATTCAGGCCGTAAATGTTATTTAATACTGTTTATCATAAACAGAGCATTTGCTTAAATACTTGTATCTATAAAATAACAACGTTAAACATAAATATATGTCTTTAATAATATATATATATATATATATATATATATATATATATATATATTTATAAAATTTATTTAAAAATATGATTCCAACTCGCGACATAATAAGAGGTCTCATGTTTCAAAACAAGAGCCGAAAACTTCAATATAATTATTTGAATTAAAGTAAGCTCTGTTCCATCTTCAAGCGAAATTTTTTTTTGAATAACTTATTTCTGAAATTTACGTGTTTTAATAGTATATTCATAATTGAAATCAAAATTTCCATGGTATATATTTATATATATATATCTAATTGGTGCAGGTACTTGTATGTGAGGATGCCAGTCTACTAGGGCATCTACTTAATCCCCAATACAGGCATCTGCTCTGGCACATTTGTGTTTGTTCAGCAGCTACAGAGCCCACCTGTGGTTTATACTGCAACTATGCTGAGCAGATATTAGTTACAGTTTCTGGGAGAGAAGTGTGTTTTCTAGCATGATCAACAATTTGAACAAGGCCAGAACACTGAAAATGACTTGTGGCTTCATGCTAGCACAACCACTGATGGTTATCGAGGATTCTGTCTACCCAGTTTCACTCACAAGGCTTGGTTCAATCCAAAGGTGCCACATACTGGGATTACCTCCTCCAGACCAATAACATCAAGATGTCACCTACCTGACAAATCAACTTACCAGGGTTGAGATTCGAAACTGGGTCTCATAATCAGAAAATGAACATTCCAACCACTTGGCCATGTGCCTATGTGCCTATATATATATATATATATATATATATATATATATATGGGGGTATTGCTATTTGCCCATGGCTGGGAACAGGTGTTACTATCCTGGGTCAGGGCGGACCTGGAAAGAACAGCAATTAAGAGATGGTTCCATGCTCCTCAAAACCTTCCAATCAGTGGCCTTGCTGTTAGATGTAGTTTATCATTGTTGTGGCGTTTGTAGGGCCAGAAATAAAGACACAAGAGAGGAAATGAGTTAAACAAATATATTAACAGAAACAGTAATACACACATATAAAACGAGAGTGTTACAGCAAGAATGTTCAGTCTGTCAGAGCTGACTGCTGGAACTTCCCTCTCCAAAAGGCAATACCTGCTCCTATTTATAGCTGGGAGAGTCCATGTGTGCATGCGTAAATTACCATAACAATCATCATACCCAAAATGAGTGAATGCTAGACAATCTCATCACAGATAAAGAAAAGACATAAAGCAACAGGAATGTGTTTCTACAGAAGCATGCTGAGAATACCATGAATGGAAAATATGAGCAACGACAAAGTTTACCCAAAATGAAAACAAAAGCAGACTTATACTTAACATCAGAAAGATACAGTTTAAATTTCTAATGAGGAAAGAGGTTTCGGAAAATTTGATATTCACAGTATAAATTGAAGTCAAGAGGAACAGAAGAAAACAATGCATAACCTACATAACAAACTTGAGTTAGCTGCCATATAAAAGGACTGATATTGAACAACAGTTCAGTACTCTCTTTTTTTTATTTACATTATTTTCAACCATATATGATTTTACAGCATTCTAATAATCATTTAGCATCATTTTTTTTATTGGCATAGAAGACTGTTCATTTTCTGCTCCCAAGAATTCCATAGACAGGAAGTTTACAAATCTTCCACAAACTTTTTCTATGTATTATGTCTTTTCAGTCTAGTAATTGGTAAATATCCTTTTGGGAGTTTGTTCAACCGAGTAGCAATTCTTTAGAAGAAGCTGTCTGAGTGAACTAAAGTGATTGATTTATCTTTGAATTTTTCAGGTCAACACTTCAAACAGAAATCTCACAGCTTCTGAGAGATGTTGAAACTCTCCAGAACAGTTTGTCTGAAAGAATTGACTTGACATCTCCAGAAAGTTACCGCAATCCTAACAAATCCATACCCACCTTATCAGGTAAGAAGTAAGAAACCATGTTTATTTGGAATAGAAATTCATGATAAATGATTGAATATGAAATATTCAAATAAAGTATGTAAGGTAGAATGTATGAAAACCAGTTGGATATTTAATTTCTTTTTATATTAACATTTCACTATCAATGAGCAATATCAAAACAAGGGGAAAATCTAATGAAAGAAATCAGTATCATGGCAAGAATGATATATAAAAATGATAAAAAGATACAATAATAAAATGCAAGATAAAGAATTTTTTTTAACAACAGAGAGTAAACAATCAATATGGCATGTGGAAATCAAATAAGAAATGATGTCTCTGGCAGGATTAAAATTTACCTGGTTGGTTGTTCTCTGTGATCAAATTGTTAAGACACTGTCCATGTCGAACAGGCATCCAAGGATAAAGTTGTGAGTTCAAATCTCATTGGAAGCTACATCTTTCTAAATGTTCTGTTCACTTAATCATTAGTTGTAAAATGTAAAAATGTGCTTGGCATTGTGATAAAAGCAACAAAGATGAAAAGAAAACCCAATCAAAAATTAATAACGATATTACTTCATTTAAGATTATGAGGTTTACTTGTTTATTTCCAATCTATCTTACTTTTATTATTTATATTATTCAGAATGTTATCCTCATTTTCATTGCCATATTCACAATGTTTCAGCCGTTCTATGCTCTGGCCTTCTTCAATGCATTTCTTAGTGATTCCCATTTCAAGTTTCCATTGTGTCCCTCGTATATTCTTTTAACATTTGTATATTTTTCTTTCAGGTTTGGGTTGCTCAGGAGTTTGTTGTACCGCAGCTTGGGTACTGTGTTAGGCTTCTTCTGTTTCACTCTTAGCTTACATATAACAGGAGTATGATTGCTCCCACAGTCAGCACTTGGGTAGATTTTGCAGTGAATGATTGCATTCCTTTTGTTGATAGTTATGTAGTCTATTTGGTTTTTAGTGCCTCCTTCTAGGCTCCTCCATGTCCATAATCATCTTGGATAATCTTGGAACCATGTGTTGGCTATTACTTGGTCATTGGCTGTGCACCATTGGATCCATTTTTCTCCATTCGTTGTGGGTACTGAGTTTGAATTTTCTGGCTATATCCTTTGCCCTTTTGCTGCCTATTTTGGCATTTAGGTCTCCCATGATAATGATGACTTTGTGTGATTTGCAAAGAGCCTTGGCATTGTTCAGCTTTGAGTAGAAATTTTTGATTTCTTCTTCATTACTTTATGCTGTTGGTGTTTATAGTATTATGATAGATACCTTGAAAGGCTTTCTTTCCATCTTGACTACCAGGATTCTTTTGGATAGTTGGCAGTATCCCAGCATGCAGTTCTTAAGTTTTATCTAATATCAGTCCTACTCTATTGCCGTTTTTCTCTCCACTGGCATGAATAATCCTGTGCTCATCACTGACAAAATCTCTGTTGTTTGGCCATCTGGTTTCAGATATACCTAGGATATTGATTTTTAGCCTTTTCATTTCTTGTTTCACATCTGGCTGGCCACAGTTGTTCCATGTCTCGAGGGTTATTTTATGTTTGATGCGAACAGTCACAGGATAATGGTCCAGTGACACCTGTCGCTCATGTCATTCCTTTCCAGGCGAGGGATAGGTTCTGAGGAATGTTATCGCCTTTACAATTTCACCACTCCCTCATATTTGAACAGCATGTGTTTTGACTTGCTTGTTAATTGTTGCAGTAATATGCACATGATGCCTTTCTTTACAGAACTGAGACAAGAAAGAACGATGCTAGAGAAGGAACTCCTTAAAGAAACAGACAACGATGAATTCTTTGATCCACTACCCCCATCCTCAAGGTAATCCACATAAGTAAGAATGAAGTGTGCATGTGTACATATATGTTAAAGAGTGGATGAACTTACTTGCTGGGTCAACAGCCATCTAGCACACAAAATGTCCCATGGTAGTGAGAGGGCCTTGGACCTAGTTAGAAGATCAACTCTAGGAGAAAGCAACTTGATGGCAGCCAGTGATGTTAATTATTCTTTTCAGGTAATTGTCATCACTGTTCAGACCACCAGTCATGTGGTGCAAGGCATCTCTTGACTTTAAAGTTTCATACACAGGCTCTGTCTATAAGGCTATCGTTATCTCATATATATATATATATATATATATATATAGCTTCTACATACGCATGCACTCATCTGATTATTGACTGGTGGACACTTTCAAATACTCGCACACAGTGTCAAATAGTCTCACAGGGCCCCCATGACACATTGATGAAGCATCTCTGCATGTTTTAGGTGGCCCCATTGATAAAATTCCAAAGGATTGAGGTCAGAGGGATGTGCAGGCCATGGAACCAGCCCTCCCCTACTAATCTATCTTTCATGGTAGATGTCAGCCAGTGCATCATGAACAATGTGACTAAAATGTGCTGGAGCCCCATCATGCATGAACCACAGGCATCTTCATATTAGCAGGAGTACATCTTCTAGCATGTTTGGAAGTGTGTTTGGAATAAAGTTCCTGTAGACAGATCATGTAAGATGTGCTGGGAGAACATATGGACATACCAGAGAGTCACCTACAATTCCAGCCTACACATTAATTGTAAACTGATGCTAGTGTCTAGCCTGTATCCATAGGGATTCTCATCCATCCACAAATGTTTTTTGTGTAAATTTGTTATTCCATCTCTTCTAAATGTTGCCTCATCTGTAAACAAGACTGAAAAAACAAACAATGGATCAGCAAACTATACAATAAACCATCATCAAAAGTTCTCCTGTGGTTAGTAATCAGAGGGCAAAAGACCCTGCACACTTTACAAATGACACGAATACAGGAGCTGCTCTTGAAGTAGCCTCCATGTGGACGGTACTATATGACATGCTAGGGCCATTTGACATGTGCTGATACCTGGAACATCACTGACAGCCTGGAGAATGTATTCTTCATGGTCAGGCTTACAAGTGGATCTCAGTCTGCCTTGATCCATAGTTTGTGATGCCACGGATCCTGTCTCAGTAATGTGACAATAAACAGTAGCAAAGTTTGGATGATTCAGCTGCTTTCAGTCTGAAAATGCAATCTGATACTGTAGTGCAGCCTCACATCCATTACCATTCATGCAGCCATATGTAAAAATTATATCTGCCTGCTCATGATATATCTTGCCATTGTTAAACAGAACACTTCTCAGTTGACTCACTACTACACACATTAAATGTCAAAGACGGGCTAGCCACAAATGTACACAAATAACAAATGTAACCTAGTCTCCATGGTAACACAGCGCCATCTACCATGAACTTTTTTTTAACATAACTCAAAAACAGGATTTTTGGACATATGTTTACATAGACATTTATCATTGTTTTGCTGTGAGAAACCTGCCTCCAAAGTTTTTAAAATAATTCTTGAAACACCCTGTATGTGTGTGTGTGTATATTATACACACACAGATATATATATATATATATATATATATATATACACACACACGTACACATATATATGTGTGTTTATATATTAAGACGTCTCATTAAATAATTTAGACAAGATTTGTTTTTAATATGATCTTCTCATATTCACATACAAGCTTTTTAGTGTCCTTATTAAAGGAAGAAAGAAAGTTGCCATATTGATGCATATTCATTTAAAAAATTAGTAAATTCAAAATAAGTTTAAAAATGATAAATAAAAACTGAGAAAAAATTATATATCATAAAAATTGATAAATTAAAAACAAATATTAAGATGACATAAAATGGGTTAAAACTGATAAGTTTAAAATTGATAAATAAAAAATTTTAAAATTATAATTAAGAAATTAAAATATTAAATAAAACGGATAAAAATGGATAAATTAAAATTAAATTTAAAAAATGATAAATAAGAAATGAATTAGAAATGATAAATGAAAAATAAATTTAAAAAATGGCATGTAAATAAATAAATTTTAAAAGTGATAAATAAAAATTAAATTTAAAAAAGGATAAATAAACAGCACACTTACGGAAATTATAAAAAGTCTTTAAAAAATGATAAATTAAAATGATGAAAAAATTGATAATTATAAAATAATCAAAAAGAATGTTGATTTAAAAAAAAATCAATTTCAATTGCAGAAAGCCCATTTCTTCACTGGAACTTTTCCCAGACATCAAAGCACAGACTGACAGATGGCGCCAGAGTGTACAAATACAGCAGAAAAGCAAATCAATTCCGATGTTGCTTCAAAATACAGATGTACTGAAAAAAGACCAGACGAATCAACTAGAGTCTTGCATCCCAAATATGAACAATTCATCCAACATGAAATCTTTAGTTGGTGGTCAGTTTGTGCCTAGGCCTCCAACAGTTGGTCAACCAAGACAACTGGCATCTGATAAATTCAGAAGAATGGTCTATCACTGTAGAAACTCAGAAGCCCATTGAGCCATTGTGACCAGAATGGATAAAAAGAAAATTAAGGAAGGCTTGGACTTCAAGAGAAAACAAACAAATAAAAATTTTTTTCTTTTACTTTTATTGATAAATTTATAGAGATTTCAACTCGTAGTTTTTAAGGAATTCTTCCTGAAATTTTGATTTGGCGATGAGCAATATGAACGAAGGAGTTCCTCCAATAATGTAAAACCTGAAAGACCAACAGAAAAATTTGAATCAGAAAAAAACATTAAAAGAATTAGGTTGATGCAAAAGATGCCAGTGCTATCTTCTCAATAATGTTAAGGAAATCTTAGAAGCATCTTTGAAGGTTCCTCGCCCTCCCCTTTATTGCTTATACAATCATTTAACTGGAGCATGTTCTTTACAAGTAAGTCTTAGGAAGAATTCTGGCACTATGCAAATAGATACTTGCATGATTGTGAAAACAGTCAGCATTTAAACATAAATTTGTATTTCTCTTTTTCAATGCAAAAAGAAAAATAAATCATTTGGGGATAAAATAGCCACCAGTAATGCAAAATATATTTATTACAAGAATCCAAAATGAAAAAGACCAGCCTTCAACATTTCAATTTAAAGAGAATCTACAGGAGAAAAACATAGTCACTGGCAATGAAAAATAAATCATAAGAATTAAAAACAATGAAAATATATTTGTGATAAGAATAAAAAAAGTTGAAAATCATGTCTTCATTTGGTGTGACCTTCAACATCTCAACGTAAAGAGAATCTACAGAAGAATATAGTCGCTGATGTTGAAAAATGGATTTATTATAGATATCCCAAACAAAGAAAATTATGTCTCTATCAGGGAGAGCCTTCAGCATCTCAACCTAAACAGAATCTGCAAGGAAAAAGGCAGTCACTGACAATGAAAAATGGATTTATTACAAGAATCTAAAATGAAGAAAATCATACCTAGATTCAAGACAGCTGTAAAATGCTAAACCTAAGCTGAATCTACTGGGGAAAAAGTTAGTCTCTCTGGAGGGATTCACAAGGAATTCTTTTCTTATGAATTACTTGAACCTAGATAAACTATTACTGTGCACTGCTACAATGAGCAACTGACTTGTTTGAATGACACATTGAAAGAGAAAAGATCTTTTCTGAGTAAGGAAGACAACTATCCTCATTTAACAAATATAATGCAACCAAATAACAATGAAACTGGGAAGTGGAAATCTTCCATAGACAGCATATCTTTCATACTATCATTTTTTTTTTTTGTCTGGTCTTTAGTTCCATTCAAAAATTCCTTGAAAGAATTCCTCGAATCAAAACCAGAAACTTTTCTTTTTATAATGGTGAACACAATTTAGCTGCAAGATGGTGTAATGTCATTGAAAGACAGTGAAAATAATTTGAATAAAAAAAAATGCTATGCTTTATACAAATAAAAGATTGTGTCAAAAAACATGCTGGAAATAGACTGAAACTGGGTAAAAACTTATTACACAGGAAAAATAAAATTATCATAATTAATATTTTATTAATATTAATGATCATTTTATTTTTGTGTGTGCAAAAGTTCACAGGATTTTTTTTTATTAAATCATTTTTTACTGTGTTTTCAGTTTCTGAAGAAAAAGGAACCCGGGAACTTTTACAGACATCGAATAATTTGTTTAATTAGAATAATTAATAATAAAATATATAATAAAATTTACAAATAATTGACAAAGAAAAATTTAATTGATTGAATTAATTAAGAAAAATTATTATATATAATAAAATTTTACAAAGAGAAAGAACAATGAACAAAAAAACAAGAATTGATTATTTCTGGTTCCTAGTCTATATCAACAGTCATGTTTGGGATGGGTCTGCCCTTGGCGAGAGACAGACTATCCTTTGTGTAAAATCTATTTGTATTAAAAAGATGGTCAGAGGTTGGTAGGAGTAAAGAGTTGGTTGCTGATTGCTGACCTACTACCTATTAGCAAACAAAACCTTGAATAGAAACAGGGTTTGTATTATTATTTCTCTATGTAGTATAAGTTTTCAACTTTTGTTTCCTTGTGAACATTCAGTGGGCCTTTTTCATCTGTTGGTGCATACTGATTGAAGATGCAATAATCTCAAGTTAGAGGAAAGCTGGGCAAGAGTCTTGTCATATATTTGGTGGTCAGCACCCATGCGCATCCAAGTATCAGGATCGTCATCCTCTCTTCCTATTCTCTTTCCCTCCCCTGGTGGTGAGGGAGATGGCTGTGAATCAAAGAGAGTTTGACAGGCCATTTATGTGAATTTGATTTTGCAAAAATGACTTAAACATTTAGCACAAAAATATGAATGTCTTCAGGTCTTTGCTGAAAGTATCAAGTGATACCCTTCATCATAGAATATATTTTTCAGAGTATCAAATTTACTTTTTTTGACTGCCTAGTCAATGAAAAAAAAATCATTGGGGAATTGTTGTCTGAAAGATGGATCCCAATTCAAAAGTTTAGGTTTTCTTCAATGTCTAATGCCTATGAATTTTAGTCTACTTGAATGCTATGGTTCTTGTAGATAATACATTTTGCAGTTATTCATTTTTGATGAGATCTTATTTTGTTGATTTTTATTACAAGAGTCAAATTGTTTTTTTTACATTCTGTTATGTAAACAACATAGATTGGAAAGAAACAAATAGACATAATAGTATTGTCTGAATTTGTTTTACATTGTACAACTATTAATTAAATATTACAGTAAATTGAGTAGACTTTAATGAGATTTGAATGCACATCCTGTGTCTTTACAGCTTGTCTTGTATGGATAAAAACAATAACAAAAAACTAGTCAAACATTAATAATAATATTTAAGCAATCTGAGCCTTTCCAGACTGAATTTATTTTCTAAATTTATCCCATTTTGAAAGTAACTCATATTTAAATTCCTCTTGTGAGCTATCTGCACATGTTATCTTTCTCTTCCAGATATATTTTGGTATGAATATGATTAGTCAATATGGCAGAGGCATTATTATTCATGAATATTCACTTTCAGTCACCTCCATGAAAACCAAATATGAAATTTCCATATCCATATGTGGCCAATCAACTTTGAAAGGATTTTTCATTTATTGGTGCAAAGATTTTTGAGAGATCAAGATTTTGTTGGGTAAAAATTTTTGCAAACAAATCTGGGGAGGAGGTTGGTCAAGACGTTGGTTGACTTCAGATACATTTTTCAAGAGAACAAAGTGTATGTAGTTAACACATACTCCACACTCCTCTCTGGTCTTTTGAACAGGAGTAGAGGTTTATCCCTTGTTTCCAGTTTAGAATGGCATTTCTTTAAAGTCTTTTCATTTTCTTTTACTACCAGTAGGTCCTTGTGTCGTAGTGGAATAATTGCCTTGCTTGGATTCAGTTGATTAAAAACAAACAAAAAACATTTGAACAGTTAGGAAAATTAGATGTATTTGAGGAGGATTTTAGAATAGTCCTGAATTTATACTGGGAGCAAACCCCCTACATACAGAGAAAAAATGAATTAAGTCAGCACACAAAAGCAGAAAGGGGCATGAGACAAGGATGTGTCTCCTCACCAGATTTATTCAACCTCTAAGGCGAAGCTGTCCTAAAAGAGCTGGAGACCTTACCAGGATTTATTATTAGTAGGTGCAATCTTAACAATTAAAGATATGCAAATGACTCATTGTTAGTAGAGAGAGAAAGAAAACTACAAGACCTAGACAGAGCAATAAAAGACTAACCATCAACTGTAAGATTGATTGGTCTATTTAATGGCATATCAACTTCTTAGGGGTTATTTAATGCCAAAATTTAATTTTCTTGATAGTGTTGAAGTAATAAAAATATGATATATGTTATTCTACTTTCACAATTGAATACATGGTAGATGATACTCAGCTTTTATATATGTACATGTTTGTGTAGACATGATTACTAGAGGCAGTGATGTGTCTTTTATGTTGTAGTTTTGTTGTTGTTATATTTTGGAATACAGTTTGATTTCTTTAAGAAATTGGAGGATATTATATGGATTAATGTCACGAAAGAGTTCTTTTGTGTTAGTTGTTTGGTTGGTTATCTTGTTTGGCAGCCTATCAACCACTATAGGTTATTTAATGCCAAAATCTAAATATTTTGTACATAATTTTATACTTTCAACTACAGATATTTTGTACATAATTTTATACAATCAGAGTAAAGGTATGTTTTTTTAGATATTTAGTTTGTACATCATAAAATGTATTGTTGGTAATTTTCATATAAAAATGTATTTTTATATTTTTTTTTAGTATTGCTTTGATTGTCATTTTGCTATAAAAATGTTGTTCATTTTCTTATAAAAATGTGCTGCTGATTTTTGTTTGGGGGTTCACTATTTAACCATAGCTGGGACCCAAACAGGTGCTACCACCCTGGGTCAGTGTGGACCTGGGAACAACAGCAATTAAGAGGTGGTTCCATGCTCTTCAAAACCTCCAATCTCCCAATCAGAGGCCTTGTTGTCAGATGTAGTTTATTGTCATACCCAGGATACTAACTGTAAAAAGACAGAATGTCTGGTTATCAGCAAAAGAAAAAACCCAAGATGCGAACTACAAACTGGAGATATCAATATCAAACAAGTGTAGAAGTTTAATTATCTGGGAAATGTTTCAACAGAGGCTGAAGAATGTGACATCAAAATCTGAATGAACATTGCAATAGCAAAAGATGCCTTCCAAAAACTAAGCAAAGTATTAAGAAACAAGAAAATTTTGTTGGGAACAAACAGTGTTGAACAGTTATGTAATATCAATCCTCTTATAAGGTAGTAAATGCTGGATAATCTCCTCATAGATGAAAAGAAAAATGAAGGTAATATAAAATGTGGTTCTACAAATGGTAATATTAGCCATTTCCTTATAAGGAAACATTCAACATTCATTGAGTGAGCAGTTTGTACTACAGTTAGTTAAAATTTATAAAATCTTTCTCTTAAAACAATTTTTGAAGAAAATAGGTTTCTCTAGTCCAGTATCTTATTGCTCTTTCCAGCATTCATGGAGGTTTCCTTCCTAACCTTTTGTTTGAAATAGTGTGGAATGTCAACATCTTGATCATGTCATTGCTTTCTCTTCAAGTTACATGTGATAGCAATTTCTGCTGTTGAAAGTCCTCAAGTGATGTGGTTTCTGTTATTTGGAACAGCTCTTTATTTGTGATTCTGTAGCATCAGTCCACAATGTTCAAAGAAGTGTGGCCTGAGAATTCTATGGACAAAGCCCATGAGCAATGAAGAAGTCTTAAGGAAAGTGAAAACAAAAAGGAGGCATACTCAGAATCAGAAAGAGGTAACTGTAATTTCTGGGACATATAATGAGGAAGGAAGGCTTGGAGAATTTGACAGTCACAGGACAAATGACAAGAGAAGGCATCAAAGGCAAAAGGGGCAAAAGAAGGCAGTAGGCCACCTCCCTGATGAGCTTATGTGAATAGATGGCGGAACAGGGAGTGGGAGGCTTGGCAGAGGACAAACATTGCTAAGCGTTACAAGGAACAGGAAGTTGTGGAGAGCCATGATTACTTATGACACAGATGTTGACTTCTATGTGCTATAGAAGAAGAAATTAACATTCCCATAATTAAATATATCATGAATAAATAAATTGTTTGTTAAGGTAAAAATTCTTGGAGAAATATAGACGAATAAAACAACTTTTATGGAAGGCCATTACTGAAATAAAAAACTGGTTCCTACAATTACAAAGGTAACCTGGGAACCTCAAACAATACAGTAGGACTACTTACTTTTTATGAGGCAGAATTTCAGCAAGAGTTTTCTTTGGTGGAATGCGGTAAAGGACATCAGTGTTAAATTCTTGAAAATATATCTGAAAATAAAGAATGATGCAATTAAACCTCTGAGAAACAAATGAAAAATAATGTTTACTAATACAACAGAACATTTTTCACTTATTATTGAAATGTGAGTACTAAAAAGGAAATATGTTCGCAGTGGACAAGGGGAGGGTCTAGTTTGTTAGTCCTTCATGAGAAAAGGCAGAAGTAACAGTAAAGATGTTCCAATTATCACTTACCTGTACCCCACCCAGATTTCACGAATAAAGAACTCAGTATATTATATTAAGATGCAAGGGTAACCCCTTGCATCATAGTAACCCGAGTATGAGAGAATATAAAAAACACACATTATTAAATAGAGAGAACAATAAAAGAACAAGAATTAAGAAATAGAAGATAATGATTAAAATTGCATTTAAATTTTTGAATATCAAAGTTGACCGAAAAATAAAAAGCTTGAAGAGAGTTCTGCAAGCGAGAAGAAACTGTTAGCATAAAACTTAGGTTACATCTAGCCATTTCAACTGTAAAATGATGGGACCTAGCTGCCAATCTAGTACTGCGCTTAAGTTCATAAAGTCTAGGTACCAAAGAGAAGAGCGATATTTATTCTGATATATACTCAGAAATGTGGCACAAGGCCAAAAATGAGGATTGGTGAAAGGACGGTCTTCTTCTGTCTTAACGATAACTTAGCTAGCCACAAACACTAACCCAATTATACAAACAGTATTCCTTACACCAAAACAACACATACTTATGTACCTTTCTTACAACATCCACCATAATATGTCACTGTCTCTATGAAAATACTAACTCGTCCCCATATGTACAATTCATTGTCTGTTGGGGGTAGGGAAATAAAACAACAATTCTAAAAACTAACCCCATCAGAACAATTCCCATGAAAGTATTTATAGAAAATGGAGAGGGAAGCTATGGTGGGAAAAATGACTGGAGCCAAGATGTCAGGTCAGGACCAATAACATTGCCAATTCTTCTTTGCATTTTATCAAGAATCTAAATATATAGCAGAAGCAACAGACCAGATGTAGCAGCAATATTCAAAGCATTGTCACTTACCTGCTCACCCCCCCCAGACTGTGTCTGGGGACATCATGAATAAAGTACCTAGTATATTGAAAACAGGATTTGTGTTTTCTTTCCTTGCTGAGGTGATATTTCATTTTCTGTCCTCCATGGAAACCAGGCCATTTCCCTTTTCTGTTTGCACTAATGCAAATAAGAATTGAAACACTACAAGGGGTGAAGCTGTTGAATTGGTCAAAAACTATCCTAGAGACCCAGTTGTATGTTTACACAAGGAGATGATACTATCTTGGGAAATTATCTTGACTGTGGCAGCAAGCAAATAGGTTAGAAAAAAGACCTTACCCAGTATTTAAAAAAAAACACACACAAAACAAATACAATTTTCAATAAAATTTCTTTGAATATTCAAAACTCAAAACAAACCTCAATATTTTTTGGCTGATATTTTCTTTCTTCATCCCAAGGGACGCTTTCCTCACCAAACATATGACAAATATGATGAAAGAAACTGAAATTATAGCAATAGAAATATAAGTAATCCTGTCATGACTTTAACATATACATCTGTTGCCCTGTAAGTGAGGTCCAGAAGAGCTCTGTCTGTAACTGCTTAGACCTTACCAAAACTTTAAGCAGATTTTTGCATTGTATCAAAAGTTTATATTTAAACCTATGTGTGTGTATGATTACCTTTAGCATTTTAGATGTACAATTATAACCAGAGTTTGTTGTATTTGGAGGATCAAATGTGTTACGTAGGAGTTTGTTTTGTTTCTATTTTGACAATTACACATCATTAGTCTTTTTCTTTTTTTATTTTACTCAAGTTCACGGTTCGAGAGCCAATCAAGATAGAGGTTACTGAATAATGTATGATATAAATGTAAGAGCTTAACTGAAGCATCCACATGTAAGTTTGCTCTATAAAGTAGCAGTTCTTGGGAAGAAAGTGTCTGAGTGCAACTTCCTCCTTACAGTTGGAATATGGGGAAAATGATAGTGACTCAACTCTGTAAATGTAGGAATATGAGTTTGAACTGCAAAGGTCTGAACTGGTGGCACGAAAGAGTAGAGCTCATCTAATAATTTGCCATGGAAATAGTGATAGAGTCACAACAGGTCTTGAAACATTGTATGTTGCAGAATGGGGAATAAGTGATCCTGCACACGACCACATAAACAATTTTGAACTCTATCAAGGTTAGAAAGTGAGAATTGAGCAGCTCCAATCCAAAAAGAGCAACAATACTCCATTTTTGGCCTGATATGACTCTTGCAAAGATATAACATGGCAGAAGGTGTCAGACACATCCTGGAGTGATATAGTGAAACAACCATTTTTCCAGGTTCTTTAGCAATGGATTGTATGAGTTGCTTTTGAGGTCTGGAGTGAACTTGAAACTCAACAAATAGTCAAACCTCATATGATATAAACAAAAAAGAAGGTGGTAGGAAATGAGGATAAGGAGGATAGATAGCAAATGACCTTTGACTCGAAGAGGTTAAGATTATAGTTTTCAGGGAAGCATTTCCATGGTTGTGTGTTCCACAAAGTAGTAGTTCTTGGGAAAATGCTTTCTAAACAGAACTTTCTTGTTATTGGAACACAAAAAAAAATGACAATGATTCAACCCTGTGGATATAGCTTAGTGTGTCTTAGTTGTGAAGGTCTGAACTGGTGGGACTAAAGAAAGGAGCCAATCTGAACAATTGCTGTGGAAACAGCAAAAGAATAATGAGAGGTTTGCGGCATTGCATCTGTGGGAAAGAGATTGTCTTCCTCCACACAACCACATAAATGATTTTGAACTCTATCAAGGTTGGAAAGTGATGATTGTGCAGCTCCAGCCAAGATATGGTAACAATGCTCTAATTTTGATTTAATCTGACTCTTCTAATAATAAAGCATGGAAGATGATGTTAGGTACTTCCTGGAACAATAGAAGGATCTGACCTTTCTTCCAGCATCTTTAGTAATAGATCATATATAAGAGTTCCACATGAGATCTGAACTGAACTTGAGAGCTAACAGACAGTCAAAGCAAAGATATATATTCCTTTGTAAAAATGTTTTCACACTGTATCCTCAAGTTCTGAGATGATTATTTTTTTTAATGATTATTATCATCTCGGCTGGAGCAGCCAAATCTTCTCTTTTCAGCCATGATGGATATATGGCAGCAATAGTCTATTTTTAGTTTAATTTGACTCTTGTAAAGATAAAGCAATGCCAGAAGGAGTCAGGAACTTTCTGTAGTGGTAGAAAGAACTGACCATTTTTTCATTTGTATATCATATGTTCCCTATAAATTTGTATAACTTTACTATGTGTAAATAACCTTGTTGTCTTTGGTAAGTACTTACCAGCTATTTTCACAAAATCTTTCAATGAAATCTGATTGCGAATACTCAGGATACAAGAAGAGCACAGGCCAATTCAGGAATCCATGCTCGTCCATATGAACTTTGGCCCCACCAGGATTGTGCCCTTCAAGATCTTTCAAGGTTAATGCTTTAGAAATTTCAGTTTCTCCTGATTCTTTCAATGTTGCCAGTTTAATGCCTCTTTGCTGAAAAAAGAAAATGAACAAAAAAACATTTATAAATTCATAATAATTTTCATTTGACCTTGACATCAGTTTAAACTAACACCTTTTTTTTTCCAACATATCTAAACTTTCTAGTCATATATAAAATTTTGAGACTTCCATTAATCTGTCACAGCCTCTAAAATAGCAATTTCTTGACTGATCAAAACCAGATTTTGAGGAGATGTGCAGCTAGGCAAGGGGCAAAAGTACACTTAGTTTTACTAAGGTGCAGAGCTTAGTACAATAAATTTTCATTAAATTTTTTGAAAAGATTAAGTTTTATTATTTAACATACAAAATACTCCCACTATTTTAAAAACAATTTAATGATTAAAATTACAAATACTTATTCAAATTTTATCAATTGGTTTGCAAAATTGAACAAAAGGTAAAGTTTGTAAAACTCAACAAAAAATTGTCATTGATAACTTTAACAACAGTAATTACTGCGAAGATTTCAACATGCATCCGAATGTTGCAAAAAATTCTAAGAATTATAAACTACAATTTTGGAAAATAAAAATACATTGGAAAATTACCATGTTTTTATCAATAACAAAAATTCAAACTTGAAGCAAAACTGTCAAAAGGAAAAAAAGAAGGCATCAAAGACTTCAAAAATACATCTTTCGTAAAACAATGTTTATGAATTCTCATGTCCTTTGGTAAATTGCCTCTCCAATAAACAAAAAAAAAAAATTCTAACATATATCATACTTCAATTTATTAACAGATATCATATCCAATTTAAAATGCATTATATAAAAAAAACATTCACTTTTTGGCATCAACTGATTTTAAATTTCTTCTTTTTTAAGTACACTATGTGATATGACTTCATCTAAAATTGTTCAATTATGTGTAGGAGAGAATTTTTCTGTTGCAGAAATGAATTTGTATCAAGAAAATCTTAAGTAAATAAATTTAGTAAATGGTTCTAACTACAATTCATTGAATTTTTGACATTATCATAATATTCAAAATTATAGGTTATATTATAGGGTAAATATAATTCATTTTTAATTTTTATCTTTTGTGTTTTTTTATATTACTGTTATTACTATTATATATATATATATATATATATATATATATATATATATATATATGTGTGTGTGTGTGTCTATATATATATATATATATATATATATATATATATATATATATATATATATAAATAAAATATATTTTATTAAATAAAGAAATAAAAGGAAAATTTTTTATGCCAATGAGTTTCATTCTTTGAGGAACTTTATCAAGGCAAGTGTAAAAATTTTATTGAGTAACCTATACACAACTAATGTGGGAAAAAATATTTATTTTTCAAATTTTTAATTATAAAGCTCAAAAATATTCTTAAAGCTTACTGTGTAAGGAAAAGTAAACTATGGAAGATGCTAAGTGATGTAAGTTTTAGGCATATATATATATATATATATATTCATTCTAAAGAAATAATGGATTTTTATTTATTAATCCAACAGATTTTATCACTTTAAAAATTATTTTTAGTGGATACTTATATTTGAGAAGACACTTTATTTATTTATTAAACAGTGTATTTATTTATTTTCGTCTACAGACCTGAATATTCAAGAAATCTTATTAAAGAAAAATATACACTCTCCAGTGGGATTTGAACCTGTGTACTTCTGATAGGGAACATAGTCGATCAGACAAGGATGAATGGTGCTTTTACGCAAAATTCCTCATCATTGACTTATTGAAATTTTCATATCTGCTCAGTCTTGTATCTAAATATTAAACAAAGGAATTTTCTAAAGAAGTAATGGATTTTTATTTATTGATCTGTCCCAAGGGTGACACAAGTTTGAATCCTACCAGAGAGCACATATTTTTCTTTCTCAAATATTCAGTCCAATAGACAAAAATAAATATACTGTTTAATAAATAAACTAGTATTCATTAAAAATAACACTTAAAGTGATAATAAATATATATATATATATATATATATATATATATATATATATATATATACTAGAGTAGAGCCCCATAGCGTTGCCGGGATGTAACAGTAAGAGATAGATCAAGTATCGACCATCATAAAGACTGAAAAATAAAATTGACAAAGATTATTGTTTAAGGTTGACGGACACGCATGTCTTAATTAGTTTGTTTTTTTTTTTGTTTTTTACGAATTGGTCAAACCCAAACTCAAACAAAAACACCGTTTTCAATCGTTATGAGTCTACCGATTGAATAGAATTTTATTATAAACAATTGTCTTGTAAATGGAATTTTTAAAGCATTCTGAATGTAAAAATAAAGAAAAAAGTGTGCAAGACAATAAGAAACACTACCTGTCTCACCAAAAAAAGTGAAGTTTTGTTGGAATCGGTTGAAAAATGTAGGAAATACGATCACATATATAAATGAACACACACACACACAAACAACCTGGGTTTTATAATAAGTATAACTCGATATGAGTTGTCCCCTTTTCATTCTTGCGACAGCGATGCCTCTTAATCGTGTTTTTAAATTGATTTCGTGCAAAAACAATTCTGTTTTTCCAATTTTTGGCACTGTCAGAACCACCGCAAGGTAATTTTACGTAGTCCTGTGAAGTTTTGTTGAAATCAGTTGAAAAATGTAGGAAATCCGATCCAATATATAAACGTACAGAGACACACACACACACACAACGTGGGTTTTATAATAAGTATGATATATATATATGTAAAAGTGAACATTGAAATCAACACTCAGAGGCAACAGGCTGTTTCATGCTGAACATAATTGTCAGGCTGCGAATGCTGGATTTTTTCCTCGGCTATTTATATATATGGGTCAGTGGTGCATTGTGGGTAATCTATTCTGGTGGTTATTTGCAGGAGTGGCTTGTTTGTTTATTTGTCCCGCAAATAACTGCCAGAATAGATTACCCACAATGCACCACTGACCCATATATATATAAATAGCCGAGGAAAAATCCAGTATTCGCAGCCTGACGATTACGAACAGTCTCTGAGTGTTGACTTCAATGTTCACTTTTATATTTACATACACTCTATCTCTGATATTGAGCACTTTATCCCATAAATATAGCACAGCTTAAAACTATACTTCTTCATATATATATATATATATATATATATATATATGAAATATAAATACAGAATGTCCTTGGATTATGTCAGACCCAACATATGACGTTTTGTAGTTACAACGCCATCTTCCATAATATAATTCATCATCATGCAGTGGTATATGAGGAAGACAACATTGTTTCTTCACTGACTGTATGCCATATTGGATTGTGCTACATTCGCTAACTCTTATTTGTGTCATTATTTTGGGAGCTTTTTGCCTTTCATTATGGCTCCCAAGTGTAAGGGAGACTCATGGGTGCTTATGTAGGTGAGTTCTGACCTATGTTGAAAATCAGTTCATATGCCATAGGAATGGATCTCCAATATAAGTCAAGGAGCACCCCCCCTCACGCATATACTTATAAGCATTACCCCAAAAGTTTTCTTAGTAGTTTGAACATTTATTTTTAATTAAATTAATTTCTCACCTGAATTTTGTCCAACAAAATCTGTTCAGCTTCCTCTTCTTTTTTTTCTATCAACTGTTGCTTGCGAAGATCTCGATCTTGCACTTTCTGATAAAAATAAACAAACAAAAAAAAAACACTAAAATCTTTTAAAAAATATCCTAAGGAAATATATCATAATCAGTACTTCTGAATAATAACATTTTAAACTGAAATGTTTAACAAACTGTAATTGTCCAACAGGAAATGGTCTGATTATTGCATAACAAGGCCTCCATATCCACTAAATTTATACTTCCTTATTAACAAAAAAAAATCTATTAAATTGACAGTGGATAATGATTACCAAGGAATTCTGTTATTCATAGGCATAACCAGAGTTAATGAGGAAAAATATTTTGATTTACCCCTCTCCTTGATTGACAAGTCACTTATAGCCAATAACAAATAATGGTGAGATACAACACCCAACTTTTATGTTCTCATATTTTTTTTTAACCATTATGCCCTGAGCAAGGCGTGAAGCCACTAGGATGCAGGGGGTCACAGAAGATTAGGAGCAAGAGCAGATAGGAGTGATAGAAGAAAGGATGAGGAGAGGGATAGTGGATAGATCAAGGTAACTGGAAGTGTCGATTGACATTACATTTGAATAGTTGGCGATTATAGCTCTCAGGAAAACAGTAATTGGGAAGGGTGTTCCACAGGCGAGAGGTGTGAGGTATGAAGCTATTGGAGTAGAAGAGATGGCTACGTTTAAAAGTTTCAGTATAAGGGTGGGAGCGGGATGCCAGCCTCATAGGATGCTTGAATTCATGGAGTCTGGGACCCAGTGAAAGCAGCTCATCGAAGCAATTACCATGAAAATATTTGTAGAAAAGACAGAGAGAGGCAACGGTGTGTCTGTGAGAGAGTGACTGTAGACGAGATGCCAGATCAGGGCCAATTATATTACATATCTGTCTCTGGATCTTGTCAAGAACTCCGAGGTAAACAGAAGATGCCCTAGACCATATATGGCAGCAATACTCCATGCAAGAGCGAATGGTTGATTTGTATATTTGAAGTATCGATTCCGGGGAGAAAAATTTCCTGGTAAACTGCACAGAGAGCCAACTTTCCTCAATGGTGGAAGAAGCAATTGACTCAATGTATTTGTTCCATCTCAGGTCAGCAGTCAACGTGAGACCGAGCAGGCGCGCAGGAGTTGCTCTCAAGAAGTTGACTATCAGACATTCTAATGGGGGGCAGGGAAGGATCTCTATGGTGATTAATAGGGAGTAGCTTAGTTTTTGAGGCGTTAAAGTTGACCAGCCAATTCTTGCCCCAATTAACAACCGATTGGAGGTCCATTTCAAGATGCACGGCCAGGTTAGTTTTGTCACCGACACTACTACTTTCATTATTTGCCAGTGCTTATGTAACAGGTCTGCCAATAAGAAATATGCCAAATACCTAATGACCATCATTAATCTGGCACAGTAGGGACCTAAATATTGCTGGATAAATGATAGTTATGTTAAAATATACTTTTCACAACAGCTAACAAATTCACCTTACTTTTAAAATACCCTGTAATCCAGAACATATTGTTTAATGAAACAAAAAGAGAAATTAAATAAAAATGAAGTGAAATTTTAATAAAACACGGATAAAATAAACGTTACAGGTAAAATTTCTTGAAAACCAAAAATTGTTAGAATAAGGCATCAAACCTTGTTTGACAAACAACCTAGAGTGTTTAAGAATGTTAAATTACCTCCTTGATTATCCAAATGAAGCTGCTATCCATCAGATTAAAAAAAAAAAAGAAAAGGAGTTAGCACCCCCCACCTCCAAGGGCCATTTAAAAATACAGTCCGTGTAGTGGATTGGATGTTTATAGCAATCAATAAAATGCACGGAAAATGTGGTCTACTTTCGTCCAATTTAAGATAAAGGCCAGTGTCTCTGCTAATGTTTAACTGCGAAGGGGGAATCAGGGCTTGATCTACCCTGATTGGTGTCGGCTTGGTGAGGGTGTGTATGATGTTGAAAGACCTGAAACTCCCTGATGAACCATGTCAATTTACATCACTGATGACTCCTGGTGCTCTATTTAAGAGCGTATATTCAAAAAAAAAAAAAAAATTACATAAAGAAACCTCCTCCCTGCCAATTCCAAAGTGAAATATTCAATAAAAATTGACTTAAATTTTAATGAAACACAGGTAAATAAAGGTCACAAGTAATTCTGTTGACTTACATAAGGAACTTCATTGATATTTCCAAAGTGAAATATTAAATAAAAATCAACATATTATGGCTGTATGCCAAAAGACAAGTAGAAATTCCTTAGCAGAGTTTGAAAGTTCTAAAAAGTATTGTGTATATAAATCATACAAGATTCACACAGACACTCAGCAGTCATTGTTTTTTTTTTAGATGTTCTACCTTATCTGTTATGGATAACATATAGAGTTTGCATGTAACACCATGGGAAGATCTTGTATTCATTGATGCCATGACTAGGGCTAAATGTCAGCAGGTTACAATAAAAATGCACAAAAGACAAGTTGATTGATTTGTTTTTTTTTCTACAGCTTGTCAACCCTTTAGCTTCCTCAATGATGTCTATTCTGGGGTCATAGAAAGTTTCAGGCTCTATGACATCAGACTCTCTCTCATTAGCCAAGCTGAGAGCAATTATTTCTCAACTAGCATTCTAGCACAGAATTACAATTCTTGCATGTTGAATTTGCAGAGATTTTGTAAAATGCAGCTGAATCAGGTATTCAAATTCTATCTCAATTGATTTTTCAGAATTAAAACTTTTATTTTATTTTTTCAAGAACAAATATCTGTTTTAGATATAGGACAAAAATTTATATATCCGAATAATCTCTTTTTTCATTGTAGAAAATCTATAAAATTTGAATTCACTTTTATGTTATTTACACAGATTTTTCATCATGAGTGTCAATATTGCAAAAGTCCACAAGGAAACCTCACCTCTGAACAGATGAATAAAACAGTTTTGAATAAAAAAAAAAAAATTAAACTCATTCAAAAAGATTATTTTACATTAACCAAGACTTTACTTACCTTTAATTTTATGGCTTTGGTCTTAATCGCAGAGAGTTTTTCATTTTTGGGATCCAAGTGAAAAAAAAAAGTCAAGGATTTAAAACATATTCATGATGATGCTATTATTATGATGTTGAGGTTACTATTGCTACATATTATTGTTGCTTTTTATCACAACTCTGGATGTAGAAAAATTTTTTTCTATGTGATAAGTCTTTTCAAGACATGGGGCGATCATGGCTCTCTCCAACTTGTTACTCTAAGTAAATTTTGACTCTTTATCATCTATCTTTGACCTCATTCTGCTATACATTCACAAAATGTTTTTTTTTTTATTTCTAGGATCCAAGTGGGGAAAAAAAGTTTGATTTAAAATAGGCATGAGTAACCTTTTCTGCACAGTGGGACACATAAAATATAACTCATTCAGATTGTAGTGATTGGGAAAATATCCTCATGGGAGTTGGTTCCAGAGAAGCAGTTTGTAGGAAAAACTTGTTTGAGTAGAACTAACTTCTCACCAATGAAATATGGAGGGATGGATGTTGGATTTAATGGCATGTCAACTCCGAAATATGGAGGGAATGAATGTGGTTTGCTACAATGCTTGTAGGATGGCAGGTCCTATCCATAAAGGTTAGAACTGGTGGAACTAAGGAATGTAATTCATTTGAGGACTTTCCTTGGAAATAGCAAAAGAGCAGTGAGAGGCTTTCTACATCTTGTCTCTGAGAAAGGGGTTGCAGGATGGAAAATAATTTGTTACCCACAAGGATGTGGAGATGATTTTTGACTATCAAGACTGAAAAGTGAGGGTTGGGTAGCTCCTGCCCACATATGGTAGCAGTACTCCATTTTAATCCTGATTTGGCTCTTATAAAGGTAGAGGATAGCACGAGGAGTGGTTAGCTGATCGTTGTTGCAGTCACCTGCTCAGGCACATTTGTGTTTCTTCAAGAATCCACAGAGCTAACCTGTGGCTTATACTGCAATGATATTGGGCAGACCTTTCTGTGAGAGAGGGCATATGGCATAATCAACAATTTTGAATAAGGCCAGTATGCTCAAACCCTCAGTGACAGTGACAACCACTGATAATGTTCTAACAGTTTCATCAAACCAATGTCTCCCACATGACTTGGATTAGCTGATGGTATGGTTTTACAAGCACTTAATTATCAAGAAGTCACCTCTTTGACAAACCAAGCATGAAGAGATTCAAGCCAGGGTCATATGATTAGAGGGCTAAAATACTGACCACTTAGCCATTGTTTAATATTATATGAAATTGGTAATATCCAAAAAAATGTGTAACTTAGAGCAGAAATGATTTTTTTTTACATTTAGACAGAAAGAAAAATAAATGTCATCAATAAACATAAAAAAGGAAAAGTAAAAAAAAGATATTTTTAATCCTGCTTCACACCATATCACAGCTTCAGAAAACTTTTTAAGTTCCAAACAGCATTGTGTGCCTAAAGTGTGAAAAGAGAAAAAAATAATATAGTTACAAACACAATAAAGGAAAAACATCAATTTAAGGAATATTGGATTTACAAAACCATTTATGAATAATATGGGCCATAAAAAACTGATTTTTTTTATTTTTACTGAACAAAGTTATATAAATGTTAGAACAAATCATTCATTGAGGCCATGTTAAGTTACTAAGTTGTTAACTGGGGCAAGGAATGGCCTGTTAATTTTAACACCTCCGAAACAAAACTGCACCCTTTTAATCATCTGAGAGAACCTTTTATATCTTCTATCAAGATGGCTGGTTCTAACTTTCAGCAGAGTGATTCCTTGCACTTTCTTGGACTAATGTTTTCCACTGATATGAAGTGGAAAGATTACATTAAATCAATTGCTAGGTCTGCTGCTAGGAAAGTTGGTTCACTGTGTTGTGCTAGACAACTTTTTTTCACCAGAATCTACCTTATATATTTATAAGTCAACCATTCATCCTTGCTTTGAATATTGCTGCCATATATAGCCTACTGCTATATAGTTAGAGATTCTTGATAAAATACAAAGCTGCTGCTGCTGCAATGTTATTGGTCCTGACATGGCATCTTGGCTTCAGCTACTTTCCCACCACCATAACATAGCTTCCCTGTGCCACTTCTATAAATATTTTCATGGTAATTGTTCAGATGAATTTTCCTCTATGGTACCTAGACTTTATGAGTGTAAAGACAGTACTAGATTGGTGGCAAGGTCTCATAATTTTACAGTTGAAATAGCTAGATGTAGCTGTAAGTTCTATGCTAACAGTTTCTTCTCTTGCACTTCTCGCTTGTGGAACTCTTTTCCAGATTCTTGCTTACCAGTCAAGTTCAATCTTCAAAAATTCAAATGCTATGTCAATCATTATCTTCCGTCTTCTTAACTCTTGTTCTTTTATAGTTCTCTCTCTTGTATTTTTTCTCATATTCTCACACACACAGTAATCCCTTGCATCTTAGTGGCTTTATTACCTTGCTTGGGGTGAACTGATTTTAATAAAAGTACATGCCAACCTATTTGTTTTGTTTTGTTTTACGGCATATCAACCTCAATGGGTTATTTAATGCTGACAACTTTTTTTTCCTGGTAATATTTTGTTTTGTCAAAAATGTATAGCTGGTAATATTATTTTAAAAAACATATTGCAGATAATAGTTTTTATTCTTCAAAAATTTATTTCTGGTAATAATTTTTTACAAAGTATTTTTGGTATTAAAACCTATTTTTACACTTTCATAATGCTTGTTACCTCAGTTTCAGGGTTAACTATTTGCCCATAACTGGGACCCTAACAGAGGCTACCACCCTGGTCAGGGTGGACCTGGGGACACCATCTATTAAGAGGTGGTTCTACACTCCTCAATACCTCCTGATCAGAGGCCTTGCTGTTGGACGTAGCTTATCGTCTTACCCTGGATGTGGATGTAGTTTATTGTCATATCCAGGTCAGGTCAACCTTGTTAGCTGTAAATGAAAAAATCTTGCTAATTTCAGCTATTTTTAAAGAGAGTTTTTGGCAATGCTGGGCTGTTTACAATTTGTTGGATTGTATCTATCATTCACTGACCTTGCATATTTCATGGTTTTGGGAAGATCAAAAGATAAATTTGATACAGTTTGTTTCATGTTTGATGCTCTACGATTTAAAAAATAAAAAGCTGTGAAACTGTAAAGTGCATTAGATAACTCTGATTTCATTAAATTTTGTTAGTAAAAAAATAACAATTCAAACAATTATTGAAAAACTGAAATGAATTTTGAAATAGCATAGTGCCTGTCAAAACTGATAGGATGATTTATGTATGAAGTTTTGGTTCTGCTGGTCAAAGTATTTTGCCGTTTTAGCCAAAGGTTAAATGCCATGGCACTGCTGTCTGAGTGGACAGACCATTATGTTGGTTCCAGCACCATTACTGGTTTTGAATTCAGAGTTGTCCTTCTCCTAAACTGGTTGCCAACCAAGGCTAGAGAGCCCAGCTTGCCCTGCTATTTAACCCATGGATAGGGAGGAAGAGATAGGTTGAATCCTTTTCCAAGGGTATTTGTGGCAAAATGAACACAGCAACAGAATGAACTTGTCACACTCATTTCACTTTCTGGACTGATAAACTGCTACACTACAAGTATGCCCATTCTTAAAATTATAGAAGGTATAACTTGTAGTAATTATGTTGAGAGAATCAAAACTTTCTCTTTTGATACAGAATGTATGCCTTAAGAAGACCATAGAATGAATTGGCATTATGGTAACAAAAGCAACAAATAAATGAATTTGAACATATCGTAGAATGGTCCATTGTGCATCTGAATAAGGACTATCAAATTGATCAGCCAATAATCCTCATCAGTCCCATAACCATGTGTGGTCACAGGGTTGCTATTTAGCTGAGCACCCGACTAGCTCCCTCAATATATCTTGGTTGTATGCCATATGTCCGAGTCTCTGTGAAGGATCTTCCAGTCAACTTGGTGAGCATTTTATCCTCTGTCTCTTCTTTTGCCCAAGGAGGTAATTGGGTTTTATGACATTTCAATACCATTTCGACTTCCCCTACTTTACAATGTATATGAAGTCTTTGAATGAGCCTGTTTCTTAGTGATGGTATTTTATTTGGGACATGGTCTACAGAAGAGATGCCTATGATTGTTCTGTGGCATCTGATTTCTAATGCTTGGATTCTTCACTGTAATTTTGCTGTTAATGTCCAACATTTACAGATGTGCAAAAAGATTAAGATGGCCAATGCATGCAAATCAGATCAGCCAAACCATTGGAAATTAAACTTTGGCAAACCTGTGAGCAAAAATAATAATTTTTTCAAATTTGTTTTTATATTACTATTATTTTTCATTTTTTGGAAATTTGCAACCTGAATTGCATAATTGATAGTAATATATGAAAAAAGAACTACTTTGTATTATGAATTTAAAAAGTTTTTTTACCTTTTAAAAAAATCTTGTCATATGGGAATATTTGTTTTTACATTGTAAATTTGAGTCCACAATTTTTATTAAACTTAATAAATTTTATTTAGTTTAATATTTGTGATTTAGAGTATTTAATATTTAGTAACATGAAAAAAATTTTTTTATTATTTCTGGTTGCAATACCTATTAATTTACAATGTGAATTCTCTCAAAATAAACCAAACTCTGATATAGTTCATTTTAGCACTTCAAATCATTTCTTATATATTAAGCCTTGATTTATTTCCTTTACACCAAACACAATTTCTTGAACAAGATTTATATTATGTGCTCTCTTTTGGATATGAGGAATCATTCATTTGAAGTAAAACAAAAAATAGCCTTTGAAAATACAGTAGAATTTATTATGTTCAGTCACTGGAGGCCAAATATTTCCTTATAAGGAAACAGCTACTTACATTACCATTACCTAAGCTTACTCACAAGAAAACTTCAATAGAAAAAGCACTTACCTCTGACATAGGCTTTAATGTAGTCAGGCTTGAATTTACAAGAAATAACACAGTCTTGTAAAGCATAACCAAAGTTACCTGGAAAACACAATGATTTTTGACTGTCAATCTTTCTATGTATAATAGATTTGAATGACACAACTTATAATAAAGATTTATATTAGTTTATTAGTAGTACATAACATTAATATTAGTTTAGTCTCTTAGAAAGCCAAATGCAGGATTCTTTTGTGTTAATCTTCAAAGTAGGGATAGTCTGCATATATAATAATGAGACAATAGACAAGGCTTATTTATTTTCATTCTTTTTTTTAGAGGAGAATTTAAAAACTAATTATAAAAAGAAAGCCAGGTAGTTAATGAAGGAAAAAAAAGGCTTGAATAAATTTGATGTGCAAAATTTGTTTATTCAAATTTGTAAAAAATGAGGCTCAGACCTTATGTAAAATGCGGCCTAAATGAAGCTTGTCAGTTCATGAGAAAGATACTTGTGTAAAATTTCGTTTTCAATTCATTCTGAAAAATCTGCCAAAATAAAGTCAGTCAACAGCCATAGTTTAAAAAGATACATTTTTGGTTTTTTTAACCAATGAGGAAATACTGGAAAGAATGCAATTTTCCATTGGTAAGTTCTTGAATGTCTAAAACAAAAAGGGCAGTGAAAAACTCCAAATCCAGTGTCACCACTCTAAAAGGCAAGAAAAATAAACAGTATCGAAATCAGAAATCACAAGTCTAACATCAAAAGTCCAAGAGGCAAAATAAAATAGGAGTCAACAAATCCAACTTACAGATTCTAATGCAGTAAAGTCACTCTCAGTCACAAACCAAAAATTACGCTATTCTCGTAAAGAAAAACGATGGCTTTTATTGAGAAGGTAAATTTTGTAATTATAAGAATAGGTAGGTTCACCCATCGTCCAGTTCACACTCCTCCCCAGTCTTTTGAACAGGTGAAGAGGTTCATCCCTTGTTTTCTGTTTAGGATTGGGTTTCTGATTCCTTCTAAAGTCTACTTCAACTCTATACTTCCAACATCTCCACCTGAACTTATAATTGCTAATTAAATTTTGACCACTGGAATTAACAAACTTCCCTATTATCTTATCATTTCTTACGCTAATACAATTCTTACTTGAGTGGCCATTGAGGCTTTAATGGGTGAATATTAATTAAAAAAAAGAAAAAGAAGAAGATTCTGGAGTCAGTTTTGAGGCTATTTAAGAAGTCAAATTGGTCTAGGGACCAGAATGTTTTTGATATTCTCGTGTGAATGACTGAGGTCTGTTTCTGATAATAACAACAATGCCACCACCAATGGCAAGAAAGAAACACATGAAGAAAGATGAAACTAAAAGATAAAAAAAAGAAAACTGAAGGATTCTTAAAATTAGAGGCATCAACCCTAATTTTGAATTTTTATAAAAAAAAGTAAACAATATTGTAGATCATTTTAGAAAATGAACTCTTGTTAAAATTCGCAGTGACACATAAATTTGCCAACCTTTTCAACTGTTGAAAATATGAAAGTGAAAGTTTTGTTGAAAAATTCATATAAGCTTGAATAGGCTCTGTTATTACAATTTGTGAACTGGTTATCTTGTCTTCTATATCTAAATAAATAAGTTGCAAATTCTGTCTGTCTGTCTGTCCATCTGTGTGTTTGAAACATCTCTAACTGGGGCCACACTCTACATAGACACATTATAACTTTTCGGAATCAGGATGATCCCGGGATTAAAAATCTGCCCTTCATCTGGTGCTTGAACATCCAGCATTGAGATTTGTGTCTGGATGAGGAGGGAACAGTTAAAATTAAAATTTTAAAATAATTGAAAAAAAATTAGTGATTTTAAAAGTTTTGAATTTATATTGTGTTTAAGCACAAAAACTTTGTGAATTTAAAAAAAATTGTTTTAAATTCAGTTAAAATATCTAAAACTTTTATTCTCCCTCCACCCACAGATATGAATTTTACATATGGGTACTAGTTAGAATTTTCATAGAGACATTGAGGCATTATGGTGGATGTTGTAAGAGATAAGTAAGAATGTGTTGTTTTTGTGTAAGGAATATTGTGGCATGTTTGGGTCAGTGATTGTGGCTAGCTAAGTTTAATGTTAAGACAGAAGAAGACTATACTTTTTCCTCATTGCTCATTTTGGCCTTGTGCCACATTTTGTAATAAATTACAAATAAATATCACTCTTTGCTATGATACCTAGGCTTTATGAATTTAAGCACAATACTAGATTAACAACAAAGTCCTATCAGTTTAGAGTTGAATTGGCTAAATGTAACCGTAATTTCTATTCTGACAGTTTGTTTTCGTACATTTCTCACAGAACTTTTTCAGCTTCTTCCTATCCAGATAAGTTTGAATTTCAAAAAATGCATTGTCAGTCATTATCTACTGTCATTTTAATTACTCTTCTATTGTTCTTGTTCTTCAATAATGCTTCTATTTTCTAATTCTCTTAGAACCAGTAACTCCTTGAGTCTTAGTGGCTTTACTGCCTTAGATGTGGTGAATTCAATAAAAAAAAAATATGTTAGAATATTTTTCTCAGCCTGTGCAAAATTTAACCACACAGTTTTCTACAACTGGTGACCTCAGTGAGATTTGAATATACAGTCTTCTTACCTGGGGTCAGAGACAATAACATTTTAACAATAACACTTTTAACAGTCAATTTGTCCTCTTCCATTGTACTGAACTTCTGTTTTCTACATTGACAATTGTTACACTAGTAGGACATTCAAAACTAAAATTAACAAGAATTAGGATTATTTTAGTCAAGAAAATATAACTGACTTGTTTTTCTGCACACTCAATACAAAATCTGACTATACAGAATATACATACTTAAGTTCCTAATAAAAGGGGTGGGTAAAATAAACACTGGGGGTGGTGTCAGAAATTTTTTCAATATGCAATAAATTGGGAAAACCTTAATAAAATGAGGTATGGAGAATCATTTAAAGGGTCAAAAATTGTGAATAAATGATGTGACCTTAATAAGTTTGGGGTCAGTGATTGGTGGGGAGGTTGTTCATTTAGCACCTAAGAGTAACTGACTTAGTTTTCGAACCCCACCCCACATAAAAAAGGTGCCTAATACAAGTGGGGTGGAGGGTCTTAATAATCAGCATAGTGGTGGTCAAGGGATTGGGATTTTGATGGTGATGGTGGAGGAATCAAGATTTTTCTCAATAGCCAATAAACAGAGATGATCTTTAAAAAAAAATGGGGATAGAGAAGGAGAATCCTTTAAAAGGTTCAAAAGTGCAAAATTAATAAATAGGTTAGTTCTAATGTCAACATTCCATACCACTTCAAATAAAAGTTTAGGAAGGAAACCCCCATCAATACTGGAAAGAGCAATAACAGCTACTGGACTTCAGAAACTTGTTTTCCTGAAAAAGTGTTTTATATATTTCAACCAAAACAGTACTGGCTACCAGGCCAATGAATACGAAATGTTTCCTTGTAGGGAAATGATTAATATTGCCATTGCCATAATAAGCTATAGGCAGAGTGGGGGAGGGGGGAGGAGGCCTGGGATTTATTAGGTACCTAAAATTAACTGATCTAGTTTTCTCCCCACTCCTTATACCAAATTTTTTTTTTAAGCATTTCCCCCCAAGCAAGGCGGGAAGCCACTAGCACGCAAGGGGTTACAGATAGTTGGAGCTAGAGCAAATAGGAGTGATAGAGGAAAGGATGAAGAGAAGGATAAGGGATAGATCAGGGCATCTAAAGATGTCAATTGACATTACATTTGAATAGTTGGAGATTGTAGTTATCAGGAAACAGGAAGAGGGGAGGGAGTTCCACAGGCGAGAGGTGTGAGACATGAACCTATTGGAGTAGAAGAGATGGCTACATTTAACAGTTTCGACAGTGAAAGGGTGTGAGCGAGATGCCAGCCTAGTAGAACGCTTAAATTCATGAAATTTGGGAACTAGTGAAAGCAGCTCCTCGGAGCAGTTACCATGAAAGTATTTGTAAAAAAGACAGAGGGAGGTGACGACACATCTGTGAAAGAGAGTGACTGCAGACGAGATGCCAGATCAGGGCCATTTATGTTGCATATCCATCTCTGGATCTTATCAAGAACCTTGAGACAAACATAAGGGGCACCAGACCATATATGCCATGCAAGGGCGAATGGTTGATTTGTAGATTTGAAGGATCGACTCCAGTGAGAAAAATTTCCTGGCGTGGCACAGGGAGCCAACTTTCCTTGCGGTGGACGAAGCTATTGACTCAATGTATTTGTTCCATCTCAGGTCAGTAGTCAATGTGAGGCCAAGTAGTCGCAAAGAGAAGCTCTCGAGAAGTTGAGCATCAGACATTCTAATTGAACCACACCAGAGATATACACTTAGGTGTCTAATACAAGTAGAGGTGGGTGTATTAATAATCAAGAGTGTGGTAGGGATTTTCTCAGTATGCAATAAACAAGGGGATCTTAATAACAGGGAGAATGGAGAATCTTTTAAAGGGTAAAAAATGCAAAATTAATAAATGGCTTGGTCAATAAGCACAGGGCTGTGTGAGTGTTTGGAGTTTATTAGGTACCTAAGATTATAAGTACCTAGTTTTTTTTGTTTTTTTTTTTACTTTATTAGGTACCTAAGATTATAAGTACCTAGTTTTTTTTGTTTTTTTTTTTACTTTATTAGGTACCTAAGTTTATAAGTACCTAGTTTTTGCATTTTTTTTTTTAGTTTATTAGGTACCTAAGATTATAAGTACCCTGTTTTTTTTTTTTTTTTTTAGTTTATTAGGTAGTTTTTTTTTTTTTTTTTGGGGGTGAGTTTATTAGGTACCTAAGATTATAAGTACCTTTTTTTGTTTTAGTTTATAAGATTATAAGTACTTAGTTTTTTTCCCCACTCCTCATACAAAATTTGACGACAGAAAAGATATACTCTTAGGTGCTTAATATAAATAGAGTGGGGGGAGGAAGGCTCTTAATATCTGGTGGAGGGGAGGCAAGATTTTTTCTCAATGTGCAATAAAATGAGAGATCTTAATAAAAGGGGGATGGAGAAACAGTTAAAGGACAAAAAGTGCAAAATTATTAAATGGGGGTGTGGTTCTAGTAAGCTTCTTTCTATGCACTCAAAACAGAATAGTTCATTATGAAGTATTGGCAGGGCATAACGGTTGTGCAAAATAATAAAGGAAGAGACAACCCAAATAAAATAAATGTCCCTCCTCACCTGTTTATTAAGCACCAAAGAGTAACTAATGTAGGAGGTGATTCTTTTTTTAATTCTTTATGAAAGAAGAAATAAAGTTATGAAGAGGAAATAAGAGAACAGTGTACTTACGTTGTTGAAACTGAGCAGCAGCTCTATTGCTGTACAAAATAGCGTTCAGTAATTTGTCAGGAGATTTGGATTTAATGCCTTCTGTGTAATTATCAATTGCTGTCTTAAAATCTTTCTTCTTGAACAAAATGTTGCCGTCTTCCTTGAAACTCTCAGCACACACTGAAATAGAATAAAGTAATAATTCACATCTAATATCTAAACAACATTTTCTGTTGCATACATGTGAATATTTGAATAATATTACAGCTGGATAGCCAATCCCTGATGCCGATGCCTGCTCAGGTATATTTGTGTTTCTTTATGTATCTTAAATAAGTCTATTGCTGCAACGTCACTTGTACAAATCACAATATCGCTGGTTCAATTTGCCGTCCTTGCTTTCTTCATACGTCACTACGTATAGCCAATGTTTCTGTCCCCTTTTTCACGGCTCCAGCACTCATTTATCAGGCCAACACAGAGGTTCACCAGCCAATTAGCATTCTTCGCTGTTATTCTCGGTTACACAGGCAAATTGCCTCCTCCAGTTCGACCAATCAGCACACAACTTGCTATTGGTGGAAGCATTCCAAACTGTACAAAAAACCCTCATCCTTGCACATACTGCTAGAATGGCTGGACGGGAGAGTAATGCCATTTTCACGAAGCAAACTTGCTGATGTCACGTGCCACATGTTAAGGTAAGACCCTTATTTTCCTATACACCAGATGCAAGCCACTCTGGCTCGCTTGCTTCTACGGGGCTGTTCACTACACTTTAACACTCACAGAGCCAACCTGTGGTTTATACTGCATCTATGTTTAGCAGACCTTAGTTATTGTTTCTGGGAGAGAGCGCATAATCTGGCATGATCAACAGTTTGAACAAACTCAGTACACTAAAACTCTCAGTCATGATGGCTTGTGACTTTGTGCTAGCACAATCACTGACAACTCTCAAACAGTTTTGTTTACCCAATTTCGCTCACAAGCATTGGGTCAATATGAAGGATCGTTTTCAGGCACTCACCAACAGTATTGCATACTCGAATTGTCTCCCAATATTATTAAGGAATTTGCTGATATTTTATCCTCTTGACAAATTGATCATGATAAAATTCCAAATCAGGGTTTCATGGTCAGAATGCTAAAATCCTAACTGCTCGGCCATGCACAACTTTAAAAATCTTCCTGAATAAAATTTAATTATACATCATCATCATCTGTCAATCAGTACAACTTACATTAACCCTTCATCCATAAAAATCCATTTTACTGATTGTCATTGCATTTCTATTCATTATTATTATACATAGAATAGCCATATATATATATATATATATATAATTAAGTTACAAAGAACTTGGTAAACCAAATGAGTAATTCCAAGGAGGATGAAATCCTGAGAGCTCAATGTGAATACAGAGCTAATATTTAATGAAAAACAGACCACTTTAAGGTACCATTACAATAATTTATTTCACCAATGTTCTCGATAAATGTGCTAATAAAAATAATAGTTAACTTATATTAAGTCCATAAACTATTTACTTAAAAAATTAATGTTTAAATTGATAACATTCATCATTTTTTAGACATCTAAATTTCTATCAAGCTTTGAAATCTATCTTTTACATAATTTTGTTAAAACAAAATTACAGCCTCTTTCGATTCACTTCCCTCTCCCCCTCTCTCTTTGCCGTAACACTCATTTAGATATATCTGTATTACTGTCGTCTGTCTCCTCTCTCTTTTCCATTTTTCCTTTCTTTTCTCCCCACTCCCCTCCCATTCCTATATATCATTTCCGTTAAGTTAACCATCTAAATAGGTCAAGGTTGGGTCACTCCTCCTACCCCAATATAAAGCATGCTTAAGAGAGATATGAAATTAACCCCTCTCTATACTTTACCTTGTCTCTTTAACTACAACTCTCACCCCCCCCGCCCTGTTAAATTACAAAAAATTACACTACCCATCAATTTCTAATCCCATTTTTCCTTTCATTTTCGTTGTTGGAATTGTTACCTGATGATCCGGAGTCCTTTAAAAGGATTTTGGTGAAATAAATTATTGTAATGGTACCTTAAAGTGGTCTGTTTTTCATTTTTATATTATATATATATATATATATATATATATATATATATATCAAAGTTTCCATTACTTACATTACTATTACTAATAATCCCTTTCTTCTTGATTTTTCACTGCATTTTATAGTAAAACCATTATCAATGATCATTCACATTACATATAGAACACCCTTTAGTTGCTAACAACTACATCTATACACAGTTCCAGTCTTAGTCTAATAAATAAACTACTACTAATAAAATATCAATAATAAAAAGAAATACTAACTTGTTGGATCTTCACTTTCATATTTCAGGGCCTGCAGAGCCTCTAAAGCAGGGTGAAGTGGCTTTGACGGGTCAACTTCCTTCAGAAATGCAGGATGATTTTCTAATTCCTATAAAAAAGAACAAACTGTTAACAGAAAGTGCATGAGAGACATTTTTAAGAATGTGTGAATACCTTACTTTATATTAACTGATGATTGCTGTTCAGTCAGATTTCTTTACTTGTTAAGAATACAAGCCTTTCTTCTTAAGACGAATTGGCATAGGAAAAAATGCATACCAAAAGCTAAGCAAAGTATTAAGAAACAGGAAAATTTAATTAAAAACAAAGAAAAGAATACTAAACTGTTACATAATATCAGTCTTCCTGTATGGCAGTGAATGCTAGAAAATCTCCTCACAGATGAAGTGGAGACATGAGGCAGCTAAACAAGAGACGTTAAACACGTCTATCTTCCCTTCATTCTTTCTAACCAAATTCTCATCTTAGGAACATTTCTCTTGGTAATTTTAAAATAATTCAGCAGATAATATTATTTTATTTAAGTGAATTGGCAATTACCTTACTTGATTTCCATTGTTTGATACAGTGCATCAGAAAAATGGCACTTTTATGCCAGTTGCCATTGTTCTTGGTTGTTTAAGAGCAAAGTGTAGTATCTGTTCTCATCAGCTTAATCTGATCTTCTTTCACCACTTCTATCTTTTCTTTCTTTGTTTCATTTTCTTACTAAAACTAAGTAGTATCTTTTCCTATCTTTCTATGCACTCAAAACAGAATAGTCCATTATGAAATATTGGCAGGGTTTAACGGTCATGCAAAATAACAAAGAGATGGACAAACTCAATTATCGTGTGATAATTCTAGTTTACATATACGGAAGAGAAAAAAAGTGACGTCAGTTTAGACTGACACCAGAAGGATATGGACTAAGCTATTGATAATGGCTTATTGCACAGCTGAAAGTGTTGGATCTAACTCACTTGGAGAGTTCTCGTACATATTGACCTGGCGTTACTTGTACAGAAAGAAAAAAAGGGTTAAGTTAAAAATTTAAAAAATAGAACTCATTCTTTGTTGCTTTGTAATACAAAATGTTATTTGGTCTGAGAACATCTTTTCAAAGGATGAAGCACAACACATAGCACTTTCCCCATTTTGTCATTCAATTACCCACTATTAGCCTGATATATAGAGTTTCTGTATTATAATCTCCCATAACAAAACCATATTATAATTGTGACTTATACCCAACCCTGTTAGTTATTAAGTTAGCATCTGTGTTATGCCCTGCCATTACCCGAAATAAATAATACTAAATGATTGATTCATTTGTTTTTTTTACAACTTATGAACTCTTTGCAGGTTACTTCAAGCCAGAAAATAATTTTTTTAGCTTGTTAGAATTTTTTTTTTGAGATAATAATGGTTTAGTCTCCAGCTATGGGAAAAATAGCAAAATAAACTGAGTCCTATAGCCTTTGGCTGGCAAGGAAGGAAACCATTTGCTGCCTTGTAGTCCTGTCTCTTTAGGCTAAGTCCAGAAGAAGTTACCTTCAAAAACAAAATCCACCTCTGAGAGGATGGACAGGGTAGCCTCAAAATCCCCAGCGCAAAAGGAACTGGCAAGTCATTACACTATCATGCCTTGAATGTCACCATGAATTACAATTGTGAGATGGATTGGGTTGACCACAGTGGTGCAAAATAAGCTAAATGAATAAGATGAAATGAAATAAATGAATGGTTTTGTGATACAAGTCTTATTAATTAATCCATAGCTCGGGGAAAGAGAGGTGAATTTCTTACCATTAGTATTTATGCATAAGTGAATATATAATGAACCCAACAGGAATTGGAACTGAGTTCTCCGATTAACAATTACATGTCATTAACCAGTACAACACCAGCACCTGTTATTTCTAATCTGTCACTCTGTGACACTGGGATCTCCAAAGGTTGATCAAACAAAAAGGGAAAGAAAGGAAGATGAAAGAGTCTACTCGTTGGATGATAATGTTGCAGGAAGATGGATTGAAAAGTTGAGAAGAAAATTAAAAATGAAAAATCATGTTCAAAGTAGTAAGTGAAATCTCAAGCGGTTCCAAGGAGAATTGAATCAAAATTTAACTAAATGGAATTCAGTAAGATTGAGCAAAACCAAGACTACCCATCCTTTTCCATGTCCTGCCAATGAGAAAGAGACCATTAATGTATCCTCAAAGATGCCAAATAGAAAAAACGTATATTGTCAATAAAGAAACCCAGGTGGTCACTGAAATAACATTTAAAGATCTGGACAAAACTACAAGAAAAACCATCTGGTTTGAATTGAACACCCAGAAGAAAAGTGTCCCCACAAAGATAAAGATTAGTCTGATAGGTTCATTCATTTTCATTTCTGTGACATTCACGAAGGAAAATTTTATATCCGACATTAATTCGGATCCATTTGGATACAAGTGATAAAACAAATTAATTACTATTTTGCAGTGACTGTGGACAAAAATGCTGTATAGTCTCATGGACTGAGAAAACACATGAAAAGAGGAAAGATAACTTGTTTTTATCACTAAAGAGAGTGGCAATATTTTTCTTTTACACCCATAACAATTTTTTAGATTGACTGGTAGTGGGGGGGGCATCTAGATTGGCATCAAACAAGTCTCTGGCTCTAACATCATTCCTTCATAGTCTATGAACTTTCCAGCTCACCCTCATAACATGAACATAGAAAAAGAAAAAGAAAGAAGAGAACAGAAAGGTAAAGATAATTGCAAACAGAATACAAAAAAAGAAATTGTCACAATGAAACAGGCATATATCATTTGCATCTTTTATAATTCTTCCTTCTATCTTGCAAATTTTATATAAACAGTCACATTTGGGATTGAATAGTTCTGGATTGTCCATTGGTGCAGACAGACTATCCTTAAGAGGATCCCAAAGCTCAGAGCCAGCATATACTACCTCAGAACGGGGGTGGAGATTGGGGGCCCTGGGTAATCCTTTGTGATTCATTACTGCAAAGCATCCAGTTTTTTAGAGAAAGGTTTACTAATATGTGAAATTTCCCAGCAAAGTAGATTAGGCAAAAAGAGCTAAAATTTTAAAATTTGTGCAGCAATGGGTTAATTTTGCAATTATCATTATTATTATTATTGTTATTGAATATATAAAACCCTTCAGGAAAAGAAAGTATCTCTGGCTTGAAGTGAGCTAGTAAATTAGTTTTGAAAAAGGCATGAAACCTCACATTTTTTGGCAATTCTTGGAAATTCAGAGATTGACCCCCAACTTTTGATCTATTGTGTATATGCAAATAAATCTTGGATGTAAAAACCAGCAAATATATTAACCATTGTATTGTTTCAATATAAAAGAAAAACAAGAAAATAAACAGTCAATTGCTGACATCTCCAGATGAGTGGATGGAGCAATTGTTGGAGAGTCTGTCTATGAAACTCTGAAGTTGGGATGCTGAGAATGACATCAATCAGCTAAGAAAATTTTATATTTGTATTAATCCTATATATATATATATATATATATATATATATATATATATATATATATATATAAAACAAATGTTAGCGAATTATGAAAAAATTCAGGAAAAAATAAAATAAAAAAATAAATAAATCTCCATAGACACTTAACCAGACTAGACGATGTCATCTTCCGCTTTAAATTTAGACACCCCAACCTTACCCTGACTTGACCTCTTTGAATGTAACTGAGATATTAATACAAATTATTAACCCTTATGCCCCCTTTTTTTTTTAAATAATTGCACTAGATGTTACCATAGCAATTTTAATTTTAATAATGAATATGCTTATAAAATGCGTAAATTTCAGGAATTAGTTATTCCAAAAATAATTTCGCTTGATGATGGAACAGAGCTTGGTACTTTAATTCAATTTAATTCAAATAATTATATTGAAGTTTTCGGCTCTTGTTTTCAAACATGAGAACTCTTATGTAGCGATGGAATCATATTTTTAAATAAATAATAATATTTATGCTCTACTTTTGTATTGAGCACTATTTTTTTAAAATAATAACAAAACTACTAAATAACTTTGGATTATTTACCTAACGAGTTCTTTCCTATTTTCCCTCTCTCTATCTCTCTCTCTCTCTCTCTATATATATATATATATATATATATATATATACATAACATACATGTGCATCTTTCATTGAAAACGGCTGACAAGGAAGCTTTAATTAATATTTTATTGTGTTTTTCCAGCAATCTAACATTTTCCCATTTTTCAGGGGTTAAAGACTATAGGAATTGTTTATAGTTATAATTGTTTCAAGCAATTTAACTTTAGTTCTTTAGACATTATCAAGGTTGTGTTTTTTAATGGTGAAATTCTGTGTGTGGCTGCTACATAGTAATTTTATAGTGTGGAGTTTGAGCAGTTTGTGTTTCTTGGTGACCATGTGCTATGCGCAGCCAGTTGACCAGGTCAAGACTTTTAAAAAATTTTTAGAACACTTTTAACATGTCATCTCATCTGCTAAACAGTGTGATTGTGGGAGAATAAAGTTTAATAAGCACAGCCTCCCTAATGACGAGCTGTGTACAATTATGTGACCTGAAAAGGATCCATGTATTATCAACTAGAATGTTCCTTAAAGGTTCTTGGAAGTTATGTGTTAATGTTTATTAATCGCACTCTGCTGTGACAGGTGGCATGTAAGGCGCCTACTCGGTGAGGTAGTGGTGTGTCTGATCTAGGTCATTGGTTTTTGACATAACACTCTTGTACAGCGCAATGTAAATATATTTTGTTACTGCTTTTTTCTTATTTTTTTCCTCCTGTTGTTTTAATATATCCATTTTAATTGCTATTATTAAATTTTGTACACTTTTTAAAATATTCAAAATATATACTTACAGCTTCAATTTCTTCATATGTTTGGACTTGGGTCCCTGACTGACGTTTAGCATCAGACTGCTTAATCATTTTATCAAGAAATTCATCAAACTCCCGATCCAAACGAGCAGCCAACTCTTCCACATCTTCAGGGCCTTTTGCATGGGACATTGTTGATGGCATTGACAAATATCTTCAAAGAAAAAAACATAGTCTTCTAATCATGAAGGCTCATGTGACCACTCTTTTCCATCCATAGAACAGTGTGTATTCCATCCCATGCAATTGTGGTAAAGAATACAATATAAAGGTAGAAGAACATCAAAAGGCTGCAGTCCAAAAAGAGACACCAAAGTCAAGCATAGCTGATCATATAGACAGGGAAAAGAGTGGTCATCTATCACACTGAAATGAAGTCAAGATAATAGACAGAGATAATAGTGGAAGATAAAGACAACTGAAAGAAACACCTGATATACTGATAATCTCATCAGTAGACCTAGCATAGGGATAAATACCATTTTGAAATCATGGATTAACAAAAAAATAACACTAAAAAAATATTCAGTCTATAAGTGAGGACACTAATACAGTTCTGTGTATGGACATTAGGTTTAAGGCATTGGATTGTCCAAAAGATAAATGGTCTAGTGGATTAAAGCATTAGTTCATGAATTTAGCGAGAAAGCAATTGTAAGTTCAATATCTGGGAAAGGTAGTGCAGACTCAATGGAAATAGAACTAGCAATAACTTTGCAGCACTAAAATGAAGAAAACATAGACAGTGGAACAAGAACATTCTATCCTTATAGATTAAATAAGAATTCAGTTTGACATTCTCAGGAGGCTGTCTGAATCAACATACACTTGAAAAAGGTCAGATGACACACTGACTGAAACATCATCAGTACAGAGATGAGGATATTAGTTTGAATGTAAATAATTTGAATAGTAACACCACATCTCAGAAATTAAAAAAAATATTTCAACATAATATCCCCGCTTCATCTTAAAAGAAAAATAGTCCTCTAATTCTCCAATTTAAAACTGAAGCCTTTATTTAAACTTCTTTATGTGCCATGCCCCCTCAGGATGTAGACGATCATGGCTCTCCACAATTTCCTGTCCATTGTAGCTCTTAATAAATTTTGACTTTTTGTTATTTCTTCTAAACCCTGTTCCACTATCCATGAACTCAATCTCATTAAGTAGGTTATGCATTGTTTTCCTCTGTACCTCTTGCCTTCAATCTGTTCTGTGAGTATCAGATTTTCCAACCCTCTTTCCTCATTATGTATCCAAGAAATATCAACTGTCTCTTCCTAATTTTAAGGATAAGTTTCCTTTTTGTTGCCATTTTCTCTAAAAATGTTGCTCACATATTCAGTCTCAGAATCTTTCTGTAGAGCCACATTTCAGCTGCCCCATGTCTCCTCTTTATCTGTGAGGAGATTGTCCAGCATTCACTGCCATAAAGGAGGACTGATATTATGTAACAGTTCAGTACTTTTTCTTTGTTTTTAATGAAATTTTCCTGTTTCTTAATACTTTGCTTTGCTTTTAGAATGCATCTTTGGCTATCTCACTGCACCTTCAGATTTTAGTGTTGCACTTTCTGCCCTCTGCTAAAACACTTCCTAGATATCTAGATTCTGATTTGCAATACAGGAGTAGATTGCCCTCATTTCATTGTTCATATCAAGGGATATCTCGTTTGGTTGCTTTTAGCGCTATTCAGATAGTGTCCACTGAGTCTGAATTTCTACTACCAGACACAGGGATTGAACTCATAATCACTATGCCAACAGATGCATGAACCAAAGGTTTAATAAAGAAAAAGAAATGGTGGCAGAGGAAGTCAAGCTTGACAGCAAAGTTGCTGCAGAAACTGAACAAGTAGAGGGAGCAATAAGAATATTTGATTTAAAGCTGAAAGTTCTATCTTCAGAATTTTCCAATAAAACAATAGTCAAGATGATAAAAAAGGAACAAAAAGATAGAATAAAACTAATCTCTATATATAAAACAGAGGATGTCTGTGTGTCTGTCTGTGTGATAGCTTTTCACTTAAGATCCATCCAACCGATTTTGACCAAACTTGGCATATACAGTGTGCAATGTAAGAGATAAGTTCTTGATGTAAAAAAAAAAAAAAACAAAAAAAAAATCGATAATTTTTAAAAAATCAATAATTAATAAAACTGATCAAAAATTGATAAATTCAACTTTTTTCCTCCAATTTCATTCAAACTCTGTATGTAGGTTACTTACATCATGATGAGCTCAATGATACCTCATTTTTATTTCTATGCCACTGCATTTAGCGAAAAACGAAAAATCAATTTCAACACAAATTTTAAACTAAAAAATTCCTTCATTTTTCAAGCAATCCAATATAAACTTCACTCAATTGTAGCGAACAATAAGATGATTGTCTAACAGTCATTTAACTTGATAATTGAGTTCACCCTTATAGTGAAAAGCCACGTAATTAGCAAAAAATGGCAATTTTTATTGGCTTCTTTTTTATTTTTCATTGATCTTTCAACCAATTTTCATCAAAGTTAACAATTGCCTTATAAATGTATCCTCTTTTACATCCCTGGTAGCACACTGACAAATTGAATTTCAAAAACTCCAAAATAATTGTGGTCTGAAATGGGTCTTCATGTTGCTGGTTTTACCCCTTCATGTCCTCAGCTAATTTTGATTGAATAAATACAGACTACTTCTGTTATATCAATAACTGCATTAATTCAAAATTTTTTTTAATAAAAGTACTTTAAAGTAATTGAAGAAGATAGACTGTTACATTTAAACATGATGCTGTTTTTGCTCCATTCTAATTGAACACTTTTTCTGATCAACCAGTGGAATATGGATGCTAGTAAAATAATAACAGACAGTATCCCTTGAAAAAAAAGAAACATAAATCATTGAAATTGATTTTAGTGGCAGTAATATTTGAAACCCCCAGTAAGGGGTTAAATAGCAGGCTCTCTAGCCTTGGGTGGAAAACCAGTCTAGGAGAAGGGGAACACAGAATTCAAAACCCTGGGGATTCAATAGGAAATCACTCCACTCAACATTCCTACAAGTCATGGCAGTACACAGATAATAAAGAAAAAAAGCTGTGGAGAGCCATGATCATTTTTAATTAAAAAAAAAACGTGGAGTAGACAACAGGAAGTCAATCATCTAACTTTCTCAAAAAGTCACGGCAAGTCACAAATAATAAAAGGAAGCTGTGGAGAGCCATGATCATGTGTATTTGGGTAGTGTAATTGATAGTGTGTAAAGTGAAACTGATTTTAAGCTCTAGTCTGTTTCATATACTTTCGTACAAATGCTCTTCGGAAAGGCATGAATCCGTCTTTTTCCTTTCATACCTATGGGTTAAAAATATCAGAGCAGACCGGGCTCTAGCCTTGGTTGGCAACCAGTCTAGAAGCACAGCTCTGAATTCAAAACCAACCTGAAGAATGATGGGCTACGTCAGACTATCTTGCCTTAGACGCAGATATTGCTGTTACGGCTGCAGTACATGCTGTGTTTCTACGACTCTTACGGGGACCGTGAAGAAGAGCTATGACTGCTTATGTCTTGAAACGACGGGACATTAAAAAAAATGCATATGAAATAAAAATTATCTGTTCGATTATTAAGTCAACAACTGCCGAAAATTGTAAAAGAGTGACTACTTCAACCGAGATCACGGTCCTAGAGAAAGACAGCAAGTTTAAAACAGTTGTTATATAGAATTGACTAAAAACACATAAATTGCTGATAATTATTACAGTAGCAAAGAACGAATAGTGGCGGATCTACTGTGAAAGTTTTGTTTAATTTTTTTTTAAATTGGCAGCTGGATCCTCAAATCTGCTGTCTCTGATTACGAAAAGGTCCTTCTGTTCCAGCTTCAGGGTCCCAAAAATATGTTCGCCACTGAGAATGAATTCAATTTCATTTTTACTGTGCTGTGCTAGATCTGCCTTCAATAAGAAGCAATATTTTAACGCAATTACGATTATGGTAGACGATGATGATTATAATTAGTTTAATTATGGTGATCCGATTATTATGAGTCTTGAGGAGTAAAAATGTAAATCAAAATATTGTGATGAGATTGCATCACTTTTTTTTTTTTTTTTAAGTCAATGAGACGTTTTTCTTAAAGTCAACTGTTTTTTTTAAGTCGTTACGTTATGGCCATTTTTGTAAAACGGTAGCAAAAAAAAATTACCACGGAAAAATAAACACAGTAAAAGTTACGAGATGAGCAGTTAAAAATAGATTTTTGTGGGGTGGGGATCGTTTCGAAAAGAGAATAATACTGATTTTTTATTTAAAAAAATCCTTGGAAAGAAACTGATTATAAATAAAAAAATTAATCTTTAATCCAGTTAATAAATAATACACTACTTCAGAATTACATCAGTGGTGTGTAATTAAAAAAAAAGAAGTTATTTATAGTGGATACCCATATCTGAGTAGACGTTCCGTTTTTATTTTTAAACAGTTTTATTGTCTACCGGTCTGAATATTCGAGAAATCTTATTAAAGAATAATGCGCCGGTAGACGACAAAGTCACAAAAAAACTGTTTTAAAAAAATAAAAATGGAGCGTTTAAATGGGCATATCCACTAAAAAAACGTTTTTAATGATACTGTTAGATCAATAAATAAAAATCCACCATTTTTATGTCCAAGTCATTTTTAAATAGAACATATTTGTTGACTTTTAAACACTGTAGTGTACACGATCCAATTTTTTTAATTTTTAAAGAAAAAGCAATGGAAAAAAAAACGAAATAACAAAACTTAGTTTTAAAAAATTGCTAGATGCTACAAAATAATAGACATATCTTTGTTTAAAAAGGCAAAACTTTCAAAGTTAAAAAAAAATCTTCCATTACCAATATATAGTTTCAAAATAAAGAAAAATGACATTTTCAAAAATTCCTCGACCAACCTGTTTACTTTACTTCTATATTCTATCTCGTCTGTAATTTCAAGCACGTGTAATTAAAGTTCTGTCCCTTACTAAAACGGTGAAAATATACTGTCAACCATTAAAAATCATCCGGTTGAATATAAACAAATCATTATTTGTTTACATTCGCGCGCTAATGTCCCCGTTTTTGTAGTTATCACAACGTTTCAGCTGTTGTGCCCTCTGTTTGTCTTCAAATGTCTTTCGAACTGAGTCCTTTAATGATTAAATGATTCAATACCCACGTTAAAGAAAGTTTTACTTTTCTAACCACGTGTTCTCTTTCTAGTCCACTGTTCATAGGGAACGTCTTGTTCTGTTTTTAGTCCTGCCTAAATTATTGTTCACTATTTCCACCGCGGTTGAATCTGTACTACCCTGGACTAAAATTGACAACAGAATGAGATTAATTCTGTAGATTAAAAAGAGTTCATTTCAAAATTCCCAGAATATTATACGGATTGACAAACACGCGCAGAAAGGTGAAGTAAGTATTATTGAGAGAAAATGACGAGGAAACCCACGTGTTAAAACGAAACAATGAATTTATTTACAAATTTAGAGTTACACACTTGTCAGTATCTTGTTTCAGGGGAAGGAATCAAATATTTAAAGTTCGTAATTTCGATTGAGAAGAAAAATGACAAAATCAAATCATCGGACACAAAGTAATATTCCAAATGTTTAAAAAACAAAACAAAGAAATCGTTTTCGTGTTAAAAATGGAAAGAAACAATGAATTTCGATTTGGAGATGACTTTGAAATTATAGAGATTAGACTTCACCACATTAATTTACACACTTGAAGTTGTCAGTATTTCTTATGTTTCAAACAACGGAAAGGAATCAAATATTTAAATTTCATTGGAAGAATGTTTATGAGGATTTCTTAATAATTGTTCTTGAAAGATTTACCATGTTAGAAATGTGTGTTGCAGACGAATTATTTTAAGAAGAGAAAATGCTCATATCAAAATTCACAAATAATCGGACAAATTATTCAAAAATCAACGTAATATTCCAAAATGTTTAAAAATCAGAGATTGTTGAACAAGTGAAAACAAATTTGAAATCGTTTTCTTTTGTGGTAGTTCATCAATAAAAGCTGGTATGAGTTGTGTGCCTTTAGTTCTTTTGTGTTCGATTGAATGTTTGAATACTTATTATTGTTGTATTCAAATCTGAATGGAAGCAAGGATAAAAGATGAATGAAAAAAAATCTCCAATTATTCGTATTTTGTTATATAAGGCTGAATCAGATCGGCTCCGAAAGCGAAAGATCATTCATCGCGTGCAAAGGTCTTTGAAATCGCCTGCTCTCAATCAAAGTGGCTGATTGTGAAGAAAAGGAAAGAGGAAGAGAGAAGGGGTTACTTACGGACAGGTTGCTTCAGCCTCAGGGGGAAATTGTGTCCAGCTAAATGGGAACCAAATGACCAACTGATATTTATGGTCTTGGTCGGAGGAGGATTGTGGGAAGCAGTTAGCCTCCTTATAAAAACCTCCTCTGTATTCTGATGAGACCTATTTTCTCTATCAGCCGACACGTGACTGGTTATTTGTCGTGCTGAAGGATTATTTCTTCTTTTTCTTCTCTGTTACTAGACCTAGTTGGAGCAGGTCGCAAGAGGAGGATTCTTTGCAACCCTTACCAGGCTGTCGCTGCTCTCTTCTGGGTTTCCCTACTTTACTGTGTCGAAAGTTTTTTTTTCCGACAAATTGCAAAAAGGAACTTCTACAGAAATTTGTTTTTTTTTTTTTTGTTAACGACATTTCTTTAAAAAAAAAAAAAAATGGATGTTACTAAAGAACAGATCCTTCATAGGTTGACTGTTCTTAAAATCAAAGTCGAGGAACGACTGAAGTTGTGTCGTGGAGACAGAGTAACCGTTTAACGCCTCATGTTTTCTCTGTCTTCCGAAAGGATATTCTGCAATACATCTTCGAAATGGAGACTTGTATCACAAAATTAGAGCTGGGCTCCTTCCCGAGACGGACTTGCTTGAGACCGAAGCTGAATGGGCGCCTCGACTAATGGAGTACCACCGAGAACTGGGCGATCTGGATGGTTCATTTTATCCCAGTTCCTGCTTGGATCCTGTTTCCCAGTCTTTTGGGGTTCCGTCAACACCGAGAAGAAGTTCGGCTTCCTTTGTTGTCAAACCTCCGCAAATACAAATAACGGGGCCCACCTTTAGTGGGCTTGAGATGGCTGACGACCACATGAGTTTCTGGAATTTTTGACGAGATTCGAAAACTGTGTGGTTGGCATGGCCAATGACTCTGAAAGATTAAACTTTCTGAAATGCTCCCTCTCCGACAGAGCTTTAAGACTGATTAACCATTTGAGTTGCACGGATGCCAACTATCGGCGTGCTCTTTCGGTGTTAAAGAGGAGTATTTGGACATTGATGAGATAATCGACCAGATATTTCAAGACATTCTAGACGATGTCCCAAAAGGACATCTGCTGCTCTGATCTGGGTGAATTTATCTCCAGGACTGCCTCTCTCTTGGAGGAGCTAGGGGAACTCTTTTTCTTGCGACTTTTCGGTGGACGATTCTGGTGGAGCTCGCCTAATGGCCAAGATTCTTTTCAGAAATTTCCCAAAGAATTGAAGGAGAAATGATAGGACTAACAGGTAAGCGAATACCATCATTGTCTGCCATATTGGAACTTACAAGTGAGGCAGTCAAACGATTACGGGTTAAGGGAAGCGCGTCTGCTGCTTCTACATTCACCACTGGCCAGGGTTCTTCTCAAAAAAAAACCGCACGGAGGGCCACTGTTACTTCTTCCTTTCATGTGGATTCCAACAACCTGAGTTCTGCTGGTTATTCCGTAGCTTGCCCCCCATCCTATTGGTCACTTTTTTTTCAATGGAGAAAAAATGGTGTCGGTTAATTGCCTTTTGGACACTGGTAGTGGGCGTTCGTACTTGTCTGCTGATGTACTGAGGGACTTGGGTTCAGTTGAGACTGTTGGAGTCAGTTGTCGGCTTAGACTTTTTCACCCTCCTTGGTGAGTGTGACCGGAATTTCACGGAGGTGGTTCTGGGGGTTGACCTTGGTTCTGGTGAGGCTTTGGCTTCCTCTGTTTTAGTCACTGATGCAATGGACTTGTCTGTACGACTGGCTCACTTGAGACCCTGTTGGGTGCCTTTTAGGCAGCTGACTATAATTTGGCTGGCCAATTTGAGGCCGGGATCAGACCTTGTGCTTATCAAGGGCATTATTGGATTGGACCTTATTCATCGATTGATTACATTGAAGTTTGTCCCCCCGTCTGAGGGGTTGGGCATTTTCTGTTCCGTCAGGCCTGGTTCCCTTTGGAGCTGTGGACTCCTTTTTGTCAGGAGACAAGATCCCTTGTGAAGGGCCCCACCTCTCCTTTAATACTGTAATGGAGGATACCCCGAAGTGAATTCCTCACATTTGTGCTTCGTTCTTGAAAACCAACCAAGCTACCTTGACCCTTTGGCGGAGTTTTTCCTGACAGTGCAGTACAAAGAGGATTGGAACGGATGTTTGACATGGAGTCCCTGAAATATCTGATGAGGATACCTTCTCTGATTACGATCAAGAACAGATGAGACGTTTTAAGGATACTGTGGAGCTCAAGGATGGGAAGTATTACGTGGAGCTTCCCTGGCATTCTGATAAGTTGGCCCGGGTCCCACCCAATCACGCCGTTTCTTTGCGCATCTTAGACCGGGTGGCTTCAAACCTGACTAAAAAGAATATTTATCTGGAATACTTAGAGGTGTTCCGTCAGCAAGAACAGGATGGAATAATTGAAGAGATTTTTTGTTCCCCCAACACGAATTTGATAAATATGTGGATTCCACATCGACCGGTTTTCAGGTCTGACCCAACAGCTACTACCAAAATCAGACCTGTGTTCAATTGCAGTCTGAAGACTGGCGGCGGATCGTCCCTGAACGAGGCAGCTTACTCTGGGGTCAATCTAACTGGAGATATGTTGAAGTTATTATTGTCTTTCAGAACTAACAATTACGTTCTGCTAGCAGACATTCGAAAGGCATTCTTGATGTTTCATCTCAAGTTGGAGACTGACAAAACCGGTTTTGTTTCTTCCTTAAGGATGGGGATCGTCTTCGCTGTTTTCGATATACCACCTTGATATTCAGGTTTACCTCAAGCCCCTTTGTACTGGGGTGTATCCTGAAACTACATGCAGCAAGATACCCACTAGACGCTTGCCGCAGGATGATTGAGGACAGATTTTATGGACAACCTTGTAACATCGGGAAGCAGATCCGGTGAAGCTGGAGAAATTGTATTCCTCCTGGCACGGGAACGTTTGCAGGAGGGCGGCTTTGTTATTCAGTCCTGCAACTCCAACGATGAGGCTCGAGCCAGGATGAAAGAAGATGGTACACTGAGTGCACATGATGAAGAATGGGAGAATGTACTGGGTTGATACAAAACCCTCTTTCAGAAGAGATGCACGTGGGCCACGTCAGGTGCGATCCTGATGCGTCAACAAAGAGGGGAGTGCTTGAGTCAGCCAAAATTTTGACCCCTTATCTCTGGGAGCAGTTACGGTTCGCAGCCGAATACTTATTAGGTCTATGTGGAAGAATGGTTTGGGTTGGGATGATCCTCTCCTACTGCGGTTTTAAGTGATTGGACGGAGCTTGTTGGGGACCTGTCTGACTGAGTGACTTCCATTTTTATCGAAAGGTTCTCGATGCGAGACAGCCTGGAGATATGTACCTCTTTGCGACGCTTCCACGGAGGCATATGGATTTGCCGCTTATATTGTGCAAAATCATCGATCGTCCTTGGTGTTTGCTAAAGCTAAGGTCGCTGATGAAAGACAAAACTCTACCTGTTTGGAGTTAATGGCTGTTTACCTCGCTTTCAAGTGCCTACCAACAATCCTGGACAACTGAAAGGGTTTGTTCCAAGTAACTTATGTGTGGCTACTGATGCCCAAGTAGTGTTGTCTTGGCTCTTGTCTCAATCCATGGCCAGCAAAAACATTTTGCTAGAAACCGACTCAAGGACGTCCTGCAAATGAACCTTGTTAGAATCCCGTTACGGCCTGAAGACTCTCTTCAAATATGTGGATTCTGCACATAATCTGGCCGATCTGATCACGAGGGAATGACGTTGAGGAAGTTTCGTTCCAACTTCCAATTTTGGTGTTCTGGTCCTTCTTGGTTGTGTGAGGGGATCATCCAGTGGCCGACACAAGACTTGCCTTGTTTAAGCGAGACGTGCCAGCAGATGGCCCGTACTTTAGTGCACTGTTCTATGGTTCTGGACCAAGAATACCTCTCCGTCATACCCTTTCACAGGTTCTCAACATTTTCTGGGTTACTGAGAGTTACTTCTCTGGTGTTCAAGTTCATAGCCATTCGGCTAGGACAGGAATGGGATTACAGATCTAAGGCAGCCATTTACCTGATGAGAGTTCTCCAACAACATGAATTCCTCTTCAGAGGTTGAGTATTTAATGAAGCCAGCAGGAAGATCTGAACCCGTCAGAGTTCGTGCCCTGGATCTTTTTTTGACTCGGATGGGTTAATCAGATCAAGAGGAAGAATCGACCGATCTTTATATCTTACCTATGAAATCAAGAACCCTATCCTGATGGGAAACACCACCCTGTGACCAGACTTATTATTTTGGATTGTCATATAAGTGTTGTCACCTTGGAACTGGATCTACTTTGGCTGAGTTGAGGCGGAGCGGATACTGGGTCCCTCAAGGAAGACAGGCCGTCAACAAGGTTCTAAAGTCATGTGCCAGATGCAAACGATACAATTCGCGACCAGTACTGCCGAGTACTGCGGCCAGCTTACCAACTCATCGAGAGTCGAATTTGAGGTCCCTTACCAGCATACAGGCGTTGATTTCACCGGCCATTTCTGGGTGAATGATGGTAAGCAGGACAAGAAGATGTACTTGCTCTTGTTCACGTGCTTGAATATCAGAGCAATACATATTGAGTTGGTTCCAACATGAGTGTGCTATCCTTTTTTTCAAGCCCTGGTTCTTCACCAACCAAAGTGGAGTTCCGGAAGTAATCTACAGTGACAATGCTAAGACCTTTCTGGGAAGCGGAAGACTTTTAGTCGCCTCTTTGTCTTCCAGGAGTATAAAAGCAAGTATGGTTCTTGCGGGTTAAAACTAAAAACCATCCCTCTGTTTTCACCTTGGTATGGGGGAACATGGGAGCGTTGCATTAAAACGGTGAAGGATTGCCTTTTAAGATTCTTGGCAGAGGTAAACTGGATTATTTTACCCTCCTGACAGTGGTCTCTGATATCCAGAGATCGGTCAACAACCGACCTCTGACCTATCAGTTGTCTGCTGATAACAATGCTGCGGCTATCACACAACATGTTACTTAGGCCCAACAAGAGTCCGGGGCTGTTGTTGCGATTGAACAAAATGACATCGCTTCTGCAGTACCAGCCAGTAGAAAAAAGGCTCGTGGAAGCAATGGACATCAGGAACCAGTATTTATTAAGGTTCCATGAGTCCTGGTACAAAGAATACCTTCTGGAGCTGGGAAGAAGGGTCCCAGGACGCACACGGTTTGCGGACAGAGAACCGGCTTCAGAAAGATGATGGGTCCTGATTAAGAGTCCTCTGAAACCGCGACCATTTTGGGTCTTGGGGACAATTACAGATCTCATACCCGGTGATGATGGTGTGGTCAGGTCTGCTCGTGTCCGAAAAGGGGGTGGTCTCGAAGAGGTACACTCTTTGAAACACCTCTACCCACTGGAACTTTCCCTGACAGCTAACCGTTCTTCTGAGTTACCAACTAGTGGTCCTGTGTCACCCCCTGGGAGTGCTTTGATTGCAGAGAGGGACGAGGTTCCATCATGTTCTGCTGCCAACGATGAGAGCATGTCTGGTTGTGTCCTGTGTGCAACTCTCCTCAGGGAAATCTGGACATGATCGGTGTGATTCTTGTGATGAATGGTTCCATTTTTCGATGTGTTGGCATTGACGAGGCCGCCTAAAGGCAGAAGTGGTACTGCCCTGAGTGTGTGCCCCAAAGACGACGCAGGGGTAGACCAAGTCTGCTTCCCGCCTAATTGGCAATCAGTTAGCCATTTAGAAATAAGAACTCGCCTGTCTGGGGAGAGACATTGTTGCCCGTTTTTTTTTGTTTTTTGTTTTTTTGTTTTCTCTCTTCTCTCTTTCTTTTCTACACGTCTTTTTTGTGTTTTTGCTGTCGGGGATGTGTGAAGAAAAGGAAAGAGGAAGAGAGAAGGGGTTACTTACGGACGGGTTGCTTCAGCCTCGGGGGAATTGTGTCCAGCTAAACTGGAACCAAATGACCAACTGATATTTATGGTCTTGGTCGGAGGAGGATTGTGGGAAGCAGTTAGCCTCCTTATAAAAACCCTCCTCTGTATTCTGATGAGACCTATTTTCTCTATCAGCCGACACGTGACTGGTTATTTGTCGTGCTGAAGGATTATTTCTTCTTTTTCTTCTCTGTTAATCGACCTAGTTGGAGCAGGTCGCAAGAGGAGGATTCCTTTTGCAACCCTTACCAGGCTGTCGCTGCTCTCTTCTGGGTTTTCCCTACTTTACAGTGTCGAAAGTTTTTTTTTCCGACAATTGTGGCGGACTTCGCCACATTAATTTAGGACACAGGGCTGACACAGAAAAGGATAAGCAAAAGACATTGTTGCACATAAAATATGTATTTATTTATGTACAATATCAAACAACGATGTGAAAGAAAGCATGCACTTAAGTAAGAAAAGGTTGAATAAAACAAGAGTTGTCTCTCTAACTTATTTGTATTCCAAATTTCATTGGAAGAATGTTTATGAGAGTTTCTTAATAATTGTTCTTGAAAGATTTACCATGTTAGAAAAGATTGTGTGTGTTGCAGACTGGCGAATGTATTTTAAGGTATCAGAAGGTTACTTTATCAAAAGGGATAGTGATGTTGGTGTTCTTAGAGATCCATTCACAACAAATTAAGAAACATGAATACTGATGACAAATTATTCAAGAGAAATCAACGTGAAAACAACATAAATAAAACTTAAAAGTTTAACAATAACATTGATTTATATAGAATTAACATATACAATTGAACCAGAGATTGTTGAACAAGTGTGAATAGTTGAGTTGAATTATGTTGTGTATTTATGTCAAGTTTCAGTGTGTGTGAAACTGTTACTAAGGTTTGTGTGTGAAATTAAAGTATTTGGTCGTGTACAAAAATGTCTTTTGTGGTAGTTCAGTCAATAGTGTGTATGCGTATGCTTGTTTAGATTATTGTCCAAAGCTGGTATGAGTTGTGTACCTTTAGTTGTTTTGGTGTTCGATTGAATGTTTACGAATACTTATTATTGTAGTGTGTTATTTCACTTTCTTCAGTATCGTTCATGGTAGAGTGAAATGCTGTTTGTTGGGTCACTGAAGTTTGCGCGGGAAAAGTGTAGTTGGTCAAGGTTTTGACTGGCGTGGATTAGTTTGGCATCTCTCCAGGGTGAAATTCTGACTGACCGTACTTGCGTGAGTGTTAGTAATGTTCTTTAACGTCTGACCGTAAGGTTAAGACGAGAGTTCTTGGAAGATTACATATTAGCAGCAAGGATAAAAGATGAATGAAAAAAAATCACAAGGGAGCTTATTCGTATTTTGTTTATATAAGGCTGGGTATCACGTGATCGGCTCCAAGCGAAAACGTGGGAAATATCATTCATCGCGTGCAGGCGATCTGATTGGTCGGAACTGATCAATCAGAGAGCTAGTTTTGAGGAGATTAGCCAATGAATGCTTGTCGTACGATCTGTATGTATGTATGTGTGTGATGGTGGCGATAATCACGCGGGGGGGGGGGCTGGCAAATGTGGATGATTCCATTAAGTGTATACAAGGTATGTTCAGCATGTGAGTGGTGTTTGTGAGTGAGAAAGTTGGCGCATGGTTTCAACTGTCGTGGATTCGTTTGGAAGTTAAATTCTCACTAATTGGGATTAGAAAAATCTTGACTTAAATAAGGGACTATAGGCTCCAAATTGTTGCGCGGGAAAAATTATTCTTCATGTGCAAACGATCTGATTGGTTGGCATCGACCAATCAGCGAGCGAGCTTTGGGGAGACTTAAGAAAGCTTCTGTGATCCGCTTCTCCCAAAATTGCACAAAATTGACTACATGAAAATAGAGCGATTACAAAATTGTCGCATTACTGCGATTTGTAAATTGCCTGTAGTAATGTAGCGGTGATTTATTAACCAATGAATGCTTGGCTTTGTATGTGATTTATATTTTTGTATGTATGTATGTTCGTGCGTAATAGTCACTAAATTTTGATATTAATTTTCTGTAAATATTGACCATTCCAATAAATCGTCGTAATGTTTTTGAATTATTGAGAGGAGGAAAATTATTCAGCTCCTGATGCTTATTGCATTAGGTTTAATTCCTTCCTTCGAAATATTAAAACCCAAGAAGTTAAGTTCTGTAGTATTGAAAATACATTTTGAAATTGAAATTTTAAGATCGTACTCAGTTAGCTTCCAAAATACTTGATCCAGATATTCAGAATGAGAATCCTCGTCATCGGAGTATATTAAAATATCATCGACTAGCAGTAGAGCCCGGCGTTGCCCGGGGATGTAACAGTAAGAGATAGATCAAGTATCGACCATCATAAAGACTGAAAAATAAGATTGACAAAGATTATTGTTTAAGGTTGACGGACACGCATGTCTTAATTAGTATTTTTTTTGTTTTTTTTTTACGAATTGGTCAAACCCAAACTCAAACAAAAACATTGTTTTCAATCGTTATGAGTCTACCGATTGAATAGAATTTTATTATAAACAATTGTCTTGTAAATGGAATTTTTAAAGCATTCTGAATGTAAAAATAAAGAAAAAGTGTGCAAGACAATAAAAAAAACTAGCTGCCAAAAAAAGTGAAGTTTTGTTGAAATCGGTTGAAAAAATGTAGGAAATCCGATTCCATATATAAACGAACACACACACACACACACACACACACACACACCAACCAACCAACCTGGGTTTTATAATAAGTATAACTCGATATGAGTTGTCCCCCTTTCATTCTGGCGACAGTGATACCTCTTAATCGTGTTTTCAGATTGATTTCGTGCAAAAAAATTGTATTTTTCTAATTTGGGGCGCTGTCAGAACCACCGCAAGGTAATTTTACGTAGTCCTGTGAAGTTTTGTTGAAATCGGTTGAAAAATGTAGGAAATCCGATCCAATATATAAACGAACAGACACACACAACCTGGGTTTTTGTCTTTCGTGATAATAATTATATTTTTTGTTTGAATGAATGATATACAATTTATTTTTTTATTTGTTTTTTTCAATGAAGAATTTCTTGAATTTGTTTTCTTTCGTGGAGCTATATTTTTAGTTGGCTTCAATTATATTTTTGTTTGAATTGTTTTGAATGTTTTTTTTAAATTTTTTTTTCTTAAAAGAATATTAACGATGATTTTTGAGTCATAGATTCAATCCTTTGGTATTTGTTTTTAGTTTCAATGAAGAAATACATAATCTTGAAATAAAACCCAAAAAGGCTAACGTTGTTTTTGTGGGAGATTTCATTCAATTTATTCAAAAATATTAATTCTTAGAACTCCCCAACGACCGTCGGAAATCAACAAGCTAGATTGGCTAGGGTGATTGACCAATGAATACTTGACGTAAATATATTTATGTGAAAATGTAGGATGTTACTTACCAGATAGGAAGAGTGCATTTCCTAAAAAAGAGTTGTAGGTTTATTCTGGTTTGTTGTGGAAGATTCCAAAAAGAACGACGAACGTAATATTAAACTGTAATTTAGAAGAATAAAGTTTGGAATTGTGAGTTGTAAAGTTGGTAAAAGTTCAGAAGAGATTTCAGAGTTTGTACTTTTCAGAGTTCGTGAATGTTGGTAATAGTCTTTAACGTCTGACCGCAATGGTTAAGACGGGAGTTCTTGAAGACTACATCTTGGTATCTTGGCAGCAAAGGAATGAGAAGAAAAAACTCAGGGGCTTCCACGTGTTGGGTTTATATAATGGTCGTGTGACGTGGGAAAACAGGCTCCCAGGCATTTGAGCTGGAAAACAGATTGGTCGCGTTGCAGGCTGTTTGATTGGTCGGAACTGACCAATCATTTCCTAAAAAGAGGTAAGGTTGGTTTGTTGTGGAAGATTAGAATATTAAAACTGAAGAAGTGATTGACCAATGAAACCTTGTTATATATTTTTTCTGTAAGATTGTGATGGTGAAAATTATAACAGGAATAATGCATTTCTATGAGCGGGAAAACAGATTGGGTTAACTAGCTTGTTGTGGAAGAGTCCACATAGTCAGCCATTGGGAGTAATTCCATATCAAATCATCCAGAAAATGGAAAGTTGCCACCCTTACCTCAGTGGTAGGTATCATTAAAACAAGTCAATCCTGAAAATTTGAGCCTCTAGGTACAAGCGGCTCAGAAAATATGCCGTTTTTAAGATTTCGCGTGAAACGCGATTCGCGAGAAAAACGCGTCATTACGAAAACACTTTTTCTTCAATATAATTCCAGACATGCTAGCGCCATGAAAACCTGTAAAGGAGAGTTTTTGAGGATGAGGAATCTAAAAATGACATAAAAAAACACCTAGAAATCAACCATTCTTGAGCTATACAACAATTTGTGTAAATTTTGGCATGTGCAAAATATCTCGAAAAAATGTGGTACTAAATGAAAATTTATTTTTTTAAGTGTTCCTCATGCTACAATCATGAATGGAATCGAAAATGAAGTCTTGTTCTCTCATTGTTGGCCCACAATTAACAATCGAAAATGGGTATTTTTTTCCGGCCATATACATAAATAAATGAAAAATATTTACATCTAGAA